GGCGGCTGCGGGCAGCGGGGCGTGCGCGAGCAGGCGACGGGCGGCTGCGGGGCGTGCGCGAGCAGGCGACGGGCGGCTGCGGGGCGTGCGCGAGCAGGCGACGGGCGGCTGCGGGGCGTGCGCGAGCAGGCGACGGGCGGCTGCGGACGGGCGGCCTCTGCGACGGCGGGCTGCGGGCCTGCGGGGCGTGCGCGAGCAGGCGACGGGCGGCTGCAGCAGCGGGTGCGTCAGCGTGGCGCACAGGGCAGCGGCGGGCAGTGCGCGAGGCTACGAGGCGCACGGGCAGCAGCGCAAAGGCGCGCGGGCAGCGGGGAGGCAGCGTGACGGGCCGCGCGCGAAGAAAATAAAGCGCGCGCGGGCAGCTGGCGGGGCGCACGCGTGAAAACGGCCGCGCGCGAGCGGCTAGTACGGCGCGCGCGGTAAAAAAAAGGAAAGCCACGCGCGGGCGGCTAGCGAGCTGCGTGCGCGTGGTAGGTAGGTAAGGAGCGCTCTAGGACGCGCAGGCGCACGAGGCGCACAGTAGGTAGGTAGGTAGGTAGGTGGGCCCTAAGAACAGTCCTAGCGACGGACCTGCTCTGAAACCATGTCAGAAATAACGGACTGGAATGGTGAACTAGAAAGGATTGTGAGTACAAATATGAAACCCTAATGTTGTGACCCCCCTATAGGCTAACCCACTACAGCCTACACAAACACAACACATATAATGTTTGACACTTTATCTCCACACCTGACATCGGGCTCTCCTACTCCACGCTGTCAACAACATCCTTCAACCTCAACGGCTACGTGGACGCTGATCATGCCGCTGACCCAGCAAATCGACGGTCCCGAACCGGCTTTGTCTTCCGCCTGGAGCCAACTGGCCCCATCTCCTGGAACTCGCAGAAGCAGGAACTGGTTGCCCTGTCATCGGCCGAAGCTGAATACATCGCCGCGACAGCAGCAGTTCGCGAAGGCCTGTACCTGCAGGAGCTGCTACAGGAGGCGAAAATACCAACTTCGCCTACCTTTCGTGGAACTGCACTGCGACAACCAGAGCGCGATCAAGATCGCGAACAAGCCTGGGTTCGTGAACCGCACGAAGCACATCGCACTGCGGTACTTCTTCGTCAAAGACGAAATCGACCAGGGTAAAGTTGACCTCGCATACTTCCCAAGCGAGATGACCACTGAGATGGCAGCCGACTTCCTCACCAAGCGCCTGCCACGTCAGCAGTTCAAGCACTGCTCCGACCTCACAGGATTGGTCAAGCGAGTCAGCACCCTTCGCGTCCAGGAATGAAGGGGAGTGTTACGATATGAAGCTTTATGAGAAGGCATTACTGTGTGCTGTAGGAGCCGACTCTACCGAGTACGAAGTCGAGGAGTCAGAAGAGTCGAAGCGACACAGCAACCGTCTGATCAAGACCGATGCAGGCGGAAACATTTGAAGTGAAAAAGGCGGGAACAGGTTTGAAACTGGTTCCCGCGCCGCACGGTTTGAATTTCGCTGCAATAAGGGAATGCACCCCTTAGAGTACATGGCTAGTCTAGATCGTTTCGCATTCCTTTGTATTTCTATATAAACCCTATGTATGCATGCTATTATCATCTCAGTCATTTACATTCACTCTGACCTGAGTTCAACACTTCCGCTACAAACACCACCTGCGATCAACCCTGAACGATCCTTTCTTCGCTAGGCCACACTTCAGATTGTAACACGTTTAGTTGGATCAATGCAAGAATTTGGTTTGTTTTCGCTTTACTGAACAAGGATTATGTTGGACATTGCAAATTGTCGCAAGAGCTAGCAAGGAAAAGTGATTGTATTGTCACGCAACTGATCTACTTCGGGCGTCATTGTGCGCACCAATTCAATATGGTGCATTGGTTCGAGCTGGATTACACGACACAGTATTATAATACGCACTCGGTTGGCTCGCATATACCGATACGTGAGTTGAGGAAACCTAAAAGTTCGGTGTATTGCGTCGTACTAGTTTACACAAAGGCAAGTTGCACTACGTTGTTAGACGAATGTCATACAAAACAGGGGAATTGGGATTTAAGCTCAAATTGTAGGTGTAAATGCGACATCAATATAGGTTCCCCATGGTGTTTGTGTGGAATTATTGATGAAAGTGACTCTAAATGAGTAGGCTTAAAACACCACCAACTTTTGAAAGGCAAGCAACATACTATAAGGGAGCATTGAACTGTTCACCACCACCACCGCCACTGCCAGATTGTCCTTCTGCGGTTGTCCCTGTACAGTATGCATACGGACGAGCTGGCCAGATGAGAGGGATTGGGGGGCATTGACAAGTTCGGTGGAGCGGCACAGTGGCGGATCCAAAAGAGGTTACAGCCACCACCTGACCGTGTTATTTTGTAATACAGAAATGGATTCCAGCAAGCTGGCAGGGAATTACAATACAAGACGGTTACGGTGCACCTTGTTTAGTCTGTATCGTGTAAACTCCAGGTTTTGCCTTATGCAAATGCAGTTTTTGCCACACAGCGAATCAAGGTTTTGGCACCCGTGCTCCCAGATCACATAATAAAAATACGCGCCTCACCGCGTTCCGATCACCCATATATCAAGGTTTGCTATCGTAACCGCTAAAAAACACGTGAATATACTTCTCAAATCAGCAGAACCACGGCTAACCATATTCAGCTGCGAGCCTCAAGTTGCGTCTTGTCCTGAGCTCTCGGCGTGACACGTCACCCACACACCACCAGCAGCACCACCAAATCCCGCCCTCACCGACTGCAGGTGTACAGTACTGTACTGTAGAGACAGATGCCTGCCATGCCATGCCATGCCATGCCATGCCATTCCACGGCACGGCACGGCACCCACCACAGACATCCTCCAGCTTGAGTTTGTTGACCTTTCATGGCCTCAGGCAGATTTTCTCGACGCGAATGAACTGGAAATGAACTGAACCTCATTCTTCGTGGCTCAAGACGGTTCCGCACGGTGGAAAGATTTTCTAAAACTTAACCGTTTTGCACCGCTATGGAACGAATAACACCGTAGAGAATGTTTATGAGTAAGCGACCTGGAAACCGTGGTATTTCACGAAGATATCAACACACCTCTGCTCCGCTATGTGCGGCCATCCCAACATGCCGTTGAGCAGTTGAAATAAGGTTGCCTTATGTAGCTTTACTTATCCGGCCAAACTTAGTTGCTAGAATAGTCCTAATACCTCGCAGTCAGATTCTTACCGTTTACGTTGAGCACGGCGTCGCAATGCCTCACAGGAAGGTGAAACGCTTCTTTAGCAAAAAGGTCGGCGACGACCGTGCTATAGAATCGACACAGGCCGGCTCGCTATGGCGGGCCGTCGCTTCCCTGCGTCGAGCAGATTCCGCGGGAGTTTCTTTAGGAGCAGCTGGCGTTTCTGTAGCACAGTCAACGGCTAATTCGGATAATAATTCAGATTGTCTCGTAAATTCGCCAGACGAATCAGAAGCAGCAGAGGGAGTGTCCACGCCGCAATCAGCGCATCGACGCGGCCGCGTCAATGTTGCGCGAGAGGCAGTATCGCACGGAAATTCCGTCGATCAACGCGACTGTTTCTCGACGGCGGTTTCCACAATAAGCGCTGATGATGATTGTCGTCTGCCCGACGATGGGCCAGGCGATTGTCATCTGCTAGACGATCATGGGCTGGGATTTCGCGGAGCCGCCGGCGACGGTAGCAGCAGTCCTTGCAATAGCAATAGCGCGAATCGCAGCCGTAATAACGCCCGCAGCGCCTCCTGCTGCGCGCCGATGTTCCGACGCCGCCGCGACCGCCGTTGTCCAGTGAGTCACGACGGCGACGACGATTCGCGTGACGGCGGGAAGAGAGCAGGAAAACGGCGGCATGGCGGAAGACGCAAACGATGTATGTCTGTTCTAGAAGCAAGTTCGGAGACAGGTGATTGTTCAGGTCACTGTCACGCTGCTGGAATGGGCTTTGCGTTCCTTTGCATGAGAGACGGCGGGTATTCTCGCATCTCTAATCGTCTGGTTCACCCGAAATTCCCGTCTCAGCGTCCTTCCTCTCAGCGTCCCTTCGTATTGCGTCCCGTTTACCTCAAATTTCCGTTCGCCATGCCCCGCCCGGCTACCCCCGCCGCTTGTCCAGCCAGAAATTTTTTAGGCCCGGGGCCTCACAATCCTGTTTCCCTCTGTCGTTAGAGTGATCAAGATTCAAGTGTACTGGAGTCGCTTTTGAGAATTCTCGAGAATGAATCCGTTACACCCACCGCATGCGCGGCCAGCGCCTCACACTGGCAATCCTGTTCTCCCTTTGTCATTGGAGTGATCAATGTCGTTCAGCGCGTGGCCGTGACCTTAGATCCGGCTCAGATCATCTGTCGGGATGATGTCGTCATGATGTCGTCATGATGTCGTCTGTTGCTCAGGACGGCCGTCTTTTCCTTGACCGACGTTTGAGGCGCCTCAAAAAACGTATATTAACCCGTTGTTCTCGTCGTGGCCGTGACCTTCGATCCGACGCACATGCCGTCCAGTTGCTCACGATGGTCTTTTTTGCACTGGCCAAGCGCACTGTGCGGCATGTGACGCGCTCGCTTCTGAGGCGACTCAAAAGCCACCTCGAGACCTCTGATTCAGCTCACATGTCGTCGGCAGTTGCTCAAATTACCTTCTTTGCAGTGGCCGTGTGTGATAGTCGATTTTTGAGTCGATTCAACCATCGACTTATCTCACAAAGTCACCTCGTGACCTCTGATTCAGCTCACATGCCGTCCACTTGCTCGGATGACCTTCATCGCTGTGGCCGTGTGCGTGTGATGCGCTCTCTCCTCTCGCTCTCAGTCGTTCTCTTACCATTGTGCTCCCCGCCTCACATCACATGTTTTCTGCACGCCATTAGTCAATAATTCCCAAAGCTTGCTTTGTTACTGCCTTTCGGCTTGCTTTTCTTAGCGGTATTGATTCATGCTCGCTCCTCTCCGTCTCTCCTGTCCCACCCTCCTCTCCTCCCGACCAGTCACACTGTTCCACGTGTTGATCGCTATATGGATTATGATCGGCGTGGGCGTGTGCGTGTGGCGGTTCATGGCGAGGCAGTACCAGTGGCACGGGGAGCGGCAGGGGGAGCTGAGGCAATGGTGCTCGCAGCGAGCCATAATGCTGGAGCAGCAGCTGTTAGCTCACACAGGGCAAACTCAGGTGAGTGAGCAAAACAAAGAAAATCACTCCACATGCGTTGGGCTGGGTGGGCAAGGCAGTACCAGTGGCAGGGAGAGCGACAGGGGGAGCTGAGGCAATGGTGTTCCCAGCGAGCCATAATGCTGGAGCAACAGCTGCTAGCGCACACAGGACAGACGCAGGTGAGTGAACAAGAAGGAATTGCATGCCTCAGGTGGGACGAGTGAGGCAGAATGGTGGCAGGGGGGTTGGTAGGGGGAGCTGAGGCAATGGCGCTCCCAGCGAGCCATAATGCTGGAGCAACAGCTACTGGCTGGCGCACACCGGGCAGACGCAGGTGAGTGAATGAGAAGGAATTATATGAGCTGCCTTTGGTTGGGTACATCACATGCCAGTTCTTCTCCCTCTCACACCCCTTCCTTGTGACTTTTCCAGCGCACGCATACTCTCCTGCCCTCCCCCACCTCTCCCCCCGTGTGGAGACACTGGCAGGCTTGGTGTCGTCCCTGGGTCACATGGCCGTGGATGGCCAACGGACTTGTGGAAGGAGATAGGACTGAAGGCGTCACAAAGCACATGTTCTTTCATGCCCCTGTTCCACTACCCCTACCCCCCCCACCCCCCACCTTCCCCTGCTGAGCAGACACTGGCAGGCTTGGTGTCATCCCTGGGTCACATGGCGGGGGATGGCCAATGGGCGCTGGACACGTGTCTTTCTGAGAGGCGCTGGATGGCGTATCTCACCCAAACCACGTCCACCCGGCCTGGATGCGCTGGGGCGTTTGCGTGTCTTTACGTCACGCACGCTCAGAGGTTAGTCAGTCAGTCAATCAGTCATGCACTGATGCTCATCCGTCTGTCTCCATCACTGATTGTTAAAACACTTAGAAAGTGATAAGTCAATTTTTTTGAGTCGACTCAAAAATCGACTTATCACACACTGATGCTCGTGGGGGACTTGTTAAAACACTTGAAAAGTGTTTGCCTCATCCGCATTCTTGTGGGGAACTGTTTGAAGAAGTGTTTTGAGACGTCTCAAAACCATTCTTGTGGGGAACTATTCCCCCATCAACGATGCTCCCTCCTTCTTCCTGCACTCCCACTCCGTGTTCCCTCCCGTGCCTCATCCCCCCCCCCCCCCCCAACCCCCAGGCGTGCGTTTGAGCGCCGGAACAACGCCTCCATCACTGATGCATTCACCACCCTGCCACGTGCGCTTGCTGCGAACTACTGCCCCAAGGTACGCGCTCGAGCGGCGCCCAACATACTGCGGATGGATTGAGGCGAGTGGCTTGCGAATGGAGGGTTGCAGGTGGAGGGTTGCAGGTGGAGGGTTGCAGGTGGAGGGTTGCAGGTGGAGGGTTGCAGGTGGAGGGTTGCAGGTGGAGGGTTGCAGGTGGAGGGTTGCAGGTGGAGGGTTGCAGGTGGAGGGTTGCAGGTGGAGGGTTGCAGGTGGAGGGTTGCAGGTGGAGGGTTGCAGGTGGAGGGTTGCAGGTGGAGGGTTGCAAGTGGAGGGTTGCAGTCATGGCAATTGCATCATGTTTCTCCCGCACTACTTCCTTGCACCGCTCCCCACCCCACCCCACCTCCGCCCCTCACCTTTCCCCCTTCTCCAGGTGCTGGTCGTGGGCGGTGAGTCGGGCACAGCACTCTTGTCCGATGCCCTGCAGGCCTTCCCCTCGGAGCTCTCTCTCGTGCGTGCCTCGGCCAAGGAGACGTTTACCCGTACGCCACCACTGCCACTAGCACTGCAGGGCTGGGTGAGTCTCACAGGCTGCTGGGTGGCTTGAGTTGAGAGAGTCACAGAGGAACTCACCCCTTTTAGTCTACTCACAACAAATCGTGCGTGCCTCAGCCAAAGAGGTGTTCACACTGCCCTATGCCACTACCGCCACTAGCACTGCTGGGCTGGGTGAGTAACAGTCAAGGACTGGGTACGCTCAGCTCTGCCCTCCTGGATTCATTGACTTGAAACAACCAATTTGAGCGTCCTTAACCCGAATTAAGTTTCCGAGCTTCTGCAGTTCCTCTTTGCATTCCTCCCTGTCATCCCTCCCTCCTTATTCTCTCCGTATCAACGCACCACACCGTCTTCCTTCCATTTTCCACCTCTTTCCTCCCTATCACCACACCAGGCGTGGTCTTTCCAGTGCTGCAACAGCCCCTCGCCTCGTCCTCCTCCTCCTCACAGCAGCAGGCACAGGCAGCAGTGGTGGGGGCAGTGACCACCACCATCAACCTCACAGCCGTCGTGCAGAGTGTGCTCTCTGAGATCTTCTCCTCCACTCCATCCGCACGTGAGTCTGTGTGCGCGCGCACGATATGGTTGGTCCCAGGTGCAGTAGGAACCAAGCTGACATCATCCTGAGCGTGCTCTCAGAGATCTTCTCCTCCTCCACTCCATCGGCACGTGAGTAGCACTTTCTGGCCAGTCAGAACAATAGCCACATCTGTCACCCGCTGTTTTTCCCTGCTGCTCTTGCCTGCTCCTCACGTCGCCTCCTCCACTCTTAGTTTTGATATGGCTACCTAACCAGAGAATCGTTTCGATCCACTCTCGCGCCCTCCTCACATCCTTTCTTCCCTCTTCCCCTCGCCCTCCTCCCATCCAGGCTCCAACCGATCATTTGAGCTTTACGACACGACAGAAGCCGCGGCTCCACTCATGCTCTCAGGCCCCACGTCGTTGCTCTTCCAGCCGCAGCCTGGCCAGCCATTTGCCCCGCTGCTGCCCTTGCCCTCTCCTCACCTCACCTCCCACCCGCCTTCCCTTCTCCCCCACAACCCATCCAGGCACCGACCGATCATTTGAGCTCGCCGACATGACAGATGCTTCCGCCCCGCTCATGCTCGCAGGCCCCATGCCGCTGCTCTTCCAGCTGCTCCTGCCCGCTCCTCACCTCACCTCCCGTCCTCCGCTCCCCGCCCTTCTCCCATCCAGGCTCAGACCGATCATTTGAGCTCTACGACACGACAGACCCTGCCGCCCCGCTCATGCTCGCCGGCCCCACGCCACTGCTCTTCCAGCCGCAGCCCAGCCAGCCGGTCGCCCCGCTGCTGCCGCTGCCCCCCTCGGTGCTGCGCGTGTGGGAGAAGCGGGCAATCGTGAACCTCACGCTGCCAAGTGCTGGGCCCAGGCGCTACCAAGTGTGGTGCAGGTGGGTGGATGGGTGGGTGTGCTAGGGCGGACTTTCAAGCTGCGTAATGAATATAGCTAGTATGGTGGAGTTGGGTGGAAGGGAGTGGTTCCACTCAAAATGGACATATCTGAGCCATAATTTATGAATTTACACATCTTCTTATCCTGTTTATGTAGCGTATTGAGCAGGGGGAGAGGGATGATGCATTGCTGGAGAGGGGAGCTCACCTGCCTGAGACGGATTCTCAGGTGGAGCAGATGAGAGCTGAGATGACAGAGTTGAGCCTGTCAGCTGGTTGAGAGAGAGGTTTGATTGGGGCAGATGAATGCTGAGATGGTGGGGCGAGATGTACAATTGGAGCAGAAGAGCGCTGAACTGAACGCAGTGATTGCAGAGCGAGACCGCCTTTGAGATGTAGGCTCAGGAGGGGGGGAAATGGTGGCGGGCGGCCTAAGAAATCTAACACCAGTTAGGCCCGCCGCCACCATTTCCCCCTTTCCTGAGCCTACCTCTCAAAGGCGGTCTCGCTCCGCGATCATTGCCTTGAGTTCAGCGCTCTTCTGCTCCAATTGTACATCGCGCTCCACCATCTCAGCTTTCATCTGCCCCAATCGAACCTCTCTCTCAGCCAGCTGACGGCTCAGCTCCGCCATCTCAGCTCTCATTTACTCCACCTGAGAATCCGACTCAGATAGGTCAGCTCTCCTCTCCAGCAGTGCCTCACCCCTCTCCGCCAGCTCAATACGCTACATGAACAGGATAAGAAAATGTGTAAATCCAGAAATTACGCTACATGAACAGGATAAGAAAATGTGTAAATCCAGAAATTAGGGCTCAGGTATGTCCATTAGCTAGTCTATTTTGAGGCGCATAGAAACACGATTCAGTGTGGTTCTGGTGGGAGGGTGGGTGGACTGGAGTGTGTGTGTGTATGTATTTAAACTGGTATCCTCCCCGCCCCCCTCTCTCTGTCTTCCACTGTGTGCCTGTTTCTCTCCCTCGGTTCTGACCCTGTAAGTTCACGGAGCCCCACTCTCAGGTTGTTGAATATGGACGGAATGCCCATCTTCTGGACGCTGCTGGTGCTGGCGCAATTGGTAACCCAATCCCCCATTCTTTCTCCCAATGTACGCTCCAACAGGTTCACGGAGCCTCCATCTCGCTTCATGGAGTGTGTACTGCCCACCTCTTCACCCTGCTGGTGCCGGCGCTGGTAGCGCTGGTGGTGGTGGTGGCATGGCTGCAGCAGCGGCAGTAGGAGCAGAGCAGAGCAGAGCAGGCAGGCAGGCAGACAGCAGAGTGGTTACCCTGTGCTTATTCCATCTGGTAACCTGATCCCCCCCTGTTGTCTCCCTCCCGTTTCGTCCCACCAGGTTCACAGAGCCCCCGTCTCGGTTTGAGGAATACGTAATGCCGAGCCTTTTCAATCTGTTGGTGTTGGCGCTGGTAGCGCTGGTGGCGGTGGTGGCCTGGCTGCAGCGGCGGCAGTACGAGCAGAGCAGGCGGGCAGCAGTGGAGGCGGATGCAATGAGGGAGGAGGCGGAAGCGGCTGAGAGGAGCAAGAGCTGCTTTGTTGCTAGCATGACCCACGAACTGCGCACCCCCATGCTTGGGATCATAGGTACGAGCTGTTGTTGTTGTCTCATGGGTTGTTTGGTATGGGCGTGATTGGGGCGAATCTGGGGAGGAGGCGGAGGGGGCGGAGAGGAGCAAGAGCTGCTTTGTCGCCAGCATGACTCATGAGCTGCGCACTCCCATGCTCGGCATCATAGGTATGTCTGCTTTCGAAGTCCCATGACTTTTGAGGCGTCTCAAAAGTCAGCTTTGGAGACTTCACGTCTCAAGGTGCTTCAGCTGGTGAACCGGGTGCTGAACCTTTCCAAGCTCATCCTTTCCTTCCCTTCACTCCCCTCGCTTTGCCCCAACCACCAGGCATGCTAGACGTGCTCTCAGACTCACAAATATCTGTCAACCAGATGTCTGATTTATCCACGGCACGTGCCTCTGCCCTCAAGGTGCTGAAGCTGGTCAACCAGGTGCAGGACCTCTCCAAGCTGGAGGCAAATTTTCCCTTCCCCTTCTCCTTCCCCTTCCCCTTCCCCTGTCCCCCGCCACCCCTCCCAGGCATGCTAGACGTGCTCTCAGACTCTCAACTCTCTCAAAACCAGCAGTCTGATCTGAGCACGGCACGCTCGTCCGCCCTCAAGGTGCTGAAGCTGGTGAATCAGGTGCTGGACCTCTCCAAGCTGGAGGCGGGCCGGCTGCAGCTGGAGACGCTGAGACCTCTCCAAGCGCATCCAGCTGACTCCTTCCTACCATTCCCCTCGTCTCTTCCCCCCGTTGCCAGGCATGCTAGACGTGCTCTCGGACTCGCATCTTTCCCAAAATCAGCTGTCAGACTTGGGCACGGCCCGCTCCTCGGCCTTGAAGGTGCTGAAGCTGGTGTATCAGGTGCTGGACCTCTCCAAGCTGGAGGCGGATTTTCCCTTCCCGTTCCCCTGTCCCCCACCCATCCCTCCCAGGCATGCTAGACGTGCTCTCCGACTCACATCTCTCTAGAAACCAGCTCTCAGACTTAAGCACAGCCCGTTCGTCCGCCCTGAAGGTGCTGAAGCTGGTGAATCAGGTGCTGGACCTCTCCAAGCTGGAGGTGGGCCGGCTGCAGCTGGAGACGGGCGGGTTTGATGTGCGCGCGTGGGTGGAGGGGGAGGTGGGCCGCCGATGGACGGAGGCTCAAGAGAGGAACGTGCACTGTGAGTATGCGGCCTGTTTCATACAAGAAATGGGGGGGAGGGGGAGAGGGGGAATGCGGCCTGTGAATTGCTGGAAGTGGGGTGGGGAATGTCAACTGTAAGTATGCTGGCTGTCTCAATGAGATTGACTGGAAGGAGAGAGGGGGAGGGAACGTGCATTCTGAGTGTCCCTTTTTCTGTTATCTTGCATCTAACAGCCTATGTGTTTGGTGCTTGCTTGTTTTGTGTGCATGCATGTGTGCATCTTTGAACATGTGTTTGGTTCCATGTGTGCTTGCATGCATGCATGTGTTCTCGCGTGCATGCATGGGAGCAGTGGCAGCAGAAGTGGATGCCGATGTGCCGCAGCAGCTGATGGGAGATCAGCTGCGCCTCGCCCAGGCGCTCTCTCAAGTCATGGGTGGGTGTCTCCTCACTCAAGGACTCACACTCACTTACTTTTTGACGCATCTGTTCAGTTTTCAGTTTTCGAGTTGTTGACGCATCTGTTCAGTCGCTCTCAAGTGCAGTCATGGACGGTGTCTGCTCAGCTCAGCTTCATGTTGTCACGTCTGTTCAATCAGTTGGCCTAGTTTGCTGGCCAGCTAACTCTCATGTCAGCACTCCTGTTCATGGGAGCATGGGAATGCGCAGCTTGTGAGTCATGCTGCATCAGTAGGCCGGCCCTTGTCACAGGGGTAGCTCTGGCTATTGCAGCGCCGTCTCACCACAGCAGCTCTGGCTATTGCAGAGTCGTCTCAAGGTGACTATTGAGTCGACTCAAAAGTCACCTCGTTACAATGGCACACGACACATCAGTTGGTTGGCCGGCCCTTGTCACAGGGGTATTGTCTCACCACAGCAGCTCTGGCTATTGCAGAGTCGTCTCAAGGTGACTATTGAGTCGACTCAAAAGTCACCTCGTTACAATGGCACACGACACATCAGTTGGTTGGCCGGCCCTTGTCACAGGGGTATTGTCTCACCGCAGAAGCTCTGGCTATTGCAGAGTCGTCTCAAGGTGACTATTGAGTCGACTCAAAAGTCACCTCGTTACAATGGCACACGACACATCAGTTGGTTGGCCGGCCCTTGTCACAGGGGTATTGTCTCACCACAGCAGCTCTGGCTATTGCAGAGTCGTCTCAAGGTGACTATTGAGTCGACTCAAAAGTCACCTCGTTACAATGGCACACGACACATCAGTTGGTTGGCCGGCCCTTGTCACAGGGGTATTGTCTCACCACAGCAGCTCTGGCTATTGCAGCGTCTCAAGGTGACTTCTGAGTCGACTCAAAAGTCACCTCGTTACAATGGCACACGACACATCAGTTGGTTGGCTTGTCACAGGGGTATTGTCTCACCACAGCAGCTCTGGCTATTGCAGAGTCGTCTCAAGGTGACTATTGAGTCGACTCAAAAGTCACCTCGTTACAATGGCACACGACACATCAGTTGGTTGGCCGGCCCTTGTCACAGGGGTATTGTCTCACCGCAGAAGCTCTGGCTATTGCAGAATCGTGTCACCGCAGAAGCTCTGGTTATTGCGAAGTCATCTCACCGCAGCAGTTCTCTCCCGTCCCATCCTCCCTCCCTTCTCCTCCCGCTCCCTCTCCCACTGCAGACTATGCCTTGTCATTCACGCCGCACGGGGGCTACGTGCTGGTTCGGGTGGCTGTGGCGGATGTTGAAGTGCCCTTGGCTCAGCTGGCTCAGTGGAACGGTGAGTGAAATGCTTTATCAGTTTGGTTGTTTCCATGTCTGTTGTGTTTCTGAGACGCCTCAAGAGTTGCCTGTGGTTGTGGCGCATGTTGACGTGCCCTTGACTCTGCTGGCTCAGTGGAACGGTGAGTGAGAAGGTTCTATCATCCTCCTCACCTGCTTTCACCTGTTCTTTTCTTTGTTTTCTTCTTCAGAATATTCAGAACCCATGTTAGTTTTGAGTCGCCGCAAAAGTGGACTCATGATGCACTCACGAATGGAGCTTTGCTTTAAGTGAAGACCTGAGTCGCCTAACCTTTCTTTCTCCGCTCTATGCCCATCCGTTTCGCCCTTTCTCTGGCGATCATTCCTTCAATGCAGCGTCCTGTGCAACAGTCAGCAGCGCGAGTGTGACTACACTGATAGATTCAGACGGTGTGACTATAAAACGGGATGCTGGCACAGCAGCAGCGGCGGCTTGTGTTGCTGGTAGTGCTGGGCTGTGCAGTGAAGAGCAGAAACTTTGTCCACCTATGCCCGCACGCAATAGGCTCAATATGCGCAAACGGCTAGGATATGGCAGCAGTAGTGTAGGCTCAAATTGTGACTGCAGAGGAGTGGGGCAGTGCAACCTTCGTGGTCCCTGCATAGGTGGTAATTGTACAGGCGATAAAAGTGGTAACCATACTATGGGTGGTCGTAATAGCCATACGGTCATTGTGGATGGCGACTGTGACTGTACAGGGGGGAGAAGAGCAGCAGCAGGCGGGGCGATGCAGCTGGTGGTGACGTGTGAGCATAGCGGGTGTGACAACAGCGAGACCATGAATGGATTTATGTTCCGATTTGAGGTGAGCACATAGTTTATTCTCCTGATTTTGAAGCCCTGTTGTCAACACATGTCTTGAGAGTCCATTGTGTGTGCTTCGGTGCCCCAAGCCGGTCTTGACTTGATGTGTGCGTGTGCGTGTGCGTGTGCGTTGATGCGTGCAGGAGATGCGTAGCCTGCAGGAGGGAGCTGAGGAAGCTGCTGCGAAGCTCAGCCTCGTGTTGGCTAAGCAACTGGTGACTCTAATGAAGGGTGACATGAGCTGCAAGGTGGACCCCGTTACAGGAACAACCTTTACCCTCGCCATACCAATTCTCCCTGCCCCGCCACAACTGCCCCAGCCAAGCCTTCCTTCAGCAGCCCTCCACCAGATCAGCCTGTTCCATACGAACCTGCCTTCTTCAAAAGCCGTTTTCCCCGCTGCCGCTCCTGCTGCTGCTCCTGCTGCTGCTGTGGCTGAAGCTGGGTTGGTGGGTGTGAACGTGCATGGTCACGCGGAGGGTAGCAATGCAGAGCGGGTGGATGGGGGGGAGAGCCATGGGACCATGATGGACAGCCGCATGGGGCGGGAGCGGCGGGACTTTTCGGACCTCTCGGGAGTGCTGGTGGTGGTGGCGGATGGCCAGCCGGAGAGAGCAAAGGTAAGTTGCAGACTCTAGCCTAGAAGCTTGGTGTGTGTATTGGCTCGTGAAATCTTGATGTGCTTTTCGGCCGTTGACAGTGGGCGAGGTGGTGGAACTGCTGTTAACTGGCGTGGAGGAGATGGACATTGGCATATGGGTTCCTCCTCACCTCAGCGCCCTCACCTCCCATAACAGATGGGTGTGGGGGAGAGTGTGGGTGGTGCGGTGAGGAGGGACCCACATCTGCCAATGTCCATCTCCTCCACAGCAGCCACCAGCGGTTCCACCTCGTCCTGTGTGAACGGCCGCTTCTTCCTCCTCTCCTTTTCCACCTGTAACCGCACCTCTCCCCTTGCTCTTGGGCGCAACATCCTCGCCCCCACCAGCCAGTACATTATCGCCTGACCGCATGTGCTGGTGCACATAGGAGCATCCGTGCTGCTGTCAAACGATGAACAGGCAACAGCTCGGTACTAACCTGGTGGTTCCTCTTTCCACCAACCAATATCCCTCCCCCACAACATCACCCTCGCCTCTCCCCTGTGCGTTTACTGTCTCCCTCTTCCCCTCACCAGCTAACTGCCTGTGTGTTGACACACCTATGTGCATGCGTGCTGCTGGCGAACGATGAATGGGCAGCAGCTCCCTTTGTAGCTGGTGTCTTGGGTGCCTCTGTTTCATCAACCAACCATCCCCCACCCTCACCTCTGACCTGTGTGTCTACTGTCTCCCTCCCTCCCCCCAACAGCTAACTGCCCGGGTGCTGACACACCTAGGAGCATCTGTGCTGCTGGCAAACGATGAACAGGCAGCAGCTTCCTTCACAGCCAATTTTCAGGCCTACCACCAGCAGCCTTCCCGTTCCCACTCGCACCAGCACTTAACTAAGTTGTGTGGGAAGCAGCTGGTGGTGGTAGTGAGCGGGGAGGCTGGCCTGAAGAGGTTCAGGGAGGCCTTCTCCCTACTGATGCAACAGCATCATCAAGAACAGCAGCAGCAAGTGGAGCCGGAGCGACAAGAGCAGAATCGCGCAGTTGTGTGCAGCACAAGTGATCGCAGGAGAAGCAAATTGCACGACTGCAGTCCCTTGTGCTGCACGCCACTGCACAGCCTGGCCCTTTCTGGCATAGTGGTGCTTGTAGAGAAAGGGGGGCGTATTGAAGGGGATGGTGAGGGGCTTGTAGAGAAAGGGGGTTGTAGTGAAGGGGTCGAAGAGGGCACAGAAAGTAGAAGGGGATCTGTTGGTGGTGGAGATAGAGGGGAGCAGCAGGGGTAGGCATGACAAGTGGACAGCAACGTGCTAATGGCAGTGATGGCCGTAGTGCTGATGCTGAGGCTGATGCTTGCTCTGATGCTGGTTCGTTCTCTTTTCTCACTGGCGGTGATGGTGCTGATGCTGCTGATGCTCGTGTCGATGCTAATGGTGACGCCGATGATGCTGCCAAGGCTGACGCTCATGCTTATGCCGATGCCAAAAGGCAGAGCAATCTTGAAGGGGCGGACAGGAAAAGCTTTGAGTCAGCTAAAAAGTCGCCTCATCACAGGCAGAGTGATTGTGAAGAGGCGGACATGCACGGGGCTTCCAGGGAGGAGAGGGTGGGTGGCCTTCACATGAGTCAACTTGAAAGAAGTGTTGAGGAGGGAGGAGGGAGTGACAGCACTCGCCACGGAGTCCATGAGGGTGGCATTGGCATGGTTCCAGTGGTGCTGTGTGAACGGCCTCTCTTCTCCCACCACCTGCTCTCTGCCATTCAGGTACGCTGCCATTCAGGTACGCTGCCAAATGCCTTCTTTGTCTACTACGACTGTTTCAGTTATCTCCCTCCCACTCTGTCGTTTCCCTTGTTTGGCGTTTCTCACCACCAGCTCATACCTCTCGTTCCTCTCCTCCTTCTCCTCCCTCTTTCCCCTCTCGCAGACCATTATCGTGTACCAGCACCACCAGCACCACCCACCTGCTCCCCACCTAGCAGCGGCTCATCCTGTAATCACCACTGCTGCTGCCTCTGCAACTGCAACTGCATCTGCAACTGCCACTGCCACTGCTACTGCTGCATGTCCTGCACCACCACCTGCAGCAGCCGTTGCTGCTACTGTTGCGCCTGCTGCTACAGTTGCGTCTGGTGTTATCCCTGCTGATTCTTCCAGTGGTGCGGGGCTTGGCAGTTCTGGTGCCAATTGCAAAAAGAAGGTTTCGTTTGTGGACGGGGAGAGACGAGGGGGAGGGTCAGCAGCGAATGGGGGAGCTGCAGGAGTGGGAGCAAAGGCGAGAAAGGGGAAAGCAGGAGACGGAGCAACCACAGCAGGAGGAGGGGCTGCGGCAGCGGCAGGAAGAGGGGAAGAAGGGAAGAGTCTGCTAGCTGGGTTGAGAATCATGGTACAATAAACATGCTCGCCACACTTGCAGAACATGCATTAGCCTTGTCATGTCCCTTCCACATGCCGTTGTTTTTTATTCTTCTACTTCTCCTTTTTTTGTCATGATTGATGGATCGCACCCCTTTCTCACACTCCTTTTTAACCCCAGGTGGTGGGTGACGCAGCAGTGAATCTGCTGGTGGCGTGCCGCACTCTCACTGATGCCAATCCCCCAGCTGGTTTTTGAGAATTCTCAAAAGCCAACTCTCACTGACGCCAATCCCCCAGTGACCAAATCCCTCTTGAATCCCCCCTCACAACCACCTTCGCCCCATTCCTTCTGCACCGCTCCTAACCCCAGGTGGTGGACGACGCAGCAGTGAATCTGCTGGTGGCGCGTCGCACTCTCATACCCCTTCTTGCCCCAACCTGTTCCTCCTTGGCGGTCTCTCTCACTCTCCTTCTCTCCCTTGTTGACCTCAACCTGCCCTTGCATCAGATGGTGGACGACGCAGCAGTGAATCTGCTGGTGGCGCGTCGCACTCTCATACCCCTTCTTGCCCCAACCTGTTCCTCCTTGGCAGTCTCTCTCACTCTCCTTCTCTCCCTTGTTGACCTCAACCTGCCCTTGCATCAGGTGGTGGACGACGCAGCAGTGAATCTGCTGGTGGCGCGCCGCACTCTCACTCGCAGCGGCGCCACCGTGGCCACAGCAGCCAGCGGGGAGGAGGCCGTGCGGCAAGTCAAGCACGCTCTGGGGGACACTGCCGCGGCGGTGGATGCACGTGTGGATGCACATGTGGATGCACGTGTGGATGTGGTGCTCATGGACCTGCAGATGCCCCTCATGGATGGGTGAGTCGTGTGAATGCATGGGTGAATGCATGGGTGAATGCATAGGTGACCGCCACACTTATCACTTTGACTGCCTGACATGTCTGCCAAGTGTCATGCTTCTCCTCTACCTCAACCCCACTGCTGAGTACTCCACTGCTGCCTCTCTGTGTGCCTCGCTGTTATCCCCCCCAGGTTCGTAGCCACAGCGGCCATACGAGCACACGAACAAGCCCTGCTTCTTCATCCTGCATCACCACCAGAATCAACACCCAAAGCAGCAACAGAAGCCACACAATCGTGCACGCAAGCGTCAATCACGCCCACCATCCCTCGGCTCCTCATAGTGGCGCTCACAGCAGATGTGGATGCTGAAATCACGCAGCGCTGCCTTGCGAGTGGCTTTGATGGCGTTCTGCAGAAGCCTGTCGACCCAAGGCTGCTCTCGCAGCTGCTTTTGAAAATCTTCAAAAACTGAGCATATGTGGTTGTCGAAATCAGTCAGCACTGCACCTGCGAGTGGCTTTGACGGCTTTTTCTAGAAGCCTGTCTACTCGAAGCTGCTGGCGCGGCTGCTGCTGTGGCTTGGATTGCCGAGGCTGTGTGAGCCAGGTCTCGACCGGAGCAGTTCGTTCGCATCTCGCGTCTGCTGATAAGGAACCCATGTTACAAGCGCCGCAAGGGATCTACATTGTAATGCATAAAGGTCACACGGATTTTATAATCGTGTGTCTCGTGGCCACAAGCTCTGAAGAGCTGTCAAACAGAGTGCGCGGAATTAGCAACTAACAAAGCTGTGACCAAATGAATTGACTAACAATATGTCTTGCAGCGGTTATGTATGTGTTCGCTGCACATGCTAAGAACCAGTGATATGACATAGTGCATGCTTTACAAGAATGTTATGCGTATTATGGGTTTAGAACATCGAGGGGCAGTAGTGCGCAGCCGAGAATGCTATTGCCGGGTACACGAGGGTAGTCTGGCTGGCCGCTGGCGAAATCCCGACACTCACATTAGGGCGGGCTCCGCCCTTATCCGCGCAGCCACAGTCGCTTGTTACAGTCCCTCCGTTCTCCATTGACTTGCATTGTCCGTTGACGTGCCGTCCTCCATCGTTGAATTAGAGTAGGCTAGTCTGGGACTGAGCCATTGTGCGGCAATGATTTGGGGACGAGCCAGGGGGAGAGCTCCCACTAGGAGCGCAACGTAAAGTGGCCTTTGAGGCGCCTCAAAAACAGCCTCGATGTAAAGAGAACTCTTTAAGAATTCTAAGAGCTCTAAGTGGCCTTTGTGGAGGGAACTCTTCCAGCTCTAAGAGCTCTTCCGAAAAGAATTCCGGTAGGACCGCAACGCCTCGTCTAATCGTCCATCGGGCAATGATACGCGGCAAGGATCGCAACGCCGCCGCGTTGTGCGGCCTCATTGTTCACGGAAGGCCCCTTGCTGCTGCCGCCACGCGGCCTTCTCCCTTTCAGTTCGCTCGCCGGCCGTCGCGCATCGTCGCTCGTCCCGCGTCGCCCACCGTCGCTCGTTGCTCGTGGCGCGTCCTCCTTCTCCTGCTCCTTGCCTTCGCTCTCACAACCCGCCTTGCTGCCGCGTCTGGTGCGCACGTGATTTGGGCTCTTCCCCTCTCCCCTCCCCCGTCTCTTCACTCTCCCCTCTCCCCTCTCCCCTCTCCCCTCTCCCCTCTCCCTCTCTCCCCTTCCTCCTCTCTCGTCATCCCTCTCCCCTTCCCGCTCCCCCTCTCTCCGCCTTGTCTATCCGCCTCCTCTGGTTACTCCCTCTATTTCTCTCCCCTTCACTCTTGATTCCTCTCGTCATTTGGTGCCGTTCCTGCCGCCAATGTCTATTGTCCCATGCAGATGATTTGTTTTTTGAGACATTTTCACTGGCTATTGTCTTAAGCAGACGACGACGGCTCTCCACCACCACACGATTCTGCTTCATCGGACGGCTCACCAGCGGCCACTGCTACCGAGATTGCCTCTGCAAGCAATTCATCAGATTGTGATTCAAGTGAGTGACAGAAACATATCTAACATATATCACTGAAAGCGGACTCCACCATACCTTTTCCCCCATCCTCCTTGTGGCATTACTTACTTGCTCTCTCTCTCATGCTGTCTTCTTCCATAGCAGAAACCACCTTGCTTTCCGTTCAGCCCCGTCAGCAGTACTAATTGCAGAAACCATGGTCTTCAGTCAACAATGCCTGATTCCCCTTTCCTTCCTTCCTTCCTTCCTTCCTCTCCGTCTGCCCTTCTCCGGGCCGTTCCCTGCCCCTTTTTCACCCCTTTTCACCACTTTTCACCCTTTTTTCACCATACATCCCCCTCCCATGGATAAGCCCAACTTCTTCCAAGCCATGTTCTAAATGGTTTCTGTTACCTCCCTCCGTACCTCTCTCCGTCCGTCCGCCCCCTTCCACCTCTTCTGCCCTTCCCTGTGTCCGTTTACCCCCTTCCCCAGGCGACACCCCCTGCCCCCTATATCTCTCGCCTTCTTGTTTAAGTAAGGTTCGAAGCACTCCTTGCCCCATTCTCCTCCCCCCCCTTCCCTCCCCCCCCCAGATGACACCCCGCGCCCATGGGTCTGCCCCTGCAATTCCTCCTTCAACCCTTCGCCCACCCCACCACCAAACAACTCCATCCCCGCTATAGACATCTTCTATACGGGCGAGTTTGGGTACGAGCTGATTGCAGTCCTGCCGCACGCCTACTGGCATTTCCTCAACGGAACTCTCAGATCCACCAAAACTTGCGGCGCCCCTCTCTCGCTCCTCTACTATTTCAGCCCAAGCCACTCCTCAGACCCAGACTGTAAGCGCAACAGCGAGCGCAACTGGATTACACAGTATGGGTTCACCCAGGGGCTTCATCATAGTGACATTCCACAGTACTGGCATCCCCCCCCTATAGTACACCGGACGCGTGAGCTAGGGCGAGTATGGCTTGATGTTCCTGTAGGGGGGGCGCCGCTTGTGGTTATAAGCAACAAGTATGAGACCGAATGGGCGGAACCTCCCGTTAATTTTATTGACGTCCCAACCCTCGTTAATATAGCCCGCGAGTTTCTCGATAAGGGGTATTTTGTGGTGTATAACCGGCCTGGAAATTCGATCAAGGGGGATGAGGGGCAAGCAGATATGGTTGATTTGGGGGACCACCCGAAGCTGGCTGAGGAGTTTGGTTCGGAGGCTCGGTTCCGAACCATGCAGCAGATTCACGAGGCTTGGCCGGGCCTAAGTTTCAACGAGGTTCAGTTTAGAATGATGGCCCGGAGCTCCTGCTTTATCAGCGTGCAAGGAGGAACCTCCGTGCTGTCAAGCTACTGGGGTGGGAAGAATATTATATTTTTCCGCAAGGGGGGGGAGGGTGCGGGGAGGTCGTATGAGAGGAACTATCATAGAATGTCAGGGGCGAAGATAGAGGTGACTGAGACGTATGAAGTGCTGGTGGAGAGAGTGCAAGTTATGATTAGAGAGGACCGATGCCAAGCAGTGTGACTATTCCGCAGGCGCCTCACAGCTATGATTCGTCACATACCTTAGGTGGCTTCGAATTAAGCACTCACGGCCTGTAATGTCCTCAAGTAAATTGTTCATGTTACAAATGGGCCACTGGCCAACACCACCAGTGGTGGTGAGTAGTGTACTGTGCGACATGAGCTTATTTTTTTCATCTGAGATGCTGTTGAGTGCCGTTCAGCATCAAGAACAAAATACATTGGCACCTTGTTAACAATGATAGACAGCATAGACGATAATATTTTTTTATAGAGGATATCATAGAGTACTATTACAGAGCTTCTACTTTAGATCTTTTGCGAATCTCCCCTTTGCTCGTCATTGGCTAAAAATACGTCAGCGTTTGCAATGCCACGAAGGAGCGCAGACTTTTAGGTGGATGCGCGGTTTGTTGACGGGGCATGGGCATGACGAGTTTTGATGCCACGCCATGCGATTGCCCTCATCAAGGGCCATTCGCGAAGAAACGGGAGCTGTGCAACGGTAACTTGGTTGCGCGGGCTTTGCTCGGCTGCTCTGATCATTTCCGCCTCGCCTTGAAGATGGTGCGCTTCCCGCCCATCACACTTCCCCTCCCGTCCATTCCCCTTCCTTTCCCCCCACTCCATCCACCCTCCCTCCCCGTTCTCCCCTCATGTCCCCCTTCTGTTCCGCTGCTGTTCCTCTGTCGGGGAATGCAGCTGCCACAACTAAAATCCGAATACCGAATTCCAAGCAGACTATCTTTTTGGTGAGAAGCATAGCCATCACATTTGCTTCACACCGTTTCCTGCTCCCGTCAGAAAACCTTCTGTTGGTTACTGCAGGGATCGTCCAGCTGCTGTTTCCCAGGGATCTCGCCTTTCCAAACCCGCATTCTGTAAATTTGTCTTTTTTATGGCGGTCTCCGTGTCAGCCTCGGCTTCTCCCGTCACATTGACTCGTTCAGTCTCCAGTGCCTCTGCCCGTTCATCCGCATTGCATTCGAGTCCCGCCTCCGCAATGGCCTCACTGCATCATTTCGGCCAACTCGTCCCGCTGCACTCTTGGCGAAAGAGTAACCTCAAGCGATCATCCTCTACTGTTCGCTCGTGTCAAAACTCCAAGTCCACATTTCCGATTTTCGCTGCCTCAACGGCCGTCTCATCAACCCCGCCTCCCTCCAATTCGTCGAATCTCGGCTCCACCAGCCAATCCCTGCTCTCCACGTTGCAATTCCAACAGCTGCATCAGCACGAATCCACCGCACCCATTACCCATCCCCACGAGCCGGTACCACCAATGGAACTTTTCCACCGCGATCCGCAGCATTGGCGGGAAATCATGCTGCGGGAGCGGCACCACGAGGACGAGTTGTCGATCGTCTTGGGATTGGATTTCGGCGGGACGGGAATCAAGGGAGCGCCTGTTGACGTGGCGACGGGCACGCTGCTGCTGGAGCGATACCGAATCCCCACGCCCAATCCCGCGACGCCTCAGGCCGTCGCTGGCGTCATCAGGCAGATCAAGGAGCACTTTCGAGTGAGTGCTCTTGCCGTCAATGTGACGACGTTTTGAGACGTCTCTAAACAACGTAGTTTTCACGTCAAGTTGTTTCCGCGTCATAAGGCTCGGATCAAGGAACATTTCCGAGCGAGTGCACTTGCTGTCAAATGCTAGCTTGGAGAGATCTCATGGCGTGTTCACTGCTTACTACGAGCATTCACGCCCCGTTGGTTTCTCTTGCTCCTTCCCTCGTGACGCTTCATTGGCCTAAATCTCCTTCTCTCTTTCTTCCCGTCTCCTTCCGAATATCTCACCAGTGGGATGGGCCAATCGGGATTGGCGTTCCGTCTGTCGTCCGACGAGGCATCGTCCGCAGTGCTGCCAATAGTGAGTGCAATTTATAGCAAATCATTGATCCTAGAGCAGGGCGGAAGTAGTTTGAGGCAACGACCTATATTACAATGAATGTGTGCGTTGGAGAATGGGGCTAACCAGAAATAAACTGGAATTGAAGGAGGAGGGAGGGAGGGAGGGAGGGAGGGATCACAAGAAAAAAGGGAATCGAAGGGAAAACTTGTGCAGGCAGGCGCTCTATACTATCCGTCATTCTAACTTCTCCCCCTGATTCCAACCCCCACCACCTCTATAACAACGTTTGCCCCTCGCCTTGTCTCATCAGTCGACAAGTCATGGATCAACATCAACGCCGTTGATCTCGTCCAACGCGCCACAGGCTGCCAGGTGGCAGCAATCAACGACGCAGATGCAGCAGGATTCGCCGAGATGAGGTTCGGCGCCGGCCGGCCCTTGCAGCGGGAAGGCACGGTCCTGATGACCACGTTCGGCACGGGGATAGGCACGGCGCTGTTCGTGGGCGGGCATCTGGTGCCGAACCTGGAGATGGGGCACATAGAGGTGAACGGGGAGATTGCCGAGAAGGTGGCGTCTGGAGCAGTGAAAGAGAAGACGGATATGAGCTGGAAGAAGTGGGCTGGGCGGGTGAACGAATACCTGGCTCGCATGGAGCATTACCTCCAGCCTGATCTAATAGTAAGTATCATGTACTGAATCGTATACAGATTGGGCGCACTGCTAGTGGTTAGGAGAAGACGGATATGAGCTGGAAGAAGTGGGCTGGGCGGATGAACGAGCAGGGGGGGAAATGTTTAGCTGTGGCGCGTGGAGCATTAACTTTAGCCGCAGAGACTACATTTCGGTGTAGGCTGCTGCAACAGGTGCAGAAGAAGAAAATAAGTTATAGAGAAGATTCTTTTGCTCATGGCAAGGAGCAAGCAGACCTTACAGCGAGTATTGGCTTACTGCATGGACCTTTAGTGAGGACAGGCTAACTGCATTGTAGCCTTTGCTCGGCGTACATTTGTGGTTGTTTCAATGTGGTTGCGTCACGATGTGTGAGAGCTGACAATATCCATGTGCTGTGTGGTGCTGTGCGGTGCCGTGTGGTGCTGTGCGGTGCCGTGTGGTGCTGTGCCGTTGCTTGCAGGTGATTGGTGGAGGCATCAGCAAGAAAGATGAGAAGGTGAGATGAGATCGAGTACGGTAAGCAGAAAGCATGCATGCAACGCTAGTTGTGCTCCCACGCTTGCATTGTCTCTTGCCTGTCTCTCAACCCCCTTCCTTCCCTGAACCCCTCCCTCCCCACCCCACTTCCTGCATCTGCTGTCAGTGCCAGGTGCCATGCCCATAGTGGCAGCTCCAGTCCCCTTCTCAACCCGAACTTCGCTCTCCTCCTCTTTTCTTTCCTCCGTCCCCCATCAATTCCTGCATCTGCTGTCAGTGCCAGGTGCCATGCCCATAGTGGCAGCTCCAGTCCCCTTCTCAACTCTCACTTCGCTCTCCAACTCTTCTCTTTCCCCCATCCCCGATCAATTCCTGCATCTGCTCTCAGTGCCAGGCGGCATGCCCATAGTGGCAGCAGAGATGCATTGAGTAAGGTTACTTTCAATCCCCCCCTGGCCCCCCCTCCACCACTCACCCCCATCTTCCCCGCAGTTCCTGCATCTGCTCTCAGTGCCTGGAGGACGGCTATAGTGGCAGCAGAGATGACTCCACTCCACTTCACCCCTCTTCCCCCCCTCAACCCCCAACCTGCAGTTCCTGCATCTGCTATCAGTGCCAAGGGGGCACGCCCATAGTGGCAGCAGAGATGACTCCAACCCGCGTACTTGGTTTTCCACACCCTTCGCCCCTCTTCTCCCCCTTGCCCCCCAACCCCCAGTTTCTGCATCTGCTGTCAGTGCCAGGGGGCACGCCCATAGTGGCAGCAGAGATGACTCGAGCAGAATTACTTACAGTTTCCCTCCCCTCTCATCCTCCCTCCGCACCACCCAGTTCCTGCATCTGCTGTCAGTGCCAGGGGGAACGCCCATAGTGGCAGCAGAGATGCGCAACGAGGCGGGCATCGTGGGGGCAGCTGTGGGCGGGTCCATTCTGCTGGGGGAGCAACGGGCTTCCAGGGAAGCTGCCCGGATTACACCCACTCTGCTCAGCTGATTGGAGTCTGAGTGGCAACGATACGAAAGGACGCATCGTGGGGGAGGCTGTGTGCGGGGGTCTATTCTGCTGCGGGATCAGCGAGCTGCCAGGGAAGCAGCCAGGCCAGACTCACACCCACTTTGCTCGGGTGACTGGTGTTCGAACGGCAACCATACCAAGTGACAAGATGTGGTGCTTATGCACAATTAGCAGCCTCAGATTTTCTGGGGTTTGAAAATACTGATCCGATCCGACTAAAGTTACTGCTGCACACACCAATGTACGCATGACACCATCAAGAAACGACATTTATCCATTGCCAGTTCCAATGGGGTTTTCACACACCAGCTAGCTCATGCCTTGGCGCCTGGGATAATTCTCATTTTTTTGTCCATCACCTTTCAAGGGTCGCCACTAGTTCTCCGAAGTACTTCAATTGCTATGCAACTTGTACTTCTGACATCGATGGCGCAATTCTAAGCCAGCTGCTATCCCAGTGGAGAGAGGACTGTGATCCGACTGCCTGACCATCAAGTGCCATCACCATCTGGTGCCGCCCTTGGTTCTTAGCACACCACACGCACGGTGACGTCATCAGACCTCTAGTCAGCTGCAATTCTTGCATAGAATTAGCTGACGACAGACCAGACCAGTCCTCTTCAGCAGCAGTGGCAGCAGCAGCAAACCCACACTAACCATGTCTCTTGCACAGCCAGCAGCAACCAGCAGCAAGCATCACCGTCCATCACCATCGGGTGCCGTCTTTGGTTCGAAGCACCACATGCACCGGCACGCCGTCAAACCCGAAGTCCGCTGCAATCTTGGAGGAGAAAAAGCGGGCGCGAGGCCTGTCCCCTGCAGCAGCAGCACTACCACGGTCTCTTCCACAGTCACGAGTAGGCATCACCATCTGGTGCCGTCTTTGGTCCGTAGCACCACACGCACCGGCACGCCATCAAACCCAAAGTCAGCCGCAATTCTCGTGGAAAAGAAGCGGGCAAGAGACCGGTCCCCTGCAGCAGCGGCGGTCACACGGACCACGAAGGTGGGCGGGCGTGACTTCACTTGCACTATGCTCTTCACGGAAGCTGCGGTGCACGATCCAGGAAGCTTCCTGAGGACCTGGGTAGGGAAAACGAGATGGGTTGAGAAACAAGTAAAGGAGGGAGGAAGAGGAGTACGTAGAGCATGAATGAATTCTGGTGGACAAAAATCGCGACATAACTAGCGTACGAACGCAATAAGAAGGTTGGGACCGGGAGTTGCTTGTAGGGCGTCCTTGATCAGTGGAGTGGGAAGGGAATGATTGGACCAGCAAGACTTGTCTTGCTGAATGATGAAAGGCAACACTTGGGCAGTCTTGAGTGATGCACACAGAAAGGAGATTAAACAAAGCAGCGATCAGAAGAGCCTGTAGCCTGTCTCTCCAGGCTCAACTGTGGCAACCGAGTTGAATTTTGAGTCGACTCATAAGTCAACTCGACTCAAAAGTCAACTCAGTACAATGTCTCACTTTTGAGGCGACTCAAAAGTGATCAGAAGAGCCTGTAGCCTGTCTCTCCAGGCTCACCTGTGGCAGCCAGTGCTTGAGCCTGGCAGCAAGCAGCATAGTGTTCCAGCGGTCATACGTGTCTGACACTGCTTGCATCAGCTCTTTGCCACCCATTTCTTTTCCACCAGGCACCTCAAAAGCAACCTTTCGCTTGGCACCCCAAAAGAAACTCCCAGGCTCACCTGTGGCAGCCAGTGCTTGAGGCGCGCAGCAGGCAGCATGGTGTTCCATCGATCATACACGTCTGACACCGCTTGCATCAGCTCCTTGCCTCCCTCCCCGTGCAAAGCAGACGTGAACACTATCGGAACGTTGTGCACCTGATGGGGGGGAGGGAGGGTGGAGATAGCAGCAAGAAGGGCTTGATCGCCTAGACTGGAGTCCACCTGACACACTCTGAAGCAGTCTGAGACGGTCTGAGACGGTCTGAGATGGTCTGAGATGGTCCGAGATGGTCCGAGATGTTGTGCATGGGGTAAACACTATGGCCACGTTGTGCACACAAAACAGGCCCTCCCTCCATCACCCACCTGGGGCAGCAGGGCAGCGATCTCCAAAGGCACGGCCCACCCGACCTTCTTCCTCTCCCACCGCTCGTCCCTGTACGTTCCCTAGCAACACCCCAACACCATCTCTCATTCACCCACACTTGCAGCAACAGAGCGGCAACCCATCACCCACCTGGGGCAGCAGGGCAGCGATCTCCACTGGGACAGCCCGCCTGACCTTCTTCCTCACCCACCGCTTGTCCCTGTCGCCTCCCACCACATCCATCTTGTTTGCAGCTATTACTAGCGCTCGCCCCTCCTCCCACACCCACCGCGCCAGCGACCTCTCTGCAGTTTTCAGGGACTTCTCCTCTTCCGCCACCTGGCAAAACGTAATTGGGTCGAAAAGAAAGGCTTTAATGTTCAGTGAAGTTAGATGGAACCTGGGGGAGAGGGGGGGGGAGTACTTTATAACTGACAGGAGTGGGAGCGTTCTGGTAGGAAGGGTTCTGCTAGAAGTACTTTATAACTGCCAGCTACTACCTGAACCAGGAAGGTTCTGGTAGAAGCACCTGAACCAGGAAGGTTCTGGTAGAAGCACCTGAACCAGGAAGGTTCTGGTAGAAGCACCTGAACCAGGAAGGTTCTGGTAGAAGCACCTGAACCAGGAAGGTTCTGGTAGAAGCACCTGAACCAGGAAGGTTCTGGTAGAAGCACCTGAACCAGGAAGGTTCTGGTAGAAGCACCTGAACCAGGAAGGTTCTGGTAGAAGCACCTGAACCAGGAAGGTTCTGGTAGAAGCACCTGAACCAGGAAGGTTCTGGTAGAAGCACCTGAACCAGGAAGGTTCTGGTAGAAGCACCTGAACCAGGAAGGTTCTGGTAGAAGCACCTGAACCAGGAAGGTTCTGGTAGAAGCACCTGAACCAGGAAGGTTCTGGTAGAAGCACCTGAACCAGGAAGGTTCTGGTAGAAGCACCTGAACCAGGAAGGTTCTGGTAGAAGCACCTGAACCAGGAAGGTTCTGGTAGAAGCACCTGAACCAGGAAGGTTCTGGTAGAAGCACCTGAACCAGGAAGGTTCTGGTAGAAGCACCTGAACCAGGAAGGTTCTGGTAGAAGCACCTGAACCAGGAAGGTTCTGGTAGATGGAGTCCCATCCACATCCTGCAATGAAGCTGCTTCTGTGGCGCCTCAAGAATAGCAGCTTGCAACGCACCCCGTTCAACGCACCTGCGCAACGCACCCCGTGCAATGCAGCTGATAAATGGCACGAATGGATGGAATGCCTGATGATGCACCCCGTTCATCGACTCACCACAGCGGCATCGAGCACCAGCACCACCGGTCCTTATAAAGCACCTTAGGCATCAACATGAACATCAACATCGACTCACCACAGCGGCATCGAGCACCAGCACCACCACGTGTGCGCGTCCAATGCTCCTCTCCATGTCCATGCGAGCCAGCGACACCGGCCCCCTCTGCCTTGCCTGCGCTGCCTTCACCCACCCAGCTGTGTCCACCTGCCATGGGTTTCAAAGTGGTTCGAAGTGGTTCAGAGGGGTTCGAGAAGAAGCTGTGACACCGGCGTCCTCTGCCTCGCCCGGGCTGCTTTCACCCACCCTGCCGTATCCACCTGCCATGGGGTTCAGTGAGGTTCAGTGCGGTTCAGAGGAGTTTAGGAATAAGTTGTGGCACCGGCCACCTTAGGGCGCGTGTGATCGGTGGAATTTGTGAAAGTTTACATTTTAAGGGCGAGTTGTGCTACATGAACATATGTCGAACCAAACTCGACTTTCATTGTATCGGGGTTCGCACATCTGGACCACAACACTGCAGAAAAGCACACACATATACAAGGTCGAGTGCGCGTATTCGAACTTGTAAAAACGCACCGAACCGCATTTCTACAAAGTAGGTTACCCGGTTCTAAAAAGTAGGTTACCCGATTATCGCCACGTGGTCTCTATTCAGTACACGAAGGCTGTGGTGAGTTCGTTGTGAAACTGTTGCTACTCGTGAGTCGCTCGCACATTTCGCCAGATGCTCGAACGTGCGGGAAATCACACACGTGAATGTGAACATGCCGAAGCACGTTCACAACTAAAACTCGAGTCTTGTTCAAGTTTGCAGTTCGCATGTTGCCAAACCCAAAGTTGACGAAGTTTCGCTCGTAGCTTTATGCGACATTGGCGAAACTGGTAACCACACAAAGTTCGCACTTTTTTTTGAATTTCAAATCCGACCTCACACGCCCTTAGTGGGTCCCCGGCTCCACCCCGCGTTGTGCTCCCAGCACCCCCAACCCCCCAACCTTCTCATGCCCCCCCCCCCCTCTTTCTCCCGCCCATCTCACCAGCCACATGGGTTTGCCCTGATACGTGATGCCAATGCGCACAGCATCCCTGGTCAGCCCCGGCTCAGGCCTCGTCAACACGCATTGTACGCCCAGCAGCCCCACCCCCCCTCATGTCATGGCCCCCTTCCACCCCCCACTCTCCCTTCTCACCAGCCACATGGGTTTGCCCTGGTATGTGATGCCGATCCTAACAGCATCCCTGGTCAGTCCCCGCTCAGGCCCTGTCAGCACGCGCTAGGTGCCCAGCAGCCCTACCCCACCCCTCCCTTTTCATGCCATCCCCCCAACCGCCCCTGCTCCCCTGTCTCTCACCAGCCACATGGGTTTAGAATTCTCAAGACAACCCACCACCCCATCCCACCTCTCACTCACCAGCCACATGGGTTTGCCCTGGTACGTGATGCCGATCCTGACGGCATCCCTTGTGAGTCCCGGTTCCGGCCCCGTGAGGACGCGCTGGGCGCCCAGCAGCCCCACTCATGCCATGCCACCTTGCACCCAACAACCCCCTTGTTACTCCCTCCCTCTTCTCCCCATCCCACCCCATCTCACCAGCCACATGGGTTTGCCCTGGTATGTGATGCCAATCCTCACAGCATCTCTAGTCAGCCCCGCTCAGGCCCTGTGAGCACGCGCTGTGCTTCCAGCACCCCCACGCCCCCTCATGTCATGGCCCCCACTCTCCCTTCTCACCAGCCACATGGGTTTGCCATGGTACGTGATGCCAATCCGCACAGCCTCCCTTGTCAGCCCCGGTTCCGGCCCTGTCAGCACGCGTTGGGCGCCCAGCAGCGAGTTGACCAGCGTTGACTTGCCCCTATCCCCCCTTCCCCCGCCCTTTACACCACCCCACCTCACCAGCCACATGGGTTTGCCCTGGTAGGTGATGCCAATCCGCACAGCATCCCTTGTGAGTCCCGGTTCAGGCCCCGTGAGCACGCGCTGGGCGCCCAGCAGCGAGTTGACCAGCGTTGACTTGCCCACGTTCGGCAGGCCCGCTATCGCCAGCTGTAGCGGTATCTCTGCGGCCCCTGCGGCCCCTGCGGCCCCTGCCGCCTCTTCCGCCTGTCCAACTGATGATGATAACGTCAATCCTTCCTCTGCCGCTTCATCCCCCTCCTCCACCAAATCCTCCTCTAATGCATCTGCAGTTGGCATTGCCATAGCTCTAGCTGCCTTAACAGCGTCACCACCCAATGCACCAAAGCACTCAACGCTATAAGCCAATGCCGCAGCATCGCCCCGCTCTGTGCGCGACCTCATCCCTGTGCTGCACAGAACGCCACCAAAGAGAAACGTCGGAGCGAGAGGAGAGAGCATCAAGCAGCATCACAGGAAAGCAGGGCCAGGCTGTTGCCTGCTGCTCAAAACCCAAGCTTCAAGCCTCAACGGGGAAGGGAGAGCATCAATGCTCGAGAGGAGCAACGACCATTGAGGCTTAAAACTCGAGCATTGTTGGTTACAAACAATAGCCTCAGAGAATACACATCCAAAGCCCTGGAGCACACGGACCTCACTCCACACATGTGGGAAAAAACAATCAACCTCAGCTGAAACAGCCATCTTCCTTCCTTCCACCTCTTGCCTCCGCTCCCTCATTTCTCTCTCCCTCTCCTCGCTCTCCCTCTCCTCCCTCTCCCTTTCCTCCACAGGTCCTTTCACAGCAGCATATAGATCCTCCAACCCCTCCCAGACTCGGCAGGGTCGCCACCTAAAGCACCCACCTGTGCTCACCTGAAACTGCCTTCTTCCTCCCTTCCATTTCCTCCCTCCTCTCCCTCGCCTCCCTCTCCCTTTCCTCCCTCTCCTCCCTCTCCCTCTCCTCCACAGGTCCCTTCACAGCCGCATATAAATCCTCCAATCCCTCGCCAGACTCAGCAGATATCGGAATCGGGTCGCCGAACCCCAGCGAATAGGCTTCTGCCACGTGGCTGGCCAGCAAGCCTGTGCTGTCGCCGCCCAACCCCTCGCATTTATTCGCCAGCACCACCACCCGGTGCTTTGGCACGGAGCGGCGCAGCCAATCAGCGACCTCCACGTCAGCAGGTTGTATGCCAGCTCTAAGGAATGGGGTTTTGACGAGGTATGGTGGGAGGGAGGGAGGGAGGGAGGGAGGGAGGGAGGAGGGAGGGAGGGAGGGAGGGAGGGAGGGAGGGAGGGAGGGAGGGAGGGAGGGAGGGAGGGAGGGAGGGAGGGAGGGAGGGAGGGAGGAAGGGAGGGAGGGAGGGAGGAAGGGAGGGAGGGAGGGAGGAAGTGAGGGAGAAAACAAGGGAGGGAGGGAGGAGAGGGCTGTGAGAAAAAGAGAAAGAGCAAGTTGAGTGAGCATTGGAAAAGGAGAGCTTGGGGATAGGAAAGAGAGCAAATGAGTGAACGATATAGAACGAAAGTAGGAAACGGCGGAAAATTGAACCAAAGAGGGAAAGCGGGGGGGAGCGGGCAGGTGGGGGATGGGGGGGTGGTGAAGGGGAGGGCGGGCTGGGGGGGAGAGGAGGGGGAGAGGAGGGGGAGGGGAGGGGAAGGGGTGGGGGTACATTGGAAAAAGGGGGAGACAAAGCATTCTGGACGGAGAAAAAGGGAGCAGAAAAAGAAATTGAAGGACATTCTGCATGGTATCAGAGCATTGCACTGTGAACACACCCACCTGGCATCCACGAGGAACAGCACTGCCGCTGCCTGCCCCAGCAAGTACGAAGTAATCTCGGCCGTTCGTTGCAGAATCGACGCCTCCATAGCCGCACGATCTGCCTCTGGTAAATTCCCCAGCAGGCTCGGAGTAAATCCCATAATCCTTCCCCCACCACCACTCTCTCCCAGCCCACTACCCTCATGGCCCTGGTGCGAAGTAGAGGTCGCGGGTTCGAGTCCTGCTGTGTCAAATACTCGGAATCGGAGGCCAAAGAAGGAGCACACACCCTCGCGCACGTCTCTCGTCATGTGGCCCTGCGGGGTGTCGCACACCAGGGCCTCTCTGCGCCGCATGAGCCTGTAGGGATCGTCTTCGCACGGCGCACAGGGGTGGAGAGAGGTGCAGAGGGGTTTGTTTCTGTCAACTCAGGAAACATCTACGGTGTTCCACACACCAATGCCTTACTTTAAAGAAAGAAATGACACCACTGGTGGGTGTGCAATCAGGCTGCTTACTTGTTGAACAGAGCTGACTTGCCAACGTTGGGTCGCCCTACGATCACAACGATCGGACGGCTGTCAGCCATCGCCACAACCGGTATGCTCGGCTCCTCCACCTCCTCTGCTGCACCCTCGCTATTGTCACTCGCAGCGGCACCCTCGCTATTGTCACTCGCAGCGGCACCCTCGCTATTGTCACTCGCAGCGGCACCCTCGCTATTGTCACTCGCAGCGGCACCCTCGCTATTGTCACCCTCCTCATCTTCTCCTAAACGAATACCTGAGGCAGTGACCTCAGGATTCGATTGCACCACGTCAGCACCGTTCGAGGTAGAAAAAGGCCTCGTCAAGGTGTGTGCCGGCAGGGTGTGTGCCGGCAGGGTTTGTGCGGGCGGGGTGTGTACCCGGTGCAAGGTGACTTCCGGCGGGGAGACGAAACCCCCATGGCCCCAACGGTCAATTGAGTAACTTGCTCTAAACGCGACGCAACTATGGCTACGGCGAGGATGTGCAGTAAGTGACCGTTGGGTTGACTCCACGGCTACTTGGCAAGGCCATAAAAAGGATTCCAGGTAACGAGTATGATTGGATGGACGATGCGGATCGTAATCGGTACTAGGCAGGCTCTCTGTTAATTGGCGCGCCGCTAGAGGGACGGTTCGAAACGACGTGGTGGCGTGGAGTGGATATGGGCGGAAGGTGCACTGAATATGACTGGACACGGCGCGCCACGACCGGCGCCGCGCGTGGAAAGGCGACATGGATGGCCGGACCTAGATCAGTAGCGCCTCGGTGCCATGGAACGCTGCGGGAAATTTGAAGGAAGCGCGACGACGCAACTGGCGGGAGATGTGACTGATAGGATGGTGCTGCTGATGGCGAAGCCGCAGGTTGTTCATTATTTCCAACAAGAGAGTTTATGTATGGTTCAATCGGAACCCTTCCATGTATTGACGGATTATTCTTATCGAACACCACGGAAACGCCTCCTTTTGTTTGACGCAGAGTCTGACGTGGCCTTCATATTCACCACAAGATGTGACTTCAATTGTGGATTCCACAAGATTCACTCTCATAAACGGGGAAACGCCAGGCAGTCGTTTTGGCTCTCTTCGACACGGTGGTGGTGCTTACAGCAGAATCATAGCCCGGCCGCATAATGACGGTGGGCTATGCTTTAAAAGGAGGTGTAATTTACCGGGTACAAGTACGTGACGGATAATCTTCTAAACGACTCTGTCATACGAAGGTTCTACTGTCGGAAACTGAGCTATAACAAGGTATTTAATGACGGTGTTTGTCGAACATCTTCCAGACCCTTCAAATTATATTTATTATAATAGTACTCCCAGGAATTGCCCCCACTTCAGTAACGTATTCGTGGAGGAGCACTTTACGAACAAATGTCAGAGGTTCGTGGATCAGGCACGGTGGTACTTTCAGCGGAATCGCAGCCAGGCTCTTGATAATCTTCTAAACGACGGTCGGGACGGTGGGCTATGCTTTAAAAGGATGTGTAATTTAACGGGTACAAGTGCGCGACGGGTAATCTTCTAAACGACTCCGCTATACGAAGGTTCTACTGACGAGAACTGAGCTATAACGAGGTATTTATTTGACGGTGTTTGTCGAACATCCGAAAAACGTTCCACACCCTTCAAATTGTTTATATTTCCCACTTGTGTATTTATGGGCTAGCACTTACAAACGAATTTCAGGTTCGTGGGTCAGCCAAGGTGGTGCTTACAGCGGAATCAAGCCAGGCCCCGTAATGACGATGGACTATGATTACAAAACGCGGTGTAATTTAACGGGTATAAGTACTTGACGGTTAATATTCTAAAAGTCTCCGCTATAAGGAAGGCTCTACTCTAAAAAATATAGCTATAACGAGGTATTTTAGTGACAGTGTTCTTCGGACATAGGAATCTCTTCCAATACCCCTCATTTTTTATAAACCCTCTCAGGGATTCCCTCTTCCAGGGATTTCCACCCTGCCCACTCTGCACTTCACAAACGAATTTCGTATCAACTGGTTGCAGAATGACTGTTTCGACCCGTCTGGGAAATCCCAATGCCCGTTAGAAATCCGGGCCAAGGGAGAACAACAAACCCTGGAAATCTCTGAACTGAAGTTCAACTAAACCTGAATTCTCAGGGGAAACGGAGATATGTCTGTTAATTGACAGACCTGAGCTTTAGATTTCCGCACTTCGCCAGGAAAAATGGATTGCTGCTCTTGCATCATCTTTCAAGCAGATTTGCGCCCCCGCTTACTTAGGTCTCACCTCCTATTCTCCTCCATACCTGTTCTGTCTGGGGACTGGGAAATAGGAGCATATTGCTTGAATATCGTGGCTATTTATCTAGCAATGGCTGCCGTCGCTCCCAGCTGCTCGCTTCGTGCGTGCAATGTCTCCTCTTCAGTCGCAACATCTCGGACCAGACGTCCCGAAAATGCCCGCCTCGCCTTTCCACAATCGTCCACCATTCTCCCCGCAATTTCCGGCGGTTCCACTCTCCGTCCCTCCGTCACCCTCTCCACCCGCCTGAACTCCACCCCCGCGTCTCAACACCGTCACAGCCGCCAATCCACCCACTCGCGCGTCGCGGTAATCTCCGCCGCAGCCGCGAGCGACACTCCCGAGGCCGCGTCGCCTGCTTCGTCCCCGTCAAACGCGCCGGTAGAACGAGTGCTCGTCGTCGGCGCGTCCGGCGGCGTGGGTCAACTATGCGTCGCGTCGCTCGTAGCTAAGAACCGCGCCGTGCGCGCGCTAGTTAGGAGCGTCGAGAAAGCCGAGTCGCTCTTCGCCGACGCGCCCGCGGATCTGATTCAAATCGTGACCGCAGATCTCCGCCAACCCGGCACCATCTCCCCCGCGCTCTTCGCCGGAATTTCCGCGGCGATCGTGTGCGTCGGAACGACGGCGTTCCCGTCCAAACGGTGGGACGGCGACAACGGACCAGAGCAAACAGGTGCGTTCCCATTCCGTGCTTTCCGGTTTATTGTGTTGCGAACTTGGCAGGTGGGTTCTCGGCTATTGGGATGTGTGTGCGTGTACCGGTCATTGGCGAATCTTGCTTTCCCGTCCAAACGGTGGGACGGTGACAACGGCCCTTGCCGCTGGATCCGCCTGATAGGAGTGTGTTGGGTTGGGTGGGCATCGGGGACCATTGGGGCCCATAGGATGTCACTCCATTGCTTTCCCTCCAGAGCAATGAAGACCCGCCTAGCTTCGCGTCGCGAGAAATTCACAGAAGAAGAAAAGAAACACCAATGGAACCAGCTCCAATTAAACCTTTAGATTTTCTCATGATTTTTTATCTCCCATCTCAGTCCTCCTATAGTGCATTGGAGTGGGCCTCCCAGCCACTCTCTCCCGCACCTTTTTCCGCTCTCCGTCGTCTCATCAGCTGGGTTAGCACCCTGCCCTGAATATTCACAAAATTCCTTACATTCGCAATATCATTTGCCGCTCTCCTCCCCACACCACACAACCCGCCCACCACTGTTCCTTTTCCCTTTCCCAGACTACATCAGCGTGAAAAACCTTCTAGCATCGTCTTTGTCTCATCAGCCGGCGTCGCGCACTGCCACCAGCTGGCCTACTCCATCCATTCAGTTCCTCCCATTCTCTTTTCACCCTCTCCTTCTCAACCCTCCCCTTCCCCCACCCACGCCCCTCCCTTTTTCCCGACTACATAGGAGTGAAGAACCTTGTAACAGCACTCCCCCGTGACCTGTCCCGCCTCGTCTTCGTCTCATCAGCCAGCATCGAGAACTACAATCAGCTGCCCCACTCCATCCATTCATTTCCCCCCCTTCCTATTCTTCCCCTTCTCCCCCCTCTCTTCCCCAACCCTCTCCCCTTCCACCAGACTACATCGGAGTGAAGAACCTCCTAGCGGCTCTTCCTAAAGACTTGTCTCGCATCGTCTTTGTCTCATCAGCCGGCGTGGAGCGCTACAACCAGCTGCCCTACTCCATCCTCAACCTCTTCGGGGTGCTCAAGTACAAAAAAATGGCCGAAGACCTCGTGAAATCCTCGGGTATTCCGTACACTATCTTGCGCCCGGGCAGGCTCACAGACGGACCCTACACCAGTTACGACCTGAACACTCTTCTCAAGGCAACAGCTGGGATGAGAAAGGCGGTGGAGGTGAGGAGATGGAGTGATACGCTTTCCGGGGAGACGAGCCGAGTGGTGCTGGCAGAGGGGTGTGTGCAGGCTTTGGGATTGAAGGCGGCTGAAAATGAGGTGTTCGAGATGATGTCTGTCGAAGGGGAGGGGCCGGGCGGGGATGAGAGTGCGTGGGAGAAGATATTTGCGTCTGCTCCCACTGGGAAATGAAGTGGCCAGAGTAAAGGCGGCTGGAAACGAGGTGTTTGAGATGATGTCTGTGGAGGGGGAGGGGCCGGGCGGGGATGAGAGTGCGTGGGAGAAGATTTTTGCATCTGCGCCTGCTGGCAAATGAAGAAACTGAATGATGCCGTACTGTTTCACGAAAGAGTGAGGGGAATGGCAGAGTGGTGCTGGCAGAGGGGTGTGTGTGTGCAGGCGCTGGGATTGAAGGCGGCTGAAAACGAGGTGTTTGAGATGATGTCTGTGGAAGGGGAGGGGCCGGGTGGGGATGAGAGCACGTGGGAGAAGATTTTTGCGTCTGCTCCTGCTGGCAAGTGAAGTAGCGGGGGTGGGGATGGCTGAAAATGAGGTGTTAGTGTAGGGGAAGGCTAGGGCGGACAGAGCGCATGGGACAAAGTGTTTAACAAATGCTAATGCAGAAGTACCATTTGTATGAAGGGAAAGGCAGGTTGTTGCACTAAGTTGGAGGGCAGGCAGGCTGGATGGCATACCGGTACTGTGTGTGAGATACCGGTACCGTAGGTGGTGTGGTGGTACCAGTATTTATACCAGTATTTCTTGGTTGGCTGTACCAGTGTTTCTCGGTCGCTTGCTTTTTGTAACAGCAGCATAGGTATAGAAGTCAAGGAAGCGCAGGGGCAAAGAGTAATGCACCTAGAATACACAATCATGACGCTTCTAGAATACGCTTCTGTAACCCATATAAACCAGCCCCTGCCCGCCTGCTCTGCAAACCAACTGGAAGAAAGCAAGCTAGAGACTGGAACTAGCAACATAGAAGTGATGTATGTTCATCCATCCAGTACCTACAGGTCAGCTGCAGCAACACCAGGCATCACGAATGTCATTCAAATGGAGAGGCATCGCATCAGGTGCACACTCCATAAAGAAACATCCGAGACCGGATACGGTACTACGGTATTTGGTCAGACAAACCAAGACGGTGTATTCCTATGCAACCAATGAAAGTTTACTAAATAGAGCATAGAAAGGCCTAAGCAAGGGCACGGGTGTGGGCACAGGCAGGGGCACAGGTACGGGCACAAGCACGGGTACAGGCACAGGCACAGGCACAGGCACAGGCACAGGCACAGGCACAGGCACAGGCACAGGCACAGGCAGAGGCACAAGGCACGAGCAGGCACAGGCACAGGCACAGGCACCCGCAGATCACAAATGCCTGCACTGCACTGCTCGTGCAAAACACAAACCAAAAAAGAGGGGAAGGGGAGGGAGAAGGAGTGGTGGTAAATCCACCGGCTCCTTCCCCCAAAAACTCCATTGGCTCCACAGGTGTTGGGACAAAGGTGAGGACAAAAAATGAGGCGCATTAACCACACTGCTGCTGCGGACTCTGCCGCTGCTGCTGCTGCCGCCGCTGCTGCCGCTGCTGCTGCTGCCACCGCTGCCGCCACTGCTGCTGCTGCAACAGTGCCTTCAGCTGAATGTGCTTCCTCTGGTACTTCCAACACTAAACAGGGTCCTGCAAAACGAGGCAGGCAGTAGCGATGTCGAAACAACCTGGCCTCTTGTGAAACAAAGCGGCAGCAGCGAGGAGAAAGCAACGAGGTGACAGCTGCGGCAAAACTTGCCACTCCTGGCATGTGAGATACCAATAACTATCGCACTGAGTTGGATGGCAAGAGGCGGTAACCACCCGGGGTAGTTCCAGTGATTGTTGCAACCAGCCAGCCATGGAAGCTGACCAGAGCTGATGCTCACTCTGATGCTTAATCTGATGCTCCATCTGATGCTTAGTCTGTCGTTTGTCCTGATGTTGCACTAAGAGGTGGTGGCGCTCTGAGGCTCTGTGTGGCAGGCCGATAGGAACCGAACCAGCCGTGAGAGCCAGGGAAGCTGATGTCTGTCATAGAGGGTAGTAACGCTGTGGGGGTGCAGATGCTGCTGTGATAACTAAGGTGTGCATGGTGCGAGGAAAAAGGTGTTGCCCGGATCCAAGGAGAGGGAAAGGCAAGGCGGAGGACAGGCAGAGGGAAGCAGAGGGAAGGTGGAGGAAAGGTGGAAGGAGAAATGACAGAAGATGTAGGAACAGAGAAGATAGGCGAGGCTATGAGCGGTTATGAGGGCCTAGGAGGAGCAATGAGGAGCAATGAGAAGCGAGGAGAAGGTAGGAAAGGTGGAGGGAATCTAGGAGCGAACGGCAAGCTTGAGGCGCGGCGTAGGGTGCAGGTGCAGCACCATGAACTCGAGACGTGTGTCAAACTCCTTGGGCATGTCCGGCGACATGGAGAACTGTGGGGGGAAGGGAAGACAGACGGGGAGAACAAAATGGTGTGATCAATTGGTGCCTTAAAGCTGGAGCAGGTGCAGCACCATGAACTCGAGACGCGTGTCAAACTCCTTTGGCATGTCTGGCGACATGGAGAACTGTGGGAGAAAGACAGGGAGGGTGAAGAGGATGGAGTATTCTTTAGGCGCCTCATGAATGGGTGCAGGAGCAGCACTGTGAATTCAAGACGGGTGTCATTGAAGTCCAAAAAAAAAAAAAAAAAGGGGGGGGAGGGGGGGGGGGGGAAGCGGAAGGGGAGAGGTGTGGTGTGGAAAGCAGACCTCGAATCGGTGCAGCAGAATAGCAACTGCCGCGCGGATGATCTTCAGCGACAGCCGCTGCCCCACGCACGACCGAGCGCCCGCACCAAACATGAGAAACTGCGGCCCAGGCTCTGGCGCCACAAACTCATAGTCATGTCCCGGTACCATCTTTCCCTCCCTACTCCACGGACTCCCACCTCTCACACCGCTCGCACCCGCTGCTTCCCCCGTCTTTCTCCCTCCCTCCTCGCGTTCCCGCCCGGTCCCCTCGCCTGGAAACCTCTGCGGTCCCTCCCGGTGGCCCATAGGGCCTAGCCCTAAGCCCACGCGGGTGTCTCGTTTGGCGAAGGAGTGAGAGCGGGGCTCGTATTGGTGATGGTGCGGGTGGTGGTGGTGTTGTTGCTGCTGTTGCTGGGGGCCGTGCCAGCGGAAGTGAATGAACCTATCGGGGTTGAATTCTGCTGCGTCACTGCCCCACAGGGCTGGGTTCAGCTGCAGCTGGTATATGGGCAAGGCTATAATCGCCCCTGACGGTACCAAGTGGAAAGCACTGCTGCTGCTGCCACTGTCGCTCACACCACCACCACCCACCCCATCCCCGTAATTACCTCCCTCGGTACCGTTACCGCCTCCCGACAGCCATAGATCCTCGTTCTCCGCGGCACGTGTGATCATCGGCACAACCGGCATGCACCGCGCTGCCTCGTATATCACCGCATTCAAATAGTCCAAACGCAGCAGATCCTCGTCTTTAGGCGCCTCGTTACCGCACACAGCACGTATCTCCCGGAACACTCGGTCCTGCACCTCTGGGTGTAGTGACAGGCATACAAGTACCCGTTTTAAGAGCGCGGGCACGAGGAGGTAACCGTGGAACATAAGCGCGGCTGCTTCTGCTTGGGCGACTTCCTGCGTGTAAACGGGTTGGCCTAAAGCGGAGCGCTCTGCTAGCATTGCTGAGAGAAAACTCTCCCTTAGCAGCTGCGGCTGCTGCTCCTGCTGCTCCTGTTCCTTCTCCTGTTGCTGCATCTTCTGCTGTTGCTCCTGTTTAGTTTGGCCCTTTGAGTCCTTGCCCTCCCCACCACTGCTGCCCCCACCAGCTTCTCCTGCTCCTCCTTCCCCCGACCCCTCCTCACCATGGCCCCTCCTCTGCTGCTTCACGTCCTTGGCAAACGTACCCGATACAAGCTGGTGAATCGCCCCTCTATAGTCCTCCGCTACGCTCATCAGCTTCCGATACGCGGGCAGCCACACCGGAAGGTAACTAAAGCTCGCGAAATCCTGCACCGAGTGCGCGAAAAACTCCAAGTCCCCAGCCACGCGGTCCCTCAAATCCGAGTCGGGAAACGCGGGCCCGAATAGGGAGCCTCCTAGAACGCCCACGACCATGTCCTTGCACGCCTGCGTGACGTCCAGCTCGCCGCCAGACGCGGAGAGCGCGCCCCACTCGCGCGCGGTGACGTCAGCCACGCGGCACGCCACCTCGTGCACCTGGAACTTGAGCGTCGTGTGGCAGTGGTAGTCGAGAAACGACCGCCGCGCGCGTGGCTGCAGGAAAGCAAGGGAATAGAAGGGATTGAAAGAGGCACAAGGAAGGGGACTCCCCTTGGTTGGAACTTGAGCGTCGTGTGGCAGTGGTAGCCTAGGAACGACCGCCGCGCGTGGGGCTGCAGGAATGGGATGGGGGACGGTTGGACAAGGAGTTGGGGGAGACGAGGGTCAAGGGTCGAATAAAAGCAGAGGGGAAGCCACGCGGCACGTCACCTCGTGCACCTGGAACTTGAGAGTTGTGTGGCAGTGGTAGTCCAGGAACGACCGCCGCGCGCGAGGCTGCGGGAATGGGATGGGTGACGGTTGGATATAGGCAAGGAGGGGAGATTGGGGTTAACGCTTCAATAACGCAGCAGTACAACGGCGATCGATCGCGCGCGTGCATAAGCACGTTGATTTTTGAGACGCCTCAAAAACCGCTTCGGGGGTAGGGTAGCTTGCTTACCTGAATGAAGGTGGAGAAGCAAGCCGAGTCCTTCCCAAGACACGCTTCAATCACGCGGCAGTACTGCGGGGACCGTTCGCGCGCATGCATAACCACGTTGATTATTGAGCCGTCTCCAAAACCTCTTCGGGGGAGCCTACCTGAATGAAGGTGGAAAAGCAAGCCGAGTCCTTCCCGATACACGCTTCAATCACGCGGCAGTACAACGGGGAGCGCTCGCGCGCGTGCATGAGCACGTTGCGGACCTGCTGCGGGTCCTCCACCGATATAAGCAGCCTCACGGGGCTCAGCCAGAGACGCACGACTGGCCCGTACTTGGCGTGCATGGCGGCGAGCACATCTGCGCGCCGCGAACGATGACAGTCGCACGCGGAGCGAGAGAGGGAGAGAAGGAGAAAGAGAGAGAGGGGAGGACGTAACGAGTCACCGCAGTGGAGGCTTAACAAACAAATTTCCGCTCTCTCCCGAAAAACGGTCAGAGCAAAGGTTCAGAGCTCGTTGTTAAAGGATAAGCAATTTAGCGGGACCGAAAAAGACGGGGTTGAAGCAATATGGCTGCCGGGAGAGAGGGAAAAAGGAAGCAGGAAAGTCTAGAGACGCCTCAAAACTAAAACGGAAGCAGGGGATAATCAGATGAGCTTACTTTTCATTCCACTCATGCCGCCAGCGTCCTGAATCTCCTTAATATTCCCCCAAAAGGAATGGCACTTCGGCCCTGGAAACTTGTTGCCGCGTCGCCAGTAAGCCAGCAGAGGGTAAAGCCATTTTACCAACCAGCTGACCAAAAAAATCGCGGCTCCTACAAAAATAAGGCGTATCATGTTCGATGTGGAAGTACCTGAAACATATGTCAATAAAAGTTCATCAGCGTGGTTTGATAAAACGGATGTGAGTGGTAATCGGAATTTAGGGTAAAAGAACGCAAAGTACAAATTCTCGTACTCACGAATTTAGGTATCGCGAAGAGGACAACCTAATCGTGAGGAAACATTAATCCGGTCTGCGTGCCATAGGTATGTAGGACTTAAAAATTAGCCGGCCTGATTTCGAGATTCAGTGACGCCGAATGACGATGCGGAAAGCAGGATATCAAACCTGTGATCTAACTAAGGTGGTCCTCCTAACCAGAAGCCTGAAAGGAAAACCTCATCCTTATCCAACTTGTAACCAAAGCAGTTGCCGCTTCTCCTTTGGCAGCTGCAATTGCTGCTGAGGGTGCGTTCCTGGCCAGTGTCAACTTCCGGTGTTCCCGGGATGACACGAAGCTCGCCCCACAGCTCGCCCCACTTCGGGTCTTCCCTAAAAAATTTGCCCCTGGCTCGGAAAACACGAAGTTTGGCCGGAAGTTTGACACGCGCCAGGAATGCGCCCTGAGTCTTGCTGCCCTGTTGGGATGGGATGGGACTAGTGGGTGGGCCCTCTGCTGCTCGTCTCTTTCTGAGCCTATTTTTGTTCTGAGCCACCCTGCCGTTTTTGTTTTCACGAAAAACAAAAGTTTAAAGCTGAAATTGTCACATGAAGCGACGTTCGTTACGTGAGCACCCGCAAGGCTGGACATTTCCGCAAAAAAAAAAAAAAACAAAAACAAAAAAAAATCAACTGCCGTTGTCTAACGAACGTTGGGTAACCACCCATGTGATTCCATCTCCCTTCCGCCCACGTTTCCCCTCCTCCGCCCCCCGAAACCCCCCCCCTCCCCTTTCCCCTCCAGCACGAGGAAACTCCGCCTGAATTCCAGCACAGCAAGTGGAGCAGCAGCAATTTGCAAAAAGAGCAATTTCTCGTTGGCCTGGCGACAGGGTGGCGCTGATGCATTCGCTCAGACCTACAACAGACAACCTTGATTGGCTCTTTTATGAATCAAAATCTGTTCGCTTGAGTTTTCTGCACTTTCTTCCCCGCCATGGCCTGGGAGGAGAGGCTGCCAAGCCAACGAGCGCATCCGACTGCCTCAAACGTGGAGGACAAGTCAAACTTCGAGACGTTGGACGCGGACAAGCCAGTGGCTGGCACAACCACGCCCAACCGAACCAGATTCCTCGGTTCAATTCGGGTCACGCCTCACGTCCGAGCCTATCTTTTATTTACGGGCCAACCTCCCACGCCAGGAGTTTCAACTACCACTTGGCGGTTGGGGAAACCAAGGTACAGAGTAGGTTGGATCTACACTTCACCCTTAATACTAAACGGCCGTCTTTCCTCCAAAAGACCCTAGGTACTAGGTAGTAGTGACCGCACATTTTCACAGCTAATAGTGGTTAACTTTTGACCTTGAAATGCATATCTAAACGATATATAAAATGGTGGACTCATGTGTTTACTCTAGAAAAGCTCGGAATATTTTTAGAAAATATATGCACCCACGTACAATATCGTTGTCGTGGATCTCATGAGAATTCTTCCTCAAGATTTATGAAAGTATAACAGGGACATCCTGCTATTTCAGGGCATAGCGATAGTATGTATCTGTTAGACCAACAATCCGGATATCTTATAGAGTTCTGGGACAGAGACGAACGAGTGTAAGGAATTTCAAATTATTTCGCACTCGACTCCAATGCGTACAACCGGCGGTCACTTCCGGAATCCTCGATGCGGACCCAAGCTCGCTTTCACGCGTTACCACTCTTCGCTACTTCTTCGCCCGCGCCCACACCTTTTGCTCCTCCAGCGCCCCACGCTGTGGCGTGCGATTGCACCCGCAACAATGCTGGATCGTTGCCGTCGGTCCGCACCACGAGTGTGACAGTGACCTCGTCAGATGCGTGCGGGGAGATGTCTGCCTGCCGTGACGTGTGGGCGACGCCAGGTCAGCCCTCCAGCGATGAGATGGAAATGACGTGAATGTTCAGTTCAGGGCGTATTCCTAGCTTCGGGTCATCCGTTGTTTGTGTCATCCGACAATTAAGGTAGCCAATCGGAAAACACGCGTTTCGAAATTTGATTTTTTCGATTGGATACCGCAAATTTTGGATGACATGAAGCCGGGATGACACAAGGCCAGGAATACGCCCTCAGTGTCCAGATTTGAGGTACACTAGAGATTGCATTTCGCCAATCAACATCAGCTTCCTGAACGATTTCTCGGTGTTCCCCATAGCCATCAGGCACGCGAGTAGACCTTTCATATCTCGCTGTCTTTAGTTTCTGTACCTGTTCGCGACGATCAATGGGTGGGGCAGTTATCGTTGTCTCCACCGAGGCTGAGTGGGACCACAACCTCGAGGCGGCTGGGGATAAAGCGGTGAGCTGAATTGACAGCGTTGATCTAGCTCTCAGCGTCGCTGCCGCGGTTGATTCTGCAGTTTCGTTATGCCGTCGCAGGCCGGGGATCGATTCAACATTCCGTCGCCGTATTCTGTTTGTTACACTCGGTAGTCATCGCATCGTAGTACTGAACTTGATCAAGTTTCTGACCAAGTTGGTACTCCCTGATTCTTCAGGTCATCGTGGATTTTACCGCGGTTTGGTGCGGCCCTTGCAAGATGATCGCTCCAGTTTTTGAGGCGTTCTCGACTGAATTTACATCGGTCGTCTTCCTTAAAGTGGACGTCGATGTCAATCAGGTTCGTGTTTGCCGTGATTTGTCCTGCCTGCCTGTCGCATTGTCTTTTTTTCTCTGCTGTGTCGAGACCTGCTTTTATATGCTCTTTATCGATACTCTCCGTCACTTCGAGATCGCTGAAGGGTTCCTGCTTCCTAACATTGCAGAAAGTGGCAGAGCAGTGCGGTGTTTCTGCCATGCCGACGTTCCAAGTGTACAAGAACAAAACTAAGGTGGCGGAACTTATTGGAGCGAGTAAGGATAAGCTTCATGCGTTGATCAAGCAGTATGCTTAGCTAGGATAGTGAGCTGAGCTCTTCCCCTAGGGTCCCCTAGGGCGCGGTACCCATTTTTTGGATCTCCATAAGCACGTTTAGCAACTACAACTGCGTGTATTCATTTTGGTATGTATGAACAGAAAGTACATGGTAGGTGTAAAAAGACTTCTTGGTGGGGCGGGCTGAGATCATACTCGCTACCACTGCCAGTGGTTTGTCACCCTGTCCCGCCTTCACCTGCTTACTGACCTGCATTGGAACAGACCCTAGAAGTACTACTACGGTGTCCTTCCTGATCATACCCTCTCCATACCTTAGGGCGAGGTCAGGTTGTACAACCTTCTGGATGACTACTACGGTTAACTTTGTTTCAACACGGTGCAGAGCGGTACAAGCCGCGAACCGCTTTTCACCTTGCTGGACCGTCCTGAACCACAATACAAGAACTGTAAACGCTTGAGAAATGTACAACTTGACTTCGCCCTTAACACCATCACTTGCTTGCATTAACCAGCTCATGAAACCATTGCAGGAACCAACCGATTGCACAACCCCCCCCCCCCCCCCCCCCCCCCCCCCCCCCCCCCCCCCCCCCCCCCCTTGGATCCTGTTGGCTGTGTTGCCAGCCCGGCTGGCCCAGCATAGTTACTCTTACAAAAAGCTTGTAGCCCGTAAGCCAAGCTTGTAGCCCGTAAGCCAAGGACTCTTCAACAGAAACTTAGGGTGCATTTCGCTCTGGACACTGTCTCAAAGAAAGTGTCCCAACCCAATCGAGTGTACCGCTAATCAAACTTAACCAGAGACGCGAAAATTTCGACAATGTTTGAAACTAGGGGGTAATTCGGTGTAATAGGTACGATGCAGTATGGTACAATCGATTCAGACACATTCTTTGAGACAGTGTCCAGAGCAGAATGTACCCTTACTAGGGATTAGGCTGAGGTAGGTGACGGTGAGAGACGGAAGGCACGGACTCGCTGAACCGTTTTGTACTCGGGCTGGACGTTGTTCACGTTTGCATTTGCATCAAACGTGGATACCGGCGGTAAAACCCTGTCCATGTTTTATCCTCAGAGATTCGGCTGAGGTGACTTTGAGAGCCGGAAGGCGCGGACTCGCTGAACTCCTTTGTACTCAGGCTCGACGTTTGCATCCGCATCAAATGTGGACCACGTGTCAATGCTACCGGTATTCTCAGGGGTTAGGCTGAGGTGACTTTGAGAGCTGGAAGGCACGGACTCGCTGAATTCCTCCAAACTCGGGCTCGGCGTTTGCATCCGCATCAAATGTGGATCCTGGTAATAGAACCCTTTCGAGGTTTGCCAACTTCTTCCCCACTTCCCCTTGATGCTGCATATTAAACGCCACAACACAAGACAAGATTCGCAGAAAAAAAAAAAACGGATGAGAAAGCAACACTTGATGGTTGGGTGAGCAGGCATTGGCAGACAAATTCAGGTGGGCACAGCCACCAGCATTTTTGAGGCGCCTCAAAAGTCGTCTCTTATCCCTCAACTTTGAGGCGCCTCGAAAGCAACACATGACGGTTGGGTGAGCAGGCATTGGCATACAAGTTCAGGTGGGCACAGCCACCAGAATTCCTAATGACTCACCTTCCTCCTGGCTCTTGTGTGACGTCATACGATGCACTCCGGCGATGAACACGAGCTGCCTTACGCAGCCTGCCAGCCTGGCTCCTCTGCTGCTGCTGCTGCTGCTGCTTCTGGCTGGCCTCACTTGGCATTGCCTGAGAGTTGACAAGAGGAGAGTTGAGCCGCCCATACGGTGCCCTTGGCGGCAGCTGCTGCCGCAGCAGTAGGTGCTGTGGCTGCTGTTGCTGCTGCTGCTGCTGCTCCTGCTCCTCAGGAGGGGATCGCGAGAGTGTGAGGGGTGAGTGAGTTGGAGAGTCTGACTGCTCCTCCATACCCAAGGTGAAGCTTCTCCTCTTTGGTTTCCCCAGCTGTGCTGCTGCTTCCAGTGCGTAGGATTCCTCTTCTGGTGGGCAAGGCTCGGAAGGTAGTGAGGAAGAAGAAGGCAGGGTGGTGCTGGTCCGCCTGACTCTTTTGGGCATCTCTGCATGATTGGCAGCATCAGAACCACCAGAGCGACTAGCAGGATACATGCTGCCAGCACTGGAAGAATGGAAGAAGATGTCAGATGCAGTGGAAGGGCGTGCAGGAGGGGGGTCAGCTGTGAGAGAGCTGCTCGAGGAGGAATCGGGCCGATCAGAAGGAGAGGCTGAGGCGAGAGAAGTGTCTGCATCGCCTGCAATGCCAGCACTGCCGGTACTGCCAGCACCGCCGGCACTGGCTGCATGGAAGAAGGAACCAGAAGCAGTGGAGGGGCGCTTGGAAGCGAAAGCAGGCGAGCCCTGCAGCGATCCCCAGCTGGGCCGGCGCCGGTGCCGGGCTGATGAGGAGGGCTCAGGAGACGCAGCAGCAGAAGCAGAGGCAGAAGCAGAGGCTGAAGCAAAGACACCCGAGCCGCGCGCTGATGGGCTGCTGCGTTTCCGGATGGAGTTGTTTGGGGAAGAGAAGTCTGGGAGGAGGGAAGCCGCGGAGTAGGCTTGCTGCCTCTGAATGTTGGCTGGTTGTAAGTACCGTCCCCGGCTCCACTCCTTGCCCTGCACGCAGTGAAAAGGGAAGAGGAGAGGGAGACTGGACTATCAGGCGACACGAAAGGGAAACAACAGAAATGGGCTTGCTGCCTCTGAATGTTGGCTGGTTGTAAGTACCGTCCCCGGCTCCACTCCTTGCCCTGCACGCAGTGAAAAGGGAAGAGGAGAGGGAGACTGGACTATCAGGCGACACGAAAGGGAAACAACAGAAATGGGCTTGCTGCCTCTGAATGTTGGCTGGTTGTAAGTACCGTCCCCGGCTCCACTCCTTGCCCTGCACGCAGTGAAAAGGGAAGAGGAGAGGGAGACTGGACTATCAGGCGACACGAAAGGGAAACAACAGAAATGGGCTTGCTGCCTCTGAATGTTGGCTGGTTGTAAGTACCGTCCCCGGCTCCACTCCTTGCCCTGCACGCAGTGAAAAGGGAAGAGGAGAGGGAGACTGGACTATCAGGCGACACGAAAGGGAAACAACAGAAATGGGCTTGCTGCCTCTGAATGTTGGCTGGTTGTAAGTACCGTCCCCGGCTCCACTCCTTGCCCTGCACGCAGTGAAAAGGGAAGAGGAGAGGGAGACTGGACTATCAGGCGACACGAAAGGGAAACAACAGAAATGGGCTTGCTGCCTCTGAATGTTGGCTGGTTGTAAGTACCGTCCCCGGCTCCACTCCTTGCCCTGGATTAGGAAAGGGTGTGGGGGAAAGTGGGATAAGGGTGGTTTTTGGCCCTTGGGGAAATGAACGAATAAATAGATCAATAAGTAAATATAAATAGATAAATAAACGCGCACATATCACATTCTGGCAAGTAACCCCTGACGGCCCCCCACATATGCTTACAGACAAGAGAGTTGTGCAGAGAAGGGGGGGAAGGGGAGTGGAGAGTGGAGAGGAGGAGGAGGAGGAGGAGGAGGAGGAGGAGGAGGAGGAGGAGGAGGAGGAGGAGGAGGAGGAGGAGGAGGAGGAGGGGGAGGAGGAGGAGGAGGAGGAGGAGGAGGGGGAGGAGGAGGAGGAGGAGGGGGAGGGAGGAGGAGGAGGAGGGAGGGAGGAGGAGGAGGAGGAGGAGGAGGAGGAGGAGGAGGAGGAGGAGGAGGAGGGAGGAGGAGGAGGAGGAGGAGGAGGAGGAGGAGGAGGAGGAGGAGGAGGGGAGGTCTGAGGTGCTGCTCACCTTGCTGAACGTATCCACCTTTCTTTCTTCTCACCTTGCTTAACCTATCCACCTCCCTTCTCACCTTGCTGAACCTATCCAAATCTCTTCTCACCTTGCTGAGTTTATTGATGAGATCGTCCGTGGTCCGCTGCGCGGATACCACACCCTCGTGCGACGACTCTATCATCCTCTGTACAGATGCCAAGCCGGGAAGCACGTTGGTGCAACTCCCACACCAACATTACAACACCCACATTACATCCACTCACCGCTGGTCTCCAGCCTCACCTTGTTGAATTTTTCCATCAGACCCTCCATTGTCGTCTGCATGGAAACCACACCCCCCTGTGACAATTCCACCATTTTGTGAACCGACACCAAGCCAGGAAGCCCCACTCACTAGTGCTCTCAAGCCTCACCTTGTTGAATTTATCCATCAGATCGTCCATTGTCCGCTGCACGGAAACCACACCCTCCTGCGATGACTCAATCATCCTCTGTACAGAAACCAAGCCAGGAAGCCCACTGGTTACACTCCCCACACTCGGCACACCACGCACTAGCGGTGCCACAGGTAAAGCATCAGTACGTGGTAAGTCACTCGTCATGTTTGCAGATTTGGATACTTTAGGGAGTAAATTGGATGCTATGTCGAGGGATGCACCCACGGAGGTTAGGATACCAGTTGACCCCAGGTTTACAGAGGGTAAACCTGGAATTGACCTGGATGTGCCGTGATCAGCTGCAAGTGCTTTGGCAGGGAGGAAACCTTTTGCTGCTGCTGTCAGATTTACAGCAGCAGCAGCAGCACCAGGGGCAGTGGTAGGAACAGTAACAGCAGAAGAGGCAGCAGCAGCAGCAGCAGCAGCAGCAGCAGCAGCAGCAGCAACTGCAGTAGCAGCAGCAGCAGGAGCAGTGGTGGTAGTAATGGCTGATTCCGTTTTCTCTGTTTCCGCCTCTGCCTCTGCTTCTCCTATGTTTGCTTCTCCTTCTCCAGCTGCTTCTCTTTCTGCCGCTGTTTTTCCACGGCTGCCTCTTGACATGGCTACACGCAGCCCTGATACTGCTGCATCTGCTGCCACTGCCCTTCCTGCTGCTACTTCTCTTCCTGCCGCCACTGCCTCTCCCGCTACTACTTCTGCTGCAGGTACTGCCACTGCCGCAGCAGTCATTTCTGCTGCTGCTTCTCCAAGACAACCTGTAGACATGGCGTCATGCAGACCTGATGGTGCTGCACCTGCTGCCACTGCCCCTCCTGCTACTACATCGCCTAAAGCAGCAACAGCAGAAGCAGCAGTTGAAGCGACAGCAGCAACATCCAAAACAGCAGCAGCATTAGAATCAGAATCAGAAGCAGCAGCAGCAGAGTCCGTATCCAGCACAGCATCCCTTGCAACTATAGTAGCAGCAGCAGCAGCAGCAGCAGCAGCAGCAGCAGCAGCAGCAGCAGCAGCAGCAGCAGCAGGTTGCCCATCCTTATCACCATCACCACCCACCTCCGCATCTCCTTCCTCCTCCTCCGCCTCATCCCCTTCTCCCCGCTCCTCACTCCCTTCTTCCAGAAGCGGCTCTAGCACCTCCGGCCTCTTGCTGCCCTGCCTTGACACCCCCACACACGAAGTGGTGGTGGTGGTGGTGGTGGCGCTGCTGCTGCTGCTGCCGCTGCTACCGATGAAGAGTGGGATCGTTGTGCTGCTGCTGCTGCTGCTGCTGCTGCTGCTGCTGCTGCTGCTAGTTCCTGTTGTGAAAAGAGGGGTTGTGCTGCTACTGCTGCCATAGAAGCTGGTCGAATCGGCGGCCGCACGCGAGAAGAGATGTACGACAGAACCAGCACTGACAGAGCTTACCAAAGAGCCTCCACCCTCGCTCCCGTTTCGAGGCGCCTCAAGAATGCAGCCTCCTCCACCCTCGCCCCCCACACTAGGCCTACCATCTGCACCGCACCCATCACCATCAGCACCACCCTTATCGTCAGCATCGCTGTCGTTATTCCTGGTGTCACTGGGTCTGTTGTAGAAAGCACCATAGCCCGCAGCAGGAACAAGCTGTTGCTGGTTGTCCTGGGGAGAACACTCAGGTGGGTCCTCACTGCATTGCTCATTCCATTGCTCATTCCATTGCTCGTTGCATTGTTCAGCATGCTGCGCCCAAAACTGCTGCTCCTCCTGCTGAATCTCCAGCTCCTCTCGTTGCTTCCTGCAGCGGTGCCGTGCCGCACCAGCATTGTTTGCGTTGCAGGATTGCAAGCACGCACGCACGCACGCACGCACACACACACACACACCACCGTGGGGAAAGGGAATTTGCATGAGAGCACGTGATTGCGAAGCGATTGGGGAGCATGCATGGGGGGAGCCATGGGGTGTCAGGGGTAGAAGGGAGGCGTCTAGTTTTGAGGCGCCTAAAAACTACGAAGGGATATAGGGGAGGCGAAATGACGCAAGGGAACGTAAGGAATGAGAGTGCTGAGCAGTTGTTTTGAGGCGCCTCAAAAGAGAGAGCTGGGCAGTGCTGCAAGTCCACACCAGAGAGCAACCACTAGGTATGAGATATCAGTTATTTTGTATATGTCAGCTAGCATTGATGCTCATGGATCGATAGACAGGTATTAACAGCAGTTGCAACAATAACCAGATCGTACCGGTGGTAGTGGTAACCAGGTCATACTGGTGGTAGCGGTAACCAGGTCATACTGGTGGTAGCGATAACCTCGGTATATGAGGAGCCCTACATAGGCGATGCAGCAAAGCATGTCGGGCAGGCTTAATGGGTGTACTGTGCATGTAGAGGGCTTACTGTAGCTCTCAACTGTAACCACAGTGCACATAGATGGCATGGTAACCACGGCACTCTTTATTTTAGCGGGGGGTCGTACCGGTGGTAGCGGTAACCGCGGTATATGAGGAGCCCCACATAGGTGATGCAGCAGAGCAGCGAGACGACGAGGTAGAGGATGAGCAGCGCCGTGAACTTCTGCACGTTCACCTCCGTTAGCACTGCGGATGCCGTCTGATCATCCACACACACGTTGTCCTTCTGAAGAGGGTGGAAGGAGTGGGTGGAGAGGGAAGTGGGAAGAGAGAAGAGAGAAGAGAGAAGAGAGAAGAGAGAGAAGAAGAGAAGAGAGAGAGAAGAGAGAAGAGAGAAAAGACTTCTCCCCTCGCTGTTAAGACTTCTGTTCACCTTCCAGCATCAAGCTTACCAGTGAGTAACAAGTGTGTCTCTAAATCCTCATACTCTTCTTTTGCACCCACCCTACTTGAGCCGCTCCAGCTCCCCTTTGTGAGAAAGTCACCTTATATTTCGAGGTTTCTACTCTCACACACCCACCCACCTGCAAGTACTGCTCTTTGAGCCTCTCCAGTTCCCCTTTCATCTGGAGCTCGAGGATGGCCTGAGAGATGTCCGCCCCCACCTGCGACCCCTTCGGGAAGGCCTGGGGAAGGTAGGGAGAGGGGGGGATCGAGGTGAGAGGGGGACGAGGCATCGCTCAGATATGGGCGGGCTTCCTTTCATTGTCAGCTCAAGGATGGCCTTAGATATGTCCGCCCCCACCTGCGACCCCTTGGGGAAGGCCTGTGGGGGGGATGATGGTGCGGGGAGAGAGGGGGGGATTTGAGACGCCTGAAAAGACACATCTGAAGGTCAAGGATGGCCTGAGACATGTCCGCCCCCACCTGCGATCCCTTGGGGAAGGCCTGTGGGGCGATGGTGGTGAGTAGGAGAGGGAGGGAGGGAGGGGCGGGGAATGGGGGGTGTGGGAATGGGGAGTGAGGAAAGAGGATATGACTTTGGGGGTCAATGGTGGTGAGAAAAGAGGGAGAAAGTGGGGGGAGGGAAAGGAGGAAAGGAAGGGAGAGGAGCAAAGGGAGAGAGGGGAAAAAAAGGAAAAAGGAGGGGAAAATGTAGTTCACAGCAAGGCGAGGAATGGAGTAGGGATGTGGTGCGGGTCTCAATGGACATGAAAACAACATTTTTTGGGCATGTTGATGGGAGATGCACATGCACATGCACATGCTCCACATGCACCACATGCATCATTTGCACCACATGCACCACATGCACCACACCACAGTGCACATGTGGCCAGACGACATGCACCACACTGCACGCACAAAGGTGAGGTTGAGGATGGAGAAGGGCTGCGACGCCTGGATAGTGTCACACAAGCCAAAGCTCCCAGCATGCACCACACCACACCGTGCAGACACGCAATGCGCACATGCACCACACCGCACCACAATGCACCACACTGCACCAGAGTGTGCACCCACAAAAGCAAGGTTGAGGATGGAGAAGGGCTGCGATGCCTGGACGCCGTCACAGAAGGAAGCAGAGAAGAGGTCGAGGTAGGGATCCTCGTCCACTATCACCGTGACCCTCCCTGATGACAGTGATGATGCGTACTCGCTCTCCCCAGCTAGTGATACAAGCTTGTCCTGCCAAGGGAGAGGACGGAGAAAAGGGGGGAAGAGAGAGGGGTGTTAGAGAAGAGGTCGAGGTAGGGATCCTCGTCCACTATCACTGTCACCCTCCCTGATGACAGTGACGACGCATACTCGCTCTCCCCACTCAGCGACACTAGCTTGTCCTGCCAGCCAGGGGAGAGGGTGAACACAAAGCAGTGGAGAAGAGGTCGAGGTAGGGATCCTCGTCCACTATCACCGTTACCCGCCCCGAGGAGAGAGACGCTGCGTACTCGCTCTCCCCTGCCAGCGACACCAGCTTGTCCTGACGGCAAAATGGGAGTATGGGGAGACAAGGCAGGCATCGGTGCATCGATTGAGGCAGGAGAGAGAGTTATGCAGGGGAGGGGTTACAGTGGACTAGCAATGCAAAGTTAGCAGAGAAGTGATTGAGGTAGGGCTGTGGGGGTGTCACAGTCCTTGCGAGTGATTTTTGAGAATTCCAAAAAATCACTCGCCCCAATGAGAGAGACGATGCGTACTTGATTGCACTGTTTAGTGTGACATTTCTTTTGATGTAGGCGCTTGTGGTAAGTGAAGTTCACACCCGTTGAGACACTGTTCCATAATCCTGAACCTCGTATCTTAGTGTTTGTGTAGGCTGTGAGCCATTCCCAGCTCGAACTTCTTCCTATTTTGTGCGTCAAGACTGTAGTTACTGCTGCCGGGCCGCCATTTGCTCAAACTATCATAGCGTTGTCAATTTCTTTTTCTAAATTGAGTGATTCAACGTAGAAGAAATATAGACATATAGACGTTTTTTATCCCATCTGTAGCACATCATGTCATGCAGAAACAGTTCGCTTTCAACGTTTGAAACCGATGTGCAGAAATTTGTCAGCTCACGCTATCTTCCATAATAGGCGCATTTGAGTCTGTTGTGACTATAACAAAAGAGGCACTCACAGGTGCAAAGCCCAGCTGCAGCAGGTATGCGTGCACAAAGGAGCCCTGCTGGTAGCCGATGCGGGCATTGCTCTAAGCCCATTCTTAACTTGCCTCAAGGATAAGGCTAAGACATGGACGGGGCACTCACAGATGCAAAGCCCAGCTGCAGCAGGTATGCGTGCACAAAAGAGCCTTGCTGGTACCCAATGGGCGAGTTGCTGGTGAGGGCGGAGTAGATGTCCTGGTGGGGTGGATGGACGGAGGGTGCATGGCAGGTGCAGCACAGGAGGATGCATGCTTGTGTTGAGAAAGGAGCCCTGCTGGTACCCAATGGGGTGAGTTGCTGGTGAGGGCGGAATAGATGTCCTGGTGGGGGGTGGGTGGGTGGAGGGAGCATGGGTAGGTTGCAGGGAGGTGGAAAGGTGTAGGCATGAATAAATGTAGCGAGAATGAGAGGCTGCAAGGCTGAGATGTTGCAGGCAGAAAACACCTCTACTGGGAGAATGAGAGGCATAGGCATGCATGCGTCGAGAAAGGGTCCCTGCTAGTCGCCGATAGGCCGGGTGGGTGGATTGCGCAAGGACAGGCCGCAAGGAGACGGAGAGGCGTTGCAGGGTGGGGATGCAGTATGGGGGTACGAAGGGATGAAGGAGAACCTAGGGATTGGTTTGCAGAGAAGAGGTTGGCTCTTCACATAAGAGAGGAAAATGCTAAATTCAACCAACATGTTCGGGCTCATAGGGCGCGAGTATGATGACAGGTGCTCATGTCTAGTGCGAACGGAACGGAAGTGACTACAACGAGAGTGAGTGAATGTCTATGAGGAAAGGGAGACTCACAAGGATTTGCGGAATCAGCTTCTGAATTGTGAGAATGGAGGTGAGATTGGCTACGTAGGATGTGCCTATAATGAAGGCGAGCAGCAGCCAGATCACCACGACCGCCCTTGCGAGCGTCGTGCGGATGCGAAACACTGCAGGGAGAACACACACTCACACACACGCACCACCACAAACAAAAGCGTTGCGCATGCAAATTATCAGAAATGATAATTTTATGAGAGCAAGAACGACAGTTGGGGAAAGACTAGAGAGTGAAGGGAGGCACAGCACTGTGATTGCAACCGGGTAAAAAGCTGCACTGATGAAAGGATAGAATGAGGAGGAGATAGCGCAGTGCTGCAGTCCAGTCCTCAGTGCAGCTGAGGGGGTACCATGTAAAAAGAGGTGACATCTGACATGACTTATAAGTACCGTGTGAAACTGGTGTAGAGGAACAGTTTGTGAGAGAATGTCGCGTGGGGAGGGAGGTGAGGGGAGGATAAGAGAGGAGAGAGAAGAGAGGGGAGGGAGGTGGGGAGTGGTAAGGCGCGGTGGGGAGAGAGCGCACCAGGAATGGCGTAAAACGTGTGGCAGCCATACCTGCAGCAAGCAACGAGAAGGGTGGGTGGGTGGGAAAGACAACCGACGGTATAAGGTGTCTGAAGACCTGCACTGTGGGATGTTTGATTGATCCTAGGAAGGGTTACAGGCATGTTAGCCTGAAGGGGTATGGACGCACTGACCCGCTACTTAACATGCCCTTTTAATCTAGTGGCTGGGATTCTGATATGGTATCAGAGCGAAAGGTCTCGGGTTCGAATCCCATGTGTGCCACTGCTTGCAGAACTCGCAGTCAACAAGTCCTCGGCCTCCCCGTGTATGGGGAGTCAGAAGACCGGCACTGGGGATTTTCGATTGATCTTGGGAAAGGTTACAAGCATGTTAGTCTGGGGAGTTAAGTGCGCACTGACGTGCTACTGGAACAAGCACTTTTATCCCAGTAATCTAGTGATTGGGATTCTGACATAGGTGATGAACGAACGCGTGAACGCGCACGCGCGCGAGTGCGCGCGCGTGTATGTGTGTGTGTGAGTGTGAACGTGAATGAGTGAGTGTGTGTGTGTGTGTGTGTGTGTGTGAGTGAGTGAGTGAGTGTGAGTGTGATCAAGAGTGTGTGTGTGTGTGTGAAACACACCATTAGCGCCACCAAGTTCCAGCGCACCTACTCACCACACACTGTCATGAGGCGCTTCTGCAGCGTGCCGTGGAAGTCAGATGTGCACTGCTTGTCCAGTATTATGGCTAGCAGCCATGTGGTGATGCAGATGGCGGCAGTGTGCCCATCCCCAATTGCTACAAACACCACACCATCCACCGAACAGCCCTTCCACTCACCGCGTGGCTGTCATGATGCATTTCCACAGCATGCCCTGGAAGTCAGGCGTGTGCTGGCGGTCCAGTATCTGGGCGAGCAGCCCTGTTGCGATACACAAAGCTTCAAGCTGTGCCTGACACGCCTACGCCAATCGACTCACCACACGGCTGTCATGAGACGCTTCTGCAGCGTGCCCTGGAAGTCAGGCGTGCGCTGTCTGTCTAGCATCATGGCTAGCAGCCCAGTGGTGATGCAGATGGCGGCAGTGACGGCCCACATGGAGGCCGTGAACGGGGTGAAGACCATCCATGGGTTGCTATATGGCCGCGAGTAGCCCATCACACTCAACCCTGATTGCTGGGAGGGGAGGCAAGGGAGGGTAAGGGAGAGGAAGGAGGATGAGGAGGAGGAGGAGAAGGCAGCAGCAACGGGGGTGGTGTGTGTTTGCATGTGTGTGTGGTGCACCAAAACCATAATTAGCCTGTAGGCTAATTCAACCACATGCCCCCCCCACCTCACATACCCCCTCTTCAGATGGGCTAGCACCTACAATCCAGCATGTGCTGGCACCTGGATGGTGCAGGGATAGCTCTGGTTCGCTAACGAACTGGAATAAAAGGGCAAGTTTCTTTGGTGGGTTAGCGCGCAACCATACCCCCCTCAGGACGATATCAGTAGCCCTTGGGGAGACCTCTTCGGTCGTCCCAGTGTCCACGCAAAGGAAATCTGCCGAAAGCAGGAATCGAACCCCGGTGTTCTCCACGCTCACCGGACACATGGAGGGATAACTCCAGTTTGCTAACCATTTGGGATAAAATCACCAGACACATGCAGGGATAACTCCAGTTTGCTAACCAACTGGGATAGTGGCATGTTTCCTTGGTGGGTCAGCGCAACCATACCCACCCAGCGCATCCATACCTCCCCAGCGCACCCACTTCGGGCCATTCTTGCATCCACTTCCAACAGATGGCACCTGCATGCATGGGCTAGCAGGTACGGTTGGGCATTTGTCGCTACCTGGAATGGCCCTGCCTGGTACGTACCTGGATGGGGTAGGTGGTACCTGGATGGGGTAGGTGGTACCTGGATGGGGTAGGTGGTACCTGGATGGGGTAGGTGGTACCTGGATGGGGTAGGTGGTACCTGGATGGGGTAGGTGGTACCTGGATGGGGTAGGTGGTACCTGGATGGGGCAGGTGAAGAAGACGACTTTGCTGCGCGAGTCCAGCACTGTGATATCGCCCACTGCTGCATCGTATGTCTGCCAGGCAACCAGGGGTGCAGAGAGCAGCGCGACATGGGTCAGCAGAGGTCAGCACAGGGCAGCGTAGGGCACAGGGAAGCACAGGGCAGCATAGGGCAGCACAGGGCAGCAGAGGTCAGCACAGGGCAGCGTAGGGCACAGGGAAGCACAGGGCAGCATAGGGCAGCATAGGGCAGCAGAGGTCAGCACAGGGCAGCGTAGGGCACAGGGAAGCACAGGGCAGCATAGGGCAGCACAGGGCAGCAGAGGTCAGCACAGGGCAGCGTAGGGCACAGGGAAGCACAGGGCAGCATAGGGCAGCACAGGGCAGCAGAGGTCAGCACAGGGCAGGACTGGGCAGCACAAGGCAGGACTGGGCAGCACAAGGCAGGACTGGGCAGCACAAGGCAGGACTGGGCAGCACAAGGCAGGACTGGGCAGCACAGGGCACAGCGGCTTAGGGTGTGGGAGGTAACCTTCTTCTGAGGTGCCTCAAGATGCCTTCAAGACTGGTGAGGTGCGATCAGCTTGCAGCATGGCATGGCATGGCATGGCATGGCATGGCATGGCATGCACAGCATGTACGGCATACATACATACACTGCATGTTAGGAGAGACCTTCCTTCCTCTGAGTCGCTTACCTGCTACCATTCTGAAGAGAAGTGATAACCTACACACAACGCACCTTGTTGGCGACAGCCAGCACCATCCGAGTGTAGCTGAGCGTCTCGTACTAATATATGTTTCGGTGGAGAGCACACATTCTTGGTCCAGCTCGTATGAGTTGCTCCTACAATGTTAAACCATTGAGTCACACCTTGTTGGCGACAGCCAGCACCATCTGAGTGTAGCTGAGGTCCTTGTCTCCATACAGCACAAACTCGTAGTCCAGCTTGTAGGGTAACCGCATAACGGCCAGGCGGAACACCTCCACACAGTAGCCTGAGAAGCGGTTGTTGCCCTCCCCCAACGCATCCGACACGTTCACATACTCCTTGTATTGCTGGCGGGGCGAGGGAGGACGAAGAGGGGAGGGGCTGACTTATGAGTCGACTCTAAAGTCGCCCAACGCATCTGACACATTCACATGCTCCTTGTACTGCTGGCGGGGCGAGGGAGGACGAAGAGGGGAGGGGCTGACTTATGAGTCGACTCTAAAGTCGCCCAACGCATCTGACACATTCACATACTCCATTCACATACTCCTTGTATTGCTGGCAGGGCGGGTGGTTGGGGGTGGGGGGGAGTTGCGGGGGGAAAGGTTTGGGGAAGAAGTCAGGGTGAATTCAGTGTTTTATTAATACTTACCGTGGTCTCACTCACCCATGATTGCTGCCCTCACATACACAAACACGTGGTCCTAGACTTGCAGGTCGGGGAAGGAAGGGAAGGCATGGAACGGGGGTAGGAAAATGAGTATTAGTAGTAGAGAAATCCAAATGCGGCTAAGGTAGAAATCCAAAAAAGCGTATCGCATTCGTAGATGACAACACAAGCCTATGGTAAGTGACTACACGGAAATACTGGGTCGGTCACGTATAAGCACACTTGTTGATATAAGCACCTGGTAATAAGGACACGTGCTGCGAAGGTCACGCATTGATAAGGACACGTGTTGATAAGGACACGCGTTGATAAGGACACGCGTTGATAAGGACACGTGTTGATAAGGACACGTGTTGATAAGGACACGCGTTGATAAGGACATGGGCTGATAAGGGCACGCATTGTTATCGGCTAACGTACACCACGCAAGCAAGCACCTGTTTATTAGGCACTGCGATTCGAAGGCGAGTCTTGGGGAACGATCCTGTTGGCACCTGCAGGAGACAGTGACACACACGAGAGGAGACACGCACAGGTGCAGCGCAGGTGCAAGCACAGAGGAGGGGGCACAAGCAGGGGCGCAGAGGCAGGGGCAGGGCAGGGTGAGGTAAGGGGTGCATGCATGCAAGGTCTGCAGTGATGAGTGTTTGTGGCACTGCAATACCTCACCCAGGGAGTGCAACAACGAAGAGAGGAAACAGTGGCACGTGTGCAGGAAAGAAAAAACAGACACAGACACACAAGAGGAATGGGCCTGCTAGTATCGCTGACACTGAGGCAAGCTATTGTTGCCCTCTCAACCCCTTTACCTAGCACCCACCTGGGTGAGCCCTCCAGGGAAGACGATGGGAAGAGCATTCGGATCCTGAACAGCAGAGCAGGGGGGGAGGCAACGGCGTTGAATCACAAGTTAGAGCCACCAACTGAACAGAGAGGCAATGACACTTGGGTGAGCCAGAAGGCAGGAGGAGGCCGAGGGAGGTTGACTAACCTGTGTGCTGGGGACTGCGACGACAGGCGCTGGGTGCGAAGCAGGGGAAGAAGATGAAGGTGGGGAGGGAGGGGAGGGTGGGTAGAGTCGGGGGTGGGCACGAGGAGGGGACGAGATCCACTAACCTGTGTGCTGGGGGTTGCGACAGGCCCTGTGGGCGGAGCAGGGGAAGCGGTGGAAGGTGGGAAGGGAGGTTCGAGTGGTGGGTGGGAGGAGGGGACGAGACTGACTAACCTGTGAGCCGGGGTCTGGGACTGGCCCTGGGCGCGGAGCAGGGGCAGCGGTGGAAGGCGGGGCGGATTGGGGGGGTGGGCGGGAGGAGGAAGGAACGAGGCCGCGGGAGGAGGACCAAAAGGCTACTTCCACAGGCGCCCCTCGCTGGATGTTGAGAATGCGGATCTCGTTTGTTGCCAGGTCGCCGTGTGGGGTTAGCGCGATTCTGGAAGGGGGAAAGAGAGGCAGGCAGGGGTAAATGAGGGAAGGGAAAGTGAGGCAAGGGGGAGATGAGGAAGGGAGAAGTGTCCGAGGGGGAAAGTGAGAGGGGACGAGGAAAAGAGGTGGAAGGCACAAGGAGGAGGGGACGAGGCTGAGGGTGGAGGACCAGAGGGCCACTTCCACGGGCAGGGCACCCCTTGCTGCATGTGGAGAATGCGGATCTCGTTTGCTGCCAGATCGCCGTGTAGGGTTAACGCGATTCTGAGAAGGGAGGGGGAAAGTGAGACAGGGGGAAGGAGAGGGGAAGTGAGAAGGTAGGGGGAGAAGAGATGGGAGGTACAAGATGGAAGGGAAGGTGGACGGACACCACACTCCCCTCCCCAGACTCCTCACACACACCCCCTTTTTCCTCACCACGCCTCACCTGCCCTGCAGCCCGTCGAAGCTGGTCTTGAGAAGAGCCTTGCGCAGTGCCGGTCCCACTGTGGTTGGGTTGGGTTCAAGAAGGGCGGGGCAACTACTAATCAATCCGAGGAGCGCGATTGCCTTGCATGGCGACAGGGAGTTGAAATGGGAGGGCACGGCAGTGCAGCAGCACACTTGCAACGCAACAGAGGAACAAGAGAAGCATGTGACCAGCTGCAGACCAGAGATAAACGAGAGCCGTGCACAATGTACTTGTGAAGGTGGGTCGGTCGGTGCAGGGATGATGATGGGGATGATGATGATGGGGATGATGATGATGGGGATGGTGATGATGATGGGGATGGTGATGATGATGGGGATGATGATGATGGGGATGGTGATGATGGGGATGGTGATGATGATGGGGATGATGATGATGGGGATGATGATGATGGGGATGGTGATGATGATGGGGATGATGATGATGGGGATGATGATGATGATGGGGATGATGATGATGGGGATGATGATGATGGGGATGATGATGGGGATGATGATGGGGATGATGATGATGGGGATGATGATGATGATGGGGATGGTGATGATGGGGATGGTGATGATGATGGGGATGATGATGATGATGGGGATGATGATGATGATGGGGATGATGATGATGGGGATGATGATGATGGGATGATGACGATGGGGATGATGATGGGGATGATGATGATGGGGATGATGATGATGGGGATGATGATGATGGGGATGATGATGATGATGGGGATGATGATGATGGGGATGATGATGGGGATGATGGGGGACTGGCAAGGCGCACGGGGCACGGCGCAGCATACTTGCACTTTGTTGAAGGTGGGTGAGTGGTGGAGCAAGCACGTCCTGAGTGCCGTTGGGAAGCAAAGGCAGCACCGGCAGCTCCAGCTGCTGAAATGCCCCCACCTTCCCCTCTTGCTGCTTCCCTGCTTGCTGCTTCCCTGCTTGCTGCTTCCCTGCTTGCTGCTTCCCTGCTTGCTGCTTCCCTGCTTGCTGCTTCCCTGCTTGCTGCTGCACTCTCTTTTGCTGCTGCCCCTCTTGCTGCTGCGTGTGCTTGAGTGCATGAGAGGAGGAGTTGGTGGATGCAGGAGGGGAGGGGTAGAGCAGGGAGTGCAGCGTGCGTGCGACCAGGGTGACGGCATCGTGGGATGAGAGCGCGTATGGGGATGGCCTCTGGCATGGCGGGAGTTGGGAGGGAGGTGTGAGGGAGGGTTGGGATGGAGGCACGGAGGACAGGGGATTGACAGGAAGGTGTGAGTGTGCATTTTGAGGGTGACAGCATTGTGGGATGAGAGTGCGTATGGGGATGGCCTCTGGGATGTCGGGAGGGAGGTGTGGGGGGGAAGGGATTGAGAGGGAGGTGTGTGGTCGGGGATACAGTAGTAACTGTCAGGAGCAGGATGGCAGTACCCAAGCAGAGGGGCAAAGAACATAAAAAGCAAGATGCAGCTACAAATCGGATGATTCTTGAGTGGTGATAATTCCTTAAGTGTCTCAGATCAGACATTATATCATGAGTGGTGGAAACTCAGATCAGAAATTAGTTCATGAAGGGCATAGGCCTTACCGCCATGGTGAGTCCAGGATACTGTTATTGAGGCATTGAGGTGTGCTACTGAAGAATCTCACACACTAGCTTATAACGAGCATAAGGTGTAGTGTACCTCTATGAAGATTCCAGGGTACTGTTAGTGAGGCATTGAGGTGCTACTGAAGAATTTTACACACTGGCTTATAACGAGCATAAGGTGTAGTGTACCTCTATGGAGAGCCCAGGGTATTGTGAGGCATTGAGGTGCTTCCAGCGATCAAGGAAGGATGAGAGGCGCGGGGAGAACGGCACGCGGGTGGCTGTGATGATTAGGCCCTGTGATTGAAGGGTGAGAGAGCGGTGGAGTGGGGTTGAGAGAGGCGAGGAGAGAGGGAGAGAACTTGCAACTGGGTGTGATGTTGAGGCCCTGGAAGAGAGGAGAGAGGGATGAGTGGGGTTGAGAAAGGCGAGGAGAGTCAGAGGAGAGGAGAGGAGAGGAGAGGAGAAGAGCGGAGTTGAGCGGAGAGGAAAGGAGAGGAGAGACGAGAGAAGAGGGGAGGAGAGGAAAGGGGAGGAGAGGTGAGAAGAGGGTGGAGGCCTAGCATGCTACCACATAATCTAACAGAAAGAATCTCTGAGCAGCATCTCCAAACCTGTTTTGAGATGTCTCAATACTCACATCCAAGTGATGGCTGGACGTGACACTCATGACAGCTGCTCCCTCAGAGGAGATCCACCATAGTGACAGCACCAACTCTCCACCCACAATCACCACTCTGCACCAGAGCCACTCGCAGCAGCACCACTCTCCACTCACTTACATCCAGGTGTTGGCTGGAAGTGACACTCATGACAGCTGCTCCCTCAGACAAGATCTACCACCAGAGTGACAGCACCAACTCTCCACCCACAATCACCACTCTGCACCAGAGCCACTCACAGCAGCACCATTCTCCACTCACTCACATCCAAGCGTTGGCTGGATGTGACACTCATGACAGCTGCTCCCTCAGACAAGATCTACCACCAGAGTGACAGCACCAACTCTCTACCCACAATCACCACTCTGCACCAGAGCCACTCACAGCAGCACCACTCTCCACTCACTCACATCCAAGCGTTGGCTGGATGTGACACTCATGACAGCTGCTCCCTCAGACGAGATCCACACGCTGCTGCGCGCATACAGCCGCAGCTTCTTGGCTGATTGGCGCGGGGTGGGGTGGGGTGAGTGAGGGTGGGTGCAAGCATACAGGATACGGATGGAATCTGACTGGCACGCACATGGGCCCTGGAATGGGCACACACACAGCTGCTCCCTCAGAGGCGATCCACACGCTGCTGCGCGCATACAGCCGCAGCTTCTTGGCTGACTGATGGGGTGAGGGAGAGGGTGAGGGAGAGGGTGAGGGTGGGGGTGAGGGTGGGGGTGAGGGTGGGGGTGGGGGTGAGGGTGGGGGTGAGGGTGGGGGTGGGGGTGAGTGGGAGCACAAATAGTGAGGTTGAGGAGAGGAGATCCACACGCTGCTGCGCATACAGCCGCACCTTCTTGGCTGATTGATGGGGGGTGACGGCGAGGGTGAGGGTTGCTGGGAGGGTGAGGGTGAGGGTTGGCGAGAGGGTGAGGGTGAGGGAGAGGATGGTGAAGTGAGGGTGATTAATGCAGGCGAGAGGCTTCGTTCACCACCCACATCCAGAGGCAACCGTAGCTTTTTTTCTCTCTTTGAGCTGCCCACAGAACACACCCGCCCACGCACGCACCCGCTTCAACGAATGCACCTGTCGTGCTCACGACGAATGCACCTGTCGTGTTCACAAATGGATGAGATGAGCCCACCTGCTTCAACGACAGCGGTGAATACAGTGGTCGAGGCATGCAGCACATACACCGCCACGTCTAGCGGCAGCTGTTCTTGTTCTTCACTTCACCCGCGGTCACAGTCCACAACACCCACCTGCTTCAACGACAGCGGTGAATACAGTGGTCGAGGCATGCAGCACATACACCGCCACGTCTAGCGGCACCAGGGAGGATACGTAGTCGTGAATGGCCTCGTCTGAGGCTGACAGTGGGATGGCCACCCGCACCGCCACATCCGCCTCTGCCTGTTTGGGAAGGAGAGCAGGAGAGGACATGAGATCGACATTTGAGGCGCCTCAAAAGAGGCACCAGCGAGGATATGTAGTCGTGAATGGCCTCGTCTGAGGCTGACAGTGGGATGGCCACTCGCACCGCCACATCCGCCTCTGCCTGTTAAAAGAGGGGGGAAGGGTTGGGGCAAGTGGAGCACCGCACAGCACAGCACAGCACAGCACGGCACAGCACAGCACATCAGGGAGGATATGTGGTCTTGAATGGCCTCATCTGAGGCTAACAGTGGGATGGCGTGGCCACCCGCACCGCCACATCCGCCTCTGCCTGTTTTGGCAGGGGAAGGAGGGGGCCAGGCCATCACACACAAACGCACACAGCACCGCAGAGAACGGATGGGCGGACACATGTCTCCACACTTGGGGTTTCTCAAAATATGGAGACATCTCAAAACGATTGAGACGTCTCAGCATCATCAAGGAGGGAGGAATGGATGGACTGACACAAGTCCACATGTAAGGATTCGAGGTTACTGTGTTTGAGTCGACTCAAAACACGATTGACACACACAAGTCCATATTTATGGTTTCAAGCAAGGAACAAAAATACGGTCAGCGTAAAATACGGTCCGTTTTTTACGGTCGTTTTTTACGGTCTTTTTTCCAAAAATTCGGCCGTTTTTTATTGGAGTTATTTTGCATGGTTTTTTTTTCCAGAAACTTCAGAAACTCATAAAACAAACCTACAATAGGCACTGCTATTTATTTAACTACGACTACCTCTACAACTAACCCCTCCACGCTCTCTATCCTACTTACCATCTTCCTCCCGCCATCCTACTCCCCCCACTACATGCCCTCCCCTACATACCTTCTACCTCCCGCCATCCTACTCCCCCCCTACATGCCATCCCCTACCTACCACCTTAGTTGGTACTTTACGTTTTTTTGGGTCACGTAAACGTAAACTTACGCTGGAGTTTACCTTTACGTTTTCTTACGCGTAATTTTACGTAAGTCGCACGGGCAGGGCAAAAAAAGTTTCTTTGCCTGCGAAACGAGAAAATCTGACTGATATGAGGTGGGGAGAGGCTGTGACATGTCCGTGGGCATCTGTAAGTTGATGTAATAATGTGCTAACATGCTTGGGCGTAGAAGAACCAAGCTAGTGATAGATTAGGCGCTTCCCATGCAGCCACTTAGTCCGATGATTTCTTATCTATCCGGGCAGCCAGAAATGTTTCTGGCTGGCCGTAAATGTAAAGCCATTTTGGGCCCACGTAAGTAAACGTAAGTTTACTACGTAAAGTCACGTAAACGTAAACCCCCGTAAACGTACAATACCAACTAAGCCTACCACCTTCCTCCTGCCATCCTACCCCTCTACATGCCCTCCCCTACCTACCATCATCCTCCTGCCATCCTACTCCCCCCTACATGCTCCTCATCCCCATTCAACCCTACTGATCCTATTCATCGTCCTCCTCCTCCTCCTCCTCCTCCTCCTCCTCCTCCTCCTCCTCCTCCTCCTCCTCCTCCTCCTCCTCCTCCTCCTCCTCCTCCTCCTCCTCCTCCTCCTCCTCCCCACTAGAACCATCACTGAGGTCCCAAGGATCACTTTCATCACGGGTCTTCTTGCACGTCTCACCTTCCTCCCCCCCACTGCTGTCTGCCTCCTCCTCCTCCTCCTCCTCCTCTTCCTCCACCACTGCTCCCTTCCCCTTTCCCTTGCATGGAAGGTTACTCGTCCCCTTCCCTTTCCTCTTCCTCTTGGAGGACTCTCCCACCTTCGTCTTCCTCTTCTTCTTGCCAATGCTACCGAACTCATCCCAGTTGATGGTAGTGACAGACTCCTCCCCCTCCTCCACTACTCCAGCCCCCTCTTCTTCCTCTCCAGCAGAGACCGGGGCGATGGTGCAGCCCTCCTTGAGGGTGCCGTCGCTCAGGTCACGATACAGCTTCTCACGCACACCCTGCCTCCGATCAAAGGCGTCACGAGCCCTCCTCGTGAAGGCGACGTAGGTGACGTCGGTCATCTTGGTGGCGGCAAGGCGGTTCCGGTCCCGCCTCTGCACACGAGCAAGCGCGGAAAAGTACCTCTCCACCTCGGATGAGGTCACTGGCTGTGATAGAGTCATCACAGCCAGCTCCTGAAGCACCGCGACCTCCCCACCGTACATCCACCACCATTCCGCGTCAGTTAGGCGCCCGCCCTCCACCAAAGTCGTGGCAGCCCAACGAGCGTCATCGGAGCCAAGCCGGCCCTCTCCTTTGTGGAACTGGGCCAGCTGAGCGTGGAGCAATGTGCGTTGCGCGACGCTCACACCCCGGGCCTTGATCACCTCATCCGCCCCTTTCCTGATCTCACGGTCGTTCCTCACCGCCCCCACGTACTGGTTGCGGGGGTTGAGGAGCCAGCCCAACGCCTGCAAGGCGTTGTGAAGCTGGCCGTCCCATCGTTTGGCGACAATTGCCTTGATGGAGGTAAAAAACGTGGCCTTGTCTTTGGCCGCCAGCAGGGTGGGACGCTTGACGAAGATTTCAGCTGTTAGGAGAGAGTAAAACAGAAACAAGTAAGATACTTGTTTGATCTTGAAAAAACGCCAGCAAAGTACGACAACACCAACAGCACTATAGTGCTTACCAGCCGCCTCAGCCGCCTCGTTCGTTTGGACTGTGGCGTCTATCATGCGGCCGTATATCTCCCCCATGATGAGCGACCTCTTGTCAACCACCCGAAGCACCCCATACACCGGAGTCATGAGGCGATGGACAGCCGTTACTAAGTCCCAGAAAAATTCGTCCAGTAGGAGCGTGCGGACCGCACGCCCCTCCTCCGTCCGTGCCACCGCCACCTCCTCCCACTCTTCACTAATCACCATCGCCCGCAGCGCACGCTTCACCTCCAAAAAACGACCGATCATAATCACTTGGGTGCCGAACCGCGTTGCACCAGGGCGGACCAAGGACAACTTGCTGAAAACCTCTCTGAACAAAACGACGGCAGAGGCGGATCCCTTCACCATCATCACCACCCTGTGTACTTGAGTCAGGACACGTTTCACCACCCGAATGTTTCCCATGTCGTGCAGCATGAGATCCAGCACGTGCGCGGCGCAGTTCGTGAAGAACACCTGAGGAAACCCATCACGAAGCATGTCGGCTGCGCGTTTGTTGTTGGACGCATTGTCCATCACAACCTGGATGACTTTCCTGTCCCCCACCGTGCAGATCGCCTTGCGAATGAGGGCCGCCAGGTACTCTCCTGTCTTCTTGGCCGTCTTAGAGTCCACGATATCAACAATGACGGGAGCGGTGTCGTTCTGAGTAATGACGCATACCATGCCGCGGGATTTCAGGCATGTCCAGCCATCCACCGAGAGGGAGCACCCGCTAATGTTCCAGCTGTCTTTGATTGGGCGAACAAGGTCTTCGGTATCCGCCTTGAGCTTCTCAAGCAGCGGGCCCGAAACCTTGTACGGCGTGGGGAGCGTGTACGGTTTGGCGTAGATGACGGCGGCGTCCACAAACGCCTGAAGAGCCTTCGACTTGGATACGTTGAACGCCAAGTCGTTCTCAGCCACAACCGCGGCCCAAAGGTAGTCTAGGCGACCGCGAGCAAGGTCATCCGCCATGTCGCGGATGTCGCGCTGCCTAGCACGACGGACGGGCTGAAGCTCATTCGAAGACGAAGAGGCACGGTTAGAGCAGCCCGCTGTGGAGGAACGCTCACGCTCGGCTTCCGCTCGCAGCAGCTTAGCGGGATCTGACTCGCACATCGTCACGTTCTTCAACTTGTTCAAAGGAGTCCCGTAAATGTGCTCCTTGATTCGTGTCGCATTAGCGGTAACGGCCTCTCCGCAGTGCTTGCATGTTGCACTAACTACGTTGGCGTCGGATGTCACCTTGTTCACATGCTTCCAGAGGTCAGAGACGGGTCTCACCATGGTGGAGAAGTTGAGCTGAGGTGAGTAATGTAAGGCTACTCTAATTCTGGAACGTGTTGTAGTGAAACAACAGCAACTATTAGTACCTAAAGGGCCTGGTTGCTGGGCGTGGGTTGTCGAGTGGATTTTGGGAAAGGGGTGATGAGAGGGATGAACATTGGCCAACTCTGATTGGTTGAATTCAACCCAAGTCGCGAATTTGGGGTGAGTCGCACACGCGGGCGAAAGCAAAAAAGGGTGAAAATGTTCAACGAAAACGCGAAGCGTTCAACCATTTGGTGTCAGCTCGCCAAATGTTTCAATGTCGCGCCTCGCACGAAAAGAACTCGTTGCGACGCGGCGAATGATTGTTACGAAAAAACGAATCGGGTAATCTGACGCAAACCCGTTCGCCAAAATGCGCAACTGTAGCACATCGTGAATGTGCTGAAATTCGCGATTCGGGGGAGGAAACACATTCGACGCAATTGGGGGGTCGGAATTCAGCTTTGCCTGCTTGACTGTTAAGAATTTCAAATTTCGCTATACAGTGTCCCGTTTCAAAAAATCGGCCGTAAAAAACGACCGTATTTTATTACAACCCTAAAATGAGCACATAAACCGTATTTTACCGTTTTTTACGACCGTAAATTACGATATCGTATTTTACGGTGAATTTCCAAAAAACGACCGTCATTTTGATCCTTGGTTTGGAGGGCTTAACGTTACTAAACACTGGAGACGTCTCAGCCTCCAGGAGGAATGAGCACAAAAAAAGGGCGGGGAGGTGGGGTGTGGGGGTGAGGGGGGTAGGGGGAGGACGGTTGTGTAGGTAGCTCTAGGCAAACCACGGAATGATGGAGCAGCAAAAGTTTTCCTCTCGCACCCGTCCATGTGACTCACATGGATGGAGAGAAGGTGTGAGGTGAGTGCAGCCACACCGTTGCGGCCGAAGCGGTCGTCACTGTAGATGAGCGCCACCTGCTGCCACTTGTAGTGCTTGATCAGCTCTGATTGGTTGAGACGAGGAAAGGGGGGGAGAGGAAGGAGGGGATGGGGGGGGGGGGGGGGGGAGGGGTTGGGAGGGGGTGGTTGGAGGAGGAAAGGGGCTTTGGTTTGGAGTCGACTCAATAGTCCCATCGGTTCGGTCATCGCTGTAAATGAGCGCCACCTGCTGCCACTTGTAGAGCTTGATTAGCTCTGATTGGCCGAGAGGATGGAGAGGGGGAGGCGGGGGGGAGAGGGGGGGAAAGGGCGGGGGTGTGAGCGGGGATGGTTGAAAGGGGCTTTCGTTAAGAGTCGACTCAATAGCACCATCGGTTCGGTCGTTGCTGTAAATGAGCGCCACCTGCTGCCACTTGTAGCGCTTAATCAGCTCTGATTGGTTGAGATGAGGAAGAGGAACGGGGAAGGGGTGTGTGTGCATACCTGCCATGGCGGCCATCTGCATGCCATCGCTGGGAACGGTGCGCATGAACGAGCATGTGTGTCTGCTGCTACCTGCACCTGTACCTACGATGTTCTACCGTACCCATCCCATGCCATGCACCCGTACCCCACCTGCCATGGCGGCCATCTGCACGCCATCGCTGGGCACGGTGCGCATGAACGAGCATGTGTGCCTGCTGCTACCTGCACCTGTACCTACGATGTTCTACCGTACCCATCCCATGCCATGCACCCGTACCCCACCTGCCATGGCGGCCATCTGCACGCCATCGCTGGGCACGGTGCGCATGAAGTAGGGCCGGCTGACGCCCTGCGTGAGCTGCACGTCCGTTGCTGACGCCGATATGAATGGCACCTGGTTGGGGGAGGAGGGAGAGGAACAATATTTTGAGCCGACTCAGCTATCGCCCTGCGTGAGGTGCACGTCCGTTGCTCACGCCGATATGAACGACACCTGATGGGGAGAGGGAGGAAGCGGGACAAGGATTGGACGAAAAGGGGAACACAACGAGGGGGGACGGGAAAGGAGGGGGCATGAAGAAGGCATTGGGGTCATGTGAAGGGTTCTCAGAACAAGTGAAAGGTTTTCAGAGGCGACCAGCAAAGTATGAATTACGAATCACGTGCTGAATAAGGAAGGTTGATAGGTAAACGGGACAAACTTGAGACTCCGATTCTTTATCTCTTGGGAATATGTATTTGGGTGGCCTTGGTTGTCTATTGTGTTACCTGGGTTGTGGCTGCAATTGGGCTAAAACGGGCGGCCTGGTCAGATGTGTGCGGGCCAATCACAGCCACCGGATGGTTCTCGAGCAGTTGAAATGCTGCCACGTGGAGGCAGGAGATGGAGCCACGTGGAGATCAGAGGGGAGCAATAACGAGGGTAAATAGAATGTAGGAAGATATCAAGGGGGAATGGATGGAAGACAATGGAAGAGGAAGAGGAGGATTGGATTGGAGGGGACGGGAGAGCTCCAAGCAATGGTACCAGAGTGAAACGGCGGAGAAACGAGCAGAGGAAGAGAGGAGGGGAAGGGAAGACAGGGAGAGGGGTCTTAGGATGGGGTGAAAAAGGGGGACGGGGAATTGGGGAGGGTGAAGAGAAGAGGGGACGGTGGGCGGGAGGGGGAGAGGAATACCTGCGAGTTGGCTCGCGAGTGAGGCGATGGAGTAGTTTTGAACCGTCAGGTGCAGGACATGGTTCGGCAGGATGCTTGGATCGCCGTTGATTTCCTCCACTGCCATGACGGAGGCTGGGCGGGGAAGAAGGGGAAGAGAAGAAGGGAGACGGGGAGAGGCGACAAGAAGGAGCGGAGACGAAGTGGGAAAGGAGAAGAGAAGGGAGGAGATAGGAAAAGAAAAGAAGAAAGTAAAGGAGCGAGGGGAGGAATAAGTGGTAAGAGGGGCGTTGGAGAGACATAGGCACGAGAGCTTGGTCAACGGACGGCGGGGGGAGGGAGGAGGGAGGAGGAGGAGGGGGAGGAGGGAGGAGGGAGGAGGGAGGAGGGAGGAGGGAGGAGGGAGGAGGGAGGAGGGAGGAGGGAGACAGAGCGCGGCGTACCGGCCAGCATGTCGACTCCTCCGGGCAGGTCAGGGGCGAACAAGCATCCCACCGTCAGCAACGCTTTGCTCGTGTCGTTGCTCGAACCGCTTACTACGGCGGCCCCTTTTCTCATGCGAGCGTCTCTCTTCGTCCCGCCGTTGCTCGCCAGCTTTCTCACCGCCAGGCTCGCGATCATACTGGCATCATGGCCGTTGAAGCTAGATCTGCTGCTCGAATCGTGACCGTCGCCGCTAGAGCTGCTGTTCGCGTTTCGAAATTGTCCTCGGTTTCCATCAGTTTCAACAGTCAAATTGGAGTCAAGTTTTCTATCAGAATCAGCGTTAGCGTCACGATAAGAGTTAAAATCAGGGTTAGCGGCGTGTGTAATGACATCCCTCGCTACTCGCTCGGGAATGTCGCTTCTGTATCCAGCCAGATTAGCATTCGCTACTACATTGTTAGCAAGGTCAGCATACTGAAGCTTTCTGTACTCTCCAGCGTTCGCCCCTGAGCCTATCGCGACGGCGCTTCCCGTACTCTTTGTAAGAAGCTCCGCTAACGCTATAATGAACGCTAGCGCGAAGAAGAGAACCCGTGAGGAAATTTCGCGGTGTCGACGAGACGAAAGACGCTTGCCATCCGTTGGTGCTGCAAGAATAAAATTTCCGTGGGTATGCGTTCTTAGCAAACCTAATTCTGACGCGATCTCGGTGCGCATTGGCCAATGCGACCCGCATCGCACGCTATCTCTGTCGCACGCCATCCCATGCTACCGCAGTCGCATACGCTGCGAATGTCATTCGCCGAGGTATCGAATAATCATGAATAGAAACAATGAGTTATTTACACGAGAAAATATGAGGAACACCCTGTGCGACCTAATTGGCTCATGAGCACTGCGCAATGCCAACGTCATCACCCATCGTGCTGTTAGCTCGTGACTTGATATGGCGAGAGGGGAGCAAGAGAGGGGGAGGAGAGGAGCACGCTGCACGCCTGAGGGCGTATTTTCGGTTTCTCGAACACTACAGGGGGCAGGATGATGCGCATGACACTACAGAACCAAATCAACATGAACAGTTTCTCGAACCTTCCTTCCTGGGATACGCCCTGAGGTGTCAAGGCAAGCGAACTGTCAACGTTCGAATCCGATAAATATCGGCGTTGACAAACAGCTTGTGTGAGGTTCTCGTTGGCTGGGGGACACAAAACAGTGACGGAGGGAGATACGAGGGACGGAGGTGACCGTTGACAAATGAAAACGCCGCATCGAACCTTTCCCGCGTGCTCGGTACGCACCGAAACACCTGCCCGCCGCCACCCGATCGCCACCCGATGTCCGCACCGTCGGCGGCAGGACAAGTACACCTTGTGCGCGTTGCAGCATTACTCAACGCACCTAGCCTTAGCCTTAGCCGCACAAGAGAGTGGTCACCGAGCCATAACTAGTAGTGTTACTCTCACCTCAGCCGAATGGGTTAAATAAAGTCAGTGTAGCAGGACCCTGTCCATGTATATTGGTGTTACTTGATTATCAAAGTACTATAACACCAATATAGCTGGACCCTGGCGACAGAACCCTGTCCATGCTCGCTAACTTCAGGGATTAGGCTGAGGTGACTGTGAGAGCCGGAAGGCGCGGACCCGTTGAACTCCTTTGTACTCCGGCTCGGCGTTCGCATCCGTGTCAAATGTGGATCCTGGTGATAGAACCTTGTCAAGGTTTGCCAACTTCTTCCCCACTTCGCCCTTAATGCTGCGAGTATAACAACATTTGACAAACAAAAAAATTGCAGAAAAATATGGATAAGAAGCACATGAAGGTTGTATGAACTGGCACTAGCGGACAAATTAAACTAAGCCAGCAGCACTCCCACAAACTCACCTGGTTCCTGGCTTCTGTGTGACATCATACGATGCACTCCGGCGATGAACACGAGCAGCCTTTCTCAGCCTGGCAGCCTGGTTCCTCTGCTGCTGCTGCTGCTGCTGCTGCTCCTGGCGTCCATACGATGCCTTTGGTGGCAGCTGCTGCCGCAGCAGCAGGTGTTGTGGCTGCTGCTGCTGCTCCTTAGGAGGAGATTGTGAGAGTGTCAGGGGTGAGTGAGTCGGAGAGTCTGAATGCTCCTCCATACCAAAGGTGTTGCTTCTCCTCTTTGAAGCCCTCAGCTGTGCTGCTGCCTCCAGTGCCTCGGGCTCAGCTTCCGGTGGGCAGGGTTCGGCAGGTAGTGAGGAAGAAGAAGGCAAGATAGTGCTGGTCCGCCTTTGTCTTTTCGGCATGTCTGCATGGCCTGCAGCGTCAGAACCACCGAAACTCCCAGCAGGATACATGCTGCCAGAATAAGCCGAGTGGTGGAAGTTAAGTGCACCGGGGGAACCGCCAGCGCTGGTAACACCAGCAACAGCAGGAGAGTTAGCAGCAGTGGGAGGAAGGATGAGGATGTCTGGAGCAGTGGGAGGAGCAGTGGGAGGGTGCGCATGAGGAGGGTCTGCTGTGAGACCAAGACCTGAAGAGGAATCAGGTTGATTGAAAAATGCGGCATCTGCATCGCCAGCATCGGCTGCGCTCCCAGCACTAGAAGCACCGCCGACACTGGCAGCACGGAAGAAGGAACCAGAGGCAGTGGAGGGGCGTTTTGAAGCGAAAGCAGGCGAGCACTGCAGAGACCCCCAGCTGGGCCGGCCCCGGGACGGCGAGGCAGCAGCAGAGGCAGAGGGAGAGGCAGACGCAGACACAGAGGCAGAAACCGAGGTGGCGGAAGCAGAGACACCCGAGCCACGGGCTGATGGGCTGCTGCGCTTTCTCGCAGAGTTGCCCGGGGAGGAGAAGTCGGGCAGGAGAGAGGCCGCGGAGTAGGCTTGCTGCCTCTGGATGTTCTTTGGGTCAAGGTACTGCCCCCGGCTCCACTCCTTGCCCTGCACACAGTCACAGGGGGGGGAGGGGAGAGAAAAGAGGATGTTTTGCGCTTTGAAGATTGACTTTGCACACGCAAGTTCTGATTTTGCTCGGTCCAGGTACTGCCCCTGGCTCACCTTTTTGCCCTGCACACAGTCGAAAAAGAAGAGGAGAGGGAGATTAGACTTTCAGGCAGCACAAAAGGGAAGCAGCGGAATGGGCTTGCTGCCTCTGCATGTTGGTCCCACTCACTGGTGGTTTCAAGCCTCACCTTGTTGAATTTATCCATCAGATCGTCCATTGTCCGCTGCACAGAAACCACACCTTCCTGTGAAGATTCCACCATCCTCTGAACAGATGCCAAGCCGGGAAGCACATTGGTTACGCCTCCCAGACTCGGCATACCAGTCGGCAGCGGTATACCAGCCACAGCTAACGCATCAGTAGGAGGTAGATTAATTGTGCTGTTAGCGGTGGTAGTGGTTGGTTTGGTGCTGTTGGCGGCGGTCGTGCTGTTAGCGGTGGTAGCGGTTAGTTTGGGAAGTAAGCTGGCTGCTGCGTCGAGAGATGCACCCACGGAGGATAGGATGTTGGTTGATCCAAGGTTTACAGGGGGTAAACCTGGAATTAACCTGGATGTCCCATGACCGGTTGCAGGTGAGTCGTCAGAAGAGAAAGCTTTTGCAGCAGGGGCGGAGGTTGCAACAGAAGCAGCAGCAGCAGCAGCAGTGGCAGCAGCAGCAGCAGCAGCAGCAGCAGCAGCATTGGTGGTAGTTATGGCTAATCCAGCTGATTCTGCTAATGCTTTTGACGTTGCGTCTGCTTCTGTCTTTGCATCTCCTTCTCCTGCTGCTTCTCCTTCTGCTGCTTCTTCTGCTGCAAGTGCTGCCACTGCTGCCCCTGCTGCTGTCCCTGCTGCTGCTGCTGCTGCTGCTGCTGCTGCTGAAGCAGCACCTGAAGCTGCTACTGCTGAAGCAACACCTGAAGCAGCAGCTGCATCTGGAGCAGAAGCAGCAGCACCAGACGCAGAACCCACCACAACATCCCTTTCGACTGTACCAGCAGCAAGTCGAGCCCCCTCCTTATCCCCACCAACACCCAGCTCCCCATCCTTTTCCTCCTCCCCAACCTCCTCCCCTCTCCCCCCCTCCTCATTCCCTTCCTCCAGCAGCGGCTCTAGTACCTCCGGCCGCTTGCTGCCCTTGCTAGTGGCGGAGGCGGCGCCGGCGGCGGTGGTGGTTGTGATGGTGCTGCTGCTACGGCTGCTGCTGCCGTCAAAGCTGGTTGCAGTGGCTGGAACAAATGAGAAGGGATTGGAGGAGGGACCAGAACCAGCATCAACATAGCCCACACTAGAGCCTCCATCCTCCTTGTTCCCAACACTGGAGCCTCCACCCTCCTCATTCCCCACACTTGCTCTACCTTCACCGTCCGTGCCGGCCTTGCCTGTTTTGTAACGAGCACCAGAATTCCCACCCGCGCCGCACGACAGGCCGAAACACCGCTGCTGCAGCAGCAGCTGCTGATCGTCGTCCTCTTCCTCGTGTGGTGGAGAAAGATGGGGCCCGTGTGCTTCCCTGCAGCATTGCCATGCCAGCATCGCATGCAGCACAAGTGGATTAGCAGCCCTGAATAGGCGACTCAGAACAGAATGCTGGACAGGCTTATTGGGTGTACTGTGTACATGGAGGGCGACTTTTGAGTCGACTCAAAAGTCACCTTGCTGGAGAGGCTTATTGAGTGTACTGTGTGTGTACATGGGGGGCCTGCTGTAACGTAATTATAACCACAGTGAGGCGGGTCGTACTGGTGGTAGCGGTAACCAGGTCATACCGGTGGTAGCGGTAACCGCGGTAGATGAGGATGCAGACGTAGGTGATGCAGCAGAGCAGCGAGACAACGAGGTAGAGGATGAGCAGCGCCGTGAACTTCTGCACGTTCACCTCCGTCAGCACTGCGGATGCAGTCTGATCATCCACACACATGTTGTCCTTCTGAAGGGTGAGGGTGTCGGGTGTAGGGTGGGTGTGGCGGAAGAGGGAAGGTAGAGGATGAGGCAGAGCCGTGAACATCAGCACGTTGACCTCTGAGAGCACCGCTGAGGCCGTCTGGTCGTCGACACACATGCTGTCCTTCTGAGAAGGTGAGGGTGGAGGGAGAGGGAAGAAGAATGAGCAGCACCATAAGCTTCTGCACGTTCACCTCTGTTAGCACTGTAGAGGCCATTTGGTCGTCAACACACATGTTGTCCTTCTGCAGGGTGAGGGTGTCGGGTGTAGGATGGGTGTGGGGGAAGAGGGAAGGCAGAGAATGAGCAGCACCATAAGCTTCTGAACATTCACCTCCGTTAGCGCTGCGGATGCAGTCTGATCGTCGACACACATGTTGTCCTTCTGCAGAGGTGGCGAGGGAAGAGGGAAGAGGGAAGAGGGAAGAGGGAAGTACACCAATTCACATACTCTTTTCTCTGATTCAACCAATCCTCATACTCTTCTCTTACAGACCCACCTGCAAGTACTGTGCCTTGAGCCGCTCCAGGTCCCCCTTCATTGTCAGTTCAAGGATGGCATCAGATATGTCCTCCCCCACCTGTGCCTCGAGACGTCTCCAATCTCTCTCGCACCCACCTGCAAGTACTGCTGCTTCAAGTGCTCCAGATCCCCCTTCATTGTCAGTTCAAGGATGGCCTGAGATACGTCCTCCCCTCTCTCGCACCACCCTGCAAGTACTGCTGCTTCAAGTGCTCCAGATCCCCCTTCATTGTCAGTTCAAGGATGGCCTGAGATACGTCCTCCCCTCTCTCGCACCCACCTGCAAGTACTGCTGCTTCAAGTGCTCCAGATCCCCCTTCATTGTCAGTTCAAGGATGGCCTGAGATACGTCCTCCCCTCTCTCGCACCCACCTGCAAGTACTGCTGCTTCAAGTGCTCCAGATCCCCCTTCATTGTCAGTTCAAGGATGGCCTGAGATACGTCCTCCCCTCTCTTGCACCCACCTGCAAGTACTGCTGCTTCAAGTGCTCCAGATCCCCCTTCATTGTCAGTTCAAGGATGGCCTGAGATACGTCCTCCCCTCTCTCGCACCCACCTGCAAGTACTGCTGCTTCAAGTGCTCCAGATCCCCCTTCATTGTCAGTTCAAGGATGGCCTGAGATACGTCCTCCCCTCTCTCGCACCCACCTGCAAGTACTGCTGCTTCAAGTGCTCCAGATCCCCCTTCATTGTCAGCTCAAGGATGGCCTGAGATACGTCCTCCCCCACCTGTGACCCCTTGGGGAAGGCCTGTGTGGAAAAAGTGGTGAGAGAGAGGAGAAGAAAGGAGAAAGGAGAGGCAAGACATGTGGTGGTGAGCGAAGGAGAAATTGGTGGGCAGAGGGCTTCTGAGGCGCCTCAAAAGGGGGGATTGGGGAGAGGGGAGGGGATCTGATTCGGTGGGCAATGGTGGTGAGAGACGGAGAAATTGGTGAGCGGAGGGATAGGAGGCAGGGGAGGGAGGAGAGCGAAGGGAGGAAGGCAGGGGGGAGTGCAAATCAATTTTCTTTAGCAAGGAGAGAAGTGGAGTAGGGATGTGGTGTCGGCCTTTCATTTTTGCGGTGAGGCAAAGCTGACGGGGATGAGGAGCCAGTCTCAAGGGTCACGAGAAAACTCTACGGCAGGCATGTGTATGGGAGATGCACATGCACATGCACATGCACATGCACATGCACACTTATATGCACTTGCATATGTGCATGCGCATGGTGCATACACACGCACAGATGCTGAAACACACAAGCAATTGCACATGCACGTGTGCATATACATCCCCATCCTCACAACCACATCCCAACAACCAATTTTTAGGATGCACACAGGCCATGCCATGGTGCACATGCACCACCTTGCACCACACTGCACCACAGTGCACCACAGAGCACCCACAAAGGCGAAGTTGAGGACCGAGAAGGGCTGCGACGCCTGCACGCCGTCACAGAAGGAAGCGGAGAAGAGGTCGAGGTAGGGATCCTCGTCCACTATCACTGCCACCCTCCCTGAGGAGAGAGCCGATGCGTATTCGCTCTCTCCCGTCAGCGGCACCAACTTGTCCTGCCAGGGGAGAGGGAGAGGGTGAACACAAGGAAGTGGAGAAGAGGTCGAGGTAGGGATCCTCGTCCACTATCACCGCCGCCCGGCCCGATGCCAGTGATGATGCATACTCGCTCTCTCCCGTCAGCGGCACCAGCTTATCCTGGCGGTGGGGTTCATGGGGTGAGCAAAGGAGGGATGGAGGGAAGGGGCGGAAGAGAGAGAGGGGTAGTTTCACCACCAGGGAGAGTGGGGGCGAGGCAGTGGAGAGGGGGCAGTTCTGAGGTGCTCCAAACCAAAGTGAGGAAGGCAGTTGAGAGGGGGCAGGAGTGGTTGCTCAAATCAACAACATATTTTTGGATCGAACTGAACAACATATTGCTTCGAACTGGAGTACACAATTTCAAATAAACTGCAGTTCCACGATGCCTGACAATTGGGTGAACAGAGCATGCGCGAAGTGGAAGAGGCACTCACAGGGGCAACGCCCAGCTGCAGCAGGTACGATTGTACGAAGGAGCCTTGCTGGACCCCAATGGGTGAGTTGCTACTGAGGGCGGAGTAGATGTCCTGGTGGGGTGGACGGAGGGCGTATGGCAAGGGCAGAGCACATTGGGATGGAGAGGCGTGCGCATGCTTGCTTGTGTTGAGAAAGGAGAATGCTGGACCCCAATGGGTGAGTTGCTACTGAGGGCGGAGTAGATGTCCTGGTGGGGTGGACGAAGGTTGCAAGGGCAGGGTAGGGCAGGGAAGGTCGCAGGGAGAGGGAGAGGCGTCGGCATGCATGTATGAGTCGAGCAAGGAGGCCTTAGGGAAAGAGATTGACAACAGTGCTAGCGATTGCTGAGAAAGTAAGCAACTACAAGGCCGGGGTGATTTTAAGGGAAGGGTTGCTCACGAGGATTTGCAGAAGGAGCCTCTGGATTGCGAGGAAGGAGGTGAGATTGGTGGCCACGTAGGATGTGGCTATAATGAAGGCCAGAAGAAGCCAGATGCATTCACATTGGTGCTCACCAAGATTCATGGAAGGAGCTTCTGGATTGTGAGGATGAAGGTGAGGTTGGCCACGTAGGAGTTGGCTATGACCCATGCTACTAGCAGCCAGATCAACTTTTGAGACGTCTCATCAGTGCTTACAAGGATTTGGGGAAGCAGCTTCTGTATGGTGAGGATGGAGGTGAGATTGGCCACGTAGGAGTTGGCTATGACCCATGCTAGTAGCAGCCAGATGCATACGACCACCCTTGCTAGCGTCGTGTGGATGCGAAACACTGTTGGGAGGTGAGGGACATCCACACACGCACGCATGCATGCACACACGCACGCAATAACGCACACACGCACGCACGCATGCACACACGCACGCACGTATGCACACACGCACGCACGCATGCACGCACGCACGCACGCACGCACGCATGCACGCACGCATGCACACACGCACGCATGCATGCACACATGCACACACTCACACACGCACACATCCATGCACGCACGCACGCATACATGCACACATGCATGCATGCACGCACACACATACACACACGGATGGGAACATTGCGCGCGCATAGTATCATGCAGAAAAGGACAATTGAGAGGATGCCAAACAGTGGAGGGAGGCACAGCACACAAAGTGACAAGTCAGGTTGAGACGTTAGGCTAAGTAGCACTGGCTGTTGAGCTGGGATGTGTAAAACCAGTGAGCTGGCATTAGCATGTGAGAGACATGTGAGATGAGAGTATGCCGAGTGGGGAGGGAGGAAAACAGAGGACCAGGGAGGGTGAGTGGTGGAGTGGGGTGGGAAGAGGTGGGAATTGGTGGGGAGAGTGGGGAAGGGACGCACCAGGATTGGAGTAGAACGTGTGGATGCCGTACCTGCAAACAAGGAGAGGAGGGGGAAGGACAACCAAGGAGAAGAAGGGGAGGGACAACCAACGGCACAAGGTGGGTTGACTTTTGAGTCGACTCAAAAGTCAACTGAGTAGAACGTGTGGATGCCGTACCTGCAAGCAAGGAAAAGAGGGGGAGGGACAACCAATGGCACAAGGTGGGCGAATGGGGGTGTGTGGGTGTGTGGGTGTGTGGGTGTGTGGATGGGTGGGTGGGTGGGTATGTGGGTGTGTGCGTGTGAGTGTGTGTGAGTGTGCGTGTGAGTGTGTGTATGCGTGTGCGCTTGCGTGTGTGTGTGCGCGTGCTTGTGCGTGTGCGTGTGGGTGTGCGTGCGTGGGTGCGTGTGTGTGTGTGATAGATGTAAACACCACCAAGCTCCACCCCAGCCCATTCACTCACCACACACCTGTCATGAGGCGCTTCTGCAGCGTCTCCTGGAAATCAGGCGCTTCAAGTTACTCTCTCACACCTGAAATGTCACCAAGTCCCAGCCCAGCCCATTCGCTCACCACACGGCTGTGATGAGGCGCTTCCGCAGTGTCCCCTGGAAGTCCGGTGTTCTTTGCCGGTCCAGAATCATGGCAAGCAGCCATGTGGTGGTGAGGCACACAGCTTCAAGTTACTCTCTCACACCTGAAATGTCACCAAGTCCCAGTCCAGCCCTGCCCACCCCCCTCACTCACCACACGGCTGTGATGATGCGTTTCCGCAATGTGCCCTGGAAGTCAGGTGTGCGCTGCCGGTCCAGCATCATGGCTAGCAGCCCAGTGGTGATGCAGATGGCGGCAGTGACGGCCCACATGGAGGCCGTGAACGGGGTGAAGACCATCCAGGGGTTGCTATATGGCCGCGAGTAGCCCATCACACTCAACCCTGATTGCTGGGAGAGGAAAGAGAGGAGGCACGGGAGACAGCGGGAGAGCAGAGGAGGGGAGAGCAGCAGCGAAAGTGGTGCATCAAACTACTCCCAATCATTCATCTTATAGCCAAGTGTCGTGTGCCATTGTCACGAGATGACTTTTGAGTCGACTCACAAGTCACCTTGACCAGCAGCAGAAGTGGTGCATCAAACTACTCCCACTCATTCATCTTATAGCCAAGTTTCGACGACCCACTACTACAAAGACATGCCATGCCCTCACCCACCTCACATGTACCTTGTTCCTGCCCCAATCATACCAGCTTGGAAAGATGGGGTGCGACCTTACCCACCTCACCTCACATACCCCCCAAATTATATGGGCCAGATCGCACATGCAGTACAGTACAGTTTGCCATGTGCCTGTACCTGGAATTCGAGTACGTACCTGGATGGGGTAGGTGAAGAAGACGGCTTTGCTCCGCGAATCCAGCACTGTGATGTCTCCCACTGCTGCATCGTACGTCTGCCGGGCCGGAGGCAGCACAGGAAAGCAGAGGGAATACAGGGAAGCACGGGACAGCAGAGGGAATACAGGGAAGCACGGGACAGCAGAGGGAATACAGGGAAGCACGGGACAGCAGAGGGAATACAGGGAAGCACGGGACAGCAGAGGGAATACAAGGTTTTGAGGCTCAATCTGAGGCTTGGGTTCACTACACAGCGTAATGGGATTGGGGCTTGTTAACAAGAGCAGTGAGGTGCATTTTGAGGCGCCTCAAAATGCACCTCACTGCTCTTGGGTTCACTTCACAGCGCAATGGGATTGAGGCTTGTTAACAACAGCAGCCAGCCAGCCAGCCAGCAACATGTGCGTGTAGCTGTGGGCAGCGAACCCACACTGCTAGCCCGAATCGTATAATGACTCTCATCCACCTTGTTGGCGACGGCCAGCACCATCTCTGAGTAGCTGAGGACAGTGTCCTCATGTATAGCGTGCAAACACTCATAGCCCAGAGCCCATAAGGTAAACTTTCTTGTTGTGCAGAGAAACAGAGAGAAGCGCGCACCTTGTTGGCCACAGCCAGCACCATCTGTGTGTAGCTGGGCAACTTGTCCTTATGCGTGTGAGATGAGACGGGTATTGAGTCAGCTCAAAACATGACTCACCTTGTTGCCGACAGCCAGCACCATCTGTGTGTAGCTGGGTTTCTTGCCACCGTACGACACAAACTCGTAGTCCAGCTTGTAGGGTAACCGTGTAACGGCCAGGCGGAACACCTCCACACAGTAGCCTGAGAAGCGGCTGTTGCCCTCCCCCAAGGCATCCGACACGTTCACATACTCCTTGTATTGCTGGCAGGGGAGAGGGGGGGGAAGGGAGAGATGCGGGGAGAGATGCGGGGAGAGATGCGGGGAGAGATGCGGGGAGAGAGGCGGGGGGAGAAGGGGAGGGTGACTTCTGAGTCAATCTGAGAGGCTCACTCACGTGCAGTAGCCTGAGAAGCGGCTGTTGCCCTCCCCCAAGGCATCCGACACGTTCACATACTCCTTGTACTGCTGCCCAAGAGGAGAACAGGGAGCGAGATTAACTATTCAGTGAACTCAACAGTCACTATGGCACCTGTTGATAAGCCACCTGGTGATGATTGAATCTGCTGTGCACCTGTTAGTAAGGGAACCTCATGTGGATTCCTACCTGTCACCATTGTGCAAGTACCTGTTTGTTCGGCACTGCGATTCGAAGTCGGGTCTTGGGAAACAATCCTGTTGGCACCTGCAGGAGACAGCGACACACGAAGAGGGAGCAGGGGCGGGCAGGGGAAGGGGCAGAGGCAGGGGAAGGGACAGAAGCAGGGGAAGTGGCAGAGGCAGGGGCAGGGGGAGGGGCAGGGAGAGGGAGGGGCAAGGGCAGGGGCAGGGGCAGAGGCAGGGTAGGGGAAGGTGTGAAAATCAAAGTGTGCGAAGATTTGCAACGACCAGCGTTTGTGGCACTGCAGGCCCTAAACCCAGAGTATGTTACAACGATGAAGGAAAAACGAGGAGGAGAAAAACGAATGACACTGGCCAGGAAAAAAAAGGGAAAGAAAGAAAGACAAAAGATGATGCAAGGCCCTGAAGTAACAAGCACATAAGGATTGGAAGATGATGGGGCTGCCAGTTGGACACTCCCACTCCACCTACCTGTGTGAGTCCTCCCGGGAAGATGATGGGAAGAGCGTTCGGAGCCTGCACAGCACAGCAGAGCAGGGAGGCAACGGCTTAAAATGCCAAGTTAGAGCTTAGAGCTACCGACTGAACAGGGAGGCACGGCCCTGCCCTTCTGCCCTGTCGTGTCCTGTCCTGCTTGTACTGATTTGTTCAGAGTAGCCCTCATGCTGGTTTCAATAGCGGTGCTACTTGCGTGCTTGTGCCTAATTGACGTAGGATAGACCGAGCCTGAGGTATACAGGTTTATCCTAACCAAACCTGTGGAGAAGTGGTTTGAGGCATACAGGTTTGAGCATATGAGTGAGCCTGGGCTCGACGCAGGTGAAGCGGTTGAAAGTGGGGAGTGGGTGGCAGGAGGGCAGGAAGGAGGCAGGTTGCAGGAGGCCAAGTTAGTGGCGGGAGGGGAGGACGCCGAGGGAGAGTGACTAACCTGTGTGCTGGGGCCTGCAGGAGACCCTGGGGGCGACGCAGGGGAAGCAGTGGAAGGTGAGGAAAGTGCCAGGGGTGGGCTGGAGGAGGAGGGGACAAGGCCAAGGGTAGAAGACCAAAGGCCCACTTCCACTGGCACCCCTTTCTGGATGTTGAGAATGCGGACCTCGTTTGTTACCAGGTCGCCGTGTGGGGTTAGCGCGATTCTGAGAGGGAAAATGAGGGGCATGGGTGCAAAACGGTTGAGAGCGTTTGCGGGGTGTGAAAGCAGGGTGAACGGGCTAGGCGGAGGAGGGCAGGCAAGGGGAGGAGGAAGTGTGGACCAAAGAGATGACAGTAATGGGGTTGGCCTCCTGCCCTCCTCACATCCCTTCCCCCCCCCCCCCCCTCCCCCCCCTCCCCACACTCCCCCCTCCCGAGATTCCACACACACACACACCCTTCCCCCTCAACACGCCTCACCTGCCCTGCAGGCCATCAAAGCTGGTATTGAGAAGAGCCTTTCGCAGTGCCGGTCCCACTATGGTTGGGATGGGTTGAGAAGTGCGGGGCAGGCATCGATTCGAGGAGCTTGATTGCATTGCATCGCATGGCGACAGGGTGCCAAAATTGGAGGGCATAGAGCGGCACAGCAGCAACAGAGCCACGAGAGAAACATGCGACCAGCAGCAGACTTGAGTCGAACCAGAAATCAGTACAGGACAGCTACCGATGCAGAATAATTGCACTTTGTTGAAAGCGCGTGAGTGGTGGGGCAAGTGCATGGGGCAGGACGCATGGGGCAGGGAGCATGGGGCAAGGCGTATCGGGCAAGGCGCATGGGGCAAGGCGCATGGGGCAGGGCGCATGGGGCACGGTGCATGGGGCAGGGCGCATGGGGCAGGGCGCATGGGGCAGGGAGCATGGGGCAGGGCGCATGGGGCAGGGCGCAGCAGCATACTTGCACTTTGTTGAAGGCGGGTGAGTGGCGGAGCGAGCACGTCTTGGGTGCCGTTGGGGAGTGGAGGCAGCACCGGCAGCTCCAGCTGCTGAAATGCCTGCCCTGCCCCCTCTACTTGCTGCATTCTCCTCTGCTGCCCCACTTTTTGCTGCTGCCCCGCTTGCTCCTGAACCAATTTCTGCTGCTGCGCTTGTGTGTGCTCGTGTGAGGACGAGTTGGTTGGTGCAGGAGCGGAGGGGTAGAGCAGGGAGTGCAGCGCACGTGCGACAAGGGTCACGGCATCATGCGATGAGAGCGCGTATGGTGACGGATTCTGGCTTGGTGGGAGGAGTTAGGAGAGGGAGGCATGAGGGAAAGGAATCTGAGGAAACGTTTAGGGAGGTGTGGACAAGGGGAGGTGTGGGGGAGAGGAGGTTGTATTCGAGAATTCTCAAAAGCAACCTACAGAATTTGACGAGAGCACGTATGGCTTCTGGCTTGACAGAAAGGAAGTGGGGGGGAAACGCTTTCGTTCTGAAAGGGAGGTCCTTCGTTGAAGAGGGAAGGAGGGAAGGAGGGAATTGTTGGGAAGGGAAGGTGTGGCAGGGACAAGGGAAATGGTGGGATGCAGTAGCTGGCAGGCGTGGGATGGCAATCCCTACAAGAACAAGCAAAGAAGAACAGAAACAACAGCAAGCACAGGGCATAGGGTATGTACCCCCTGGGTGAGTCCCAGGAACTGGGATGCATCGAGGGTAAAAAATTGTTACTAGCATCAGAAAGTGAAAGGGTATAGGATATGTACATACCCCCTTGGTGAGTCCCAAGTACTGTGATGCATCGAGGGTAAAGGTTTGTTACTAACATCAGAAAGAGAAAGGGTATCGGATATGTACCCCCTTGGTGAGTCCCAAGTACTGGGATGCATTGAGGAGCTTCCAGCGATCATAGAACGATGAGAGTTGCGGGGAGGGGGGCACGTGGGTGGCTGTGATGATCAGCCCCTGTGGGGAAAGGGGAGAGAGAGTGGTGGAGTGGGATTGAGAGAGATGAGGAGCGTTGCTGTATCGTTGATTCTGTGGTATATTGATAAGGACCGTGTGCTAAGATGAGAGGAGAGAAGAGCAGAGAAGACCAAGCCAAACACTCGAAACACTGCACATTCACAGAAATCCATACGCACACAAGCCACACTCACATCATCCCACTCACACCAGCACCCCTCTCACACCAGCACCCCACTCCCATCAGCACCCCACTCCCACCAGCACCCCACTCCCACCAGCACCCCACTCCCACCAGCACCCCACTCCCACACCACTCCCACCCCACTCCCACCAGCACCACTCTCCACTCACATCCACGTGTTGGGCGGAGGTGGCACTGATGACAGCTGCGGCCTCAGATGAGATCCACACGCTGTTCTTCACAAACAGATGCAGCTTGTTGGCTGATTGGCGCGGGGTGGGGTGAAGGTGACGGTGGGAGCACACAGAATATGGATGGAATGTGAGTAGCACGCACGTGGGCCTTAGGAATGGGCACCCACAGCTGCTGCCTCAGACGAGATCCACACGCTGTTCTTCACAAACAGATGCAGCTTGTTGGCTGACGTGGGGTGGGGTGATGGTGAGTTATGATGGGCTTGCAGCTTGTTCTTCACAAATATGATGGGCTTATGCCATTTCCACTTGTTTCTCTCATTCAGCTACAGTAAGAGAACCCACCTGTTTCAATGGCAGGAATGGATACAGCAAGAGAGGCACGCAGCACGCAGAGCAGACTGGCACGTGTAGCGGCAGCCTGCTATATTGAGTTTACTGACGAACCTGCTATATTGAGTTTACTGACGAACCTGCTATATTGAGTTTACTTTTGAGAATTCTCAAAAGTAATCCACATAACGCACCTGCTTCAACGACGGCAGAGAAGATGGTCAGGGAGGCGTGGAGCACATAGACGGCCGCGTTTGGAAGCAGCGGTTCTACTACAGAAGCCACCTGCTTCAACAGCAGCGGCAGTGAATACAGCGGGGGGTGAGGGCACCCACCTGCTTCAACGACGGCAGAGAAGATGGTCAGGGAGGCGTGAAGCACATAGACGGCCACGTCTAGAGACTTCAACGCGGACATATAGTCGTGAATGGCCTCGTTGCTGGCTGTCAGCGGGATGGCCACTCGCGCTGCCACATCCGCCTCCGCCTGTTGAAAAAGAGGGGGGAGGGTTGGGGCAAGTGGAGCACCGCAAAGCACAGCACCGCACAACACAGCACAGCACAGCACAGCAGGGAGGATACGTGGCCGCGAATGGCCTCGTATGTGGCTGACAGGAAATGGATGGCCTGGCCACCCGCACTGCCACATCCTTACTCGTATGGTGTGTGTGACTGACTCACGCGGATGGAGAGCAGCTGTAAGGCGAGTGTAGTGATCCCATTGCGGCCAAAGCGGTCGTCGCTGTAGATGAGCGCCACCTGCTGCCACCTGTAGCGCCGGATCAGCTCTGATTGGTCGAGACAGGGAGAGAGGGGGACGGAGGGGGGTGGTTGGAGGGGTGGCTACGGTTTGGGGGGTGATCATGAGTCGTCGCTGTAGATGAGCGCCACCTGCTGCCACTTGTAGCGCCTGATCAGCTCTGGTCGGAGAAAGAGAGGGGAGGGAGAGTGGGCTTAAGTTTTAAGTTCCCATCAGTCGTAGCTGAAAATGAGCGCCACCTGCTGCCACTTGTAGTGCCTGACCAGCTCTGCAGGGAGGGCACGAGGGACGCGAGGTGAGGGAGGGGAGGAGAGGAGGGAGGCAATTCTTGGACTTGTACCCATCCCACAGCCTGCACCCACCCACCCATCGCACGGCATCGACTCGTATCGTACCTGGCAGCGCGGCCATCTGCACGCCGTCGCTGGGCACGGTGCACATGAGAACACAACACACTGCGCCCAGTGAAGGCATGCACTGGGGGGGCACACATGTGTGACTGTTGCGAGGTGAATCTTGAGTCGACTCAGCAGTCACCTCGGTGCGCATGTGATGAGAACACACTGCGCCCAGTGAAGGCGGCGTGCACTGGGGGGGGCACACGTGACTTTTGAGGCGCCTCAAAAGTCGTCGCTGGGCACGGTGCGCATGAGAACACAACACACTGCGCCCAGTGAAGGCATGCACTGGGGGGGCACACGTGTGTGACTGCTGCGACGCGACCTGTACCAGCACAGCACCTGCGCTACTCCACCCCCACACAGCTCGGAAAAAAGACCACCTGCCATGGCGGCCATCTGCACGCCATCGCTGGCCACGGGCGCACTGCGCATGAAGTACACACATGCTACTACTGCTACATGCAGCTAAACCTGCGCTGCCCCATTCCCACCTACCTGCCATCGCGGCCATCTGCACGCCATCGCTGGGGACAGTGCGCATGAAGTAGGGCCGGCTGGTGTCCCGCGTGAGCTGCACGCCCGTTGCTGACGCCGATATGAACGGCACCTGGTGGGCGGATGGGAGGGGCACAGGAAGGGGGGGAAAGAGGTCGAACAAAGGGAAGGAGAGAAGAGCGAATGAAGTAGGGGCGGCTGGAATCCCGCGTGAGCTGCACACCCGTTGCTGACGCCGATATGAACGGCACCTGGTGGATGGGGAAGCAGCACGAGGGAGACAGGACTTGTTGTGAGGCGCCTCAAAAGGTGGCTGGTGCCCCGCGTGAGCTGCACGCCCATTGCTGACGCCGATATAAACGGCACCTGGTGGTGAGGTGGGGTTCAGGGGGAATAGGGGGGACACGAGAGTGGCACACGAGGGGTTGCAGAGGGCGGGAAGGACGGGAGAAGAGCACATGAAATAAGGTTGGCTGGTGCCCTGCGTGAGCTGCACTGCACGTCCGATGCCGATATTTATGGCACCTGGGGGAAGGGTAGGTGGGGGGTGTGGAGGGGACACGAGGGACAGGGAGGGAGAGGGGGTTAGTCAACTCGCAAGAGGGAGGGAGGGGGGGTTAGTCAACTCGCAAGAGGGAGGGAGGGGGGGTTAGTCAACTCGCAAGAGGGAGGGAGGGGGGGTTAGTCAACTCGCAAGAGGGAGGGAGGGGGGGTTAGTCAACTCGCAAGAGGGAGGGAGGGGGGGTTAGTCAACTCGCAAGAGGGAGGGGGGGGGGTTAGTCAACTCGCAAGAGGGAGGGAGGGGGGGTTAGTCAACTCGCAAGAGGGAGGGAGGGGGGGTTAGTCAACTCGCAAGAGGGAGGGAGGGGGGGTTAGTCAACTCGCAAGAGGGAGGGAGGGGGGGTAGTCAACTCGCAAGAGGGAGGGAGGGGGGGTAGTCAACTCGCAAGAGGGAGGGAGGGGGGGTTAGTCAACTCGCAAGAGGGAGGGAGGGGGGGGTAGTCAACTCGCAAGAGGGAGGGAGGGGGGGTAGTCAACTCGCAAGAGGGAGGGAGGGGGGTTAGTCAACTCGCAAGAGGGAGGGAGGGGGGGTTAGTCAACTCGCAAGAGGGAGGGAGGGGGGGTAGTCAACTCGCAAGAGGGAGGGAGGGGGGGTTAGTCAACTCGCAAGAGGGAGGGAGGGGGGGGTAGTCAACTCGCAAGAGGGAGGGAGGAGGGGTTAGTCAACTCGCAAGAGGGAGGGAGGGGGGGGTAGTCAACTCGCAAGAGGGAGGGAGGGGCGGCTGGCGCCCTGCGTGAGCTGCACGTGTGTTGCTGATGCGGATATGAACGGCAGCTGGTGGTGAGGGGGGAGGGGAGAGGGGGAGACGGGGACACAAGGAGGGACAGGAATTGGTGGAAGTGGGGGGGACATGAGGGGGGCAGGATGGGGAACAAAAGAAGGGGAGCGGAGCGGAGAGGGAAGGAAGTGGCGCGGGAGGAGATGGGCCGTGAAGAAGGCAACAGCAAAGTGAAAGAAAGGCTAGGATTCATTGTGACCAATGAAGACGTAGGAGGGGAACAACAGAATTTGAAGGACAACAGGTTATACATTAGGTGAGCAAGGGCCACATTTGCGGGAACGAAGGGAAGCCTTTGTGGTGTTGATAAATAACTGTCTACATCGGAATTGAGTGGCACCTGTTTCTGAACTGTCACCTGGGTCTGTTGTGTTGTTACCTGGGTTGCGGCTGCAATTGGGCTGAATCGGGCGGCCTGGTCAGTTGTGTGCGGGCCAATCACAGCCACCAGATGGTTCTTGAGCATTTGAAATGCTGCCACGTGGAGACACGAGATGAAGCCACGTGAAGATGAGGGGGAAGCAATAGGGTTAAGTTATGGAGGAAAGTCATGGAGGGGGGATTGAACGGGAGAGATTGAAAGAGGAAAGGAGAGGAGGATGGGAGTTGACGGGAGAGCTCTAGCAATGGCAGCAGACGGGGGAGAAACGAGCAGAGGACGGAGGGAGGGGAAAGGGAAGACAGGAAGAGGAGCCTTCGGGTGGGGAGAAAAAAGGGGGAGAGGGGAGCGGGGAGGGGGTGAAGGGAAGAGGGGACGGTGCGAGGGTGCTGTCAGAAGTGCTGCTGACTCACCAGAAGTGCAAAGTGTTCTTTTTCTCAACAGCATCTTTGACAGCGTTTGTTGTTGTTGCTGCTGCTGTATAACAAAAAAAAACGTCGTTTTTCCCCCAAATGTACCCAAAAAAACCATCCAATTGTAATGTTCAACAATCTCTTTTTTTTCACCCGGGTACCTGCGAGCTGGCTCGTGAGCGAGGTGCTGGAGTAGTTTTGAACCGTCAGATGCAGCACGTGGTTTGGCAGGATGGTGGGATCGCCGTTGATTTCCTCCACTGCCATGACAGAGGCTGGCCGGTGAAGAAGGGGAAGGAGATAAAGAGGGAGATGAAGACGACACAAGAAGGAGCGGAGACGAGGGGATGGAGATGGGACGGGGAAGAGAAATGGGAAGGAGAGGGAAGAAGATTAGGAGCGAGAGAAAGAATAAGCGGCAAGAGGGGATTTGGAGCCACAGCAGTCAGGAGAGCATGATCGACGGAAGGCGGAGGGGCAGGAGGAGGAGGGAGGAGGGAGAGAGCGCATTGCCAGGCATGAGGAGACGAGGAGAGGGACAGCGCACCCCGGGAACCACCATATGACGCCACCTGTTTTTGAGGCGCCACCTAACTTCGAGGCGCCCCGGTAACCCTCAAAAGGAGAAGCAAGCGTACCGGCCAGCATGTCGACTCCCCCGGGCAGGTCAGGGGCGAAGGCGACCCCATACCTCTGCTTTTGTGCGCATGAGGATTTCTGCGCATGAGGATTTCTGCGCATGAGCGTACCGGCCAGCATGTCGACTCCCCCGGGAAGGTCAGGGGCGAAGAAGCATCCCACCGTCAGCACCGCTTTGCTCTTGTCGTTGTTCGAACCCCTTACTGCCTCTGCCGTTGTCGTGCGAGCGTCTCTTTTCGTCCCGCCGTTGCTCGCCAGGCTTCTCACCGCCGGCCTCGCGTTCCTATTCGCATCGTGGCCGTTGAAGCTAGAGCCCCTGCTCGAATCGTGACCGTCGACGATAGAGCTGCTGTTCGCGTTATTGAGTAGTACTCGGTTCCCATCAGAATTAACGGTCATACTAATGCCAGCGTTTTTATCAGAATCAGCGTTAGCGTCAAGGTCAAAGTTAGCGTTGAAATCAGGGTTAACCGCCGCGTGCGTACTAGTTAAGTCCGTCGCGACTCGCTCGGGAATGTCCCCTTTGTATCCGATCAGATTAGAAGTCGTTCCTACAACGTTAGCGAGGTCAGCATACTGAAACTTCCTGTACTCTCCAGCTTTCGGTACGCCTGAACCTGTCGCGACGGCGCTTCCGGTACTCTCCGTAAGAAGCTCCGCTAACGCTAAAAGGAACGCCAGCGCAAAAACGAAAACCCAAGAGGAAGCTTCGCGGTGTCGACTAGACGAAAGACGCATGCCATCTGGTGGAACCGCGAGTATAGTTTTTTCGTGGGTATGCATTTTTAACCCTAATGTCGACGCGACCTCGGTGCGCGTTGGCCAATGCGACCCGCATCGCGCGCTACCTCTGTCGCACGCCATCGAATGCTACCACTGACGCACACGCTGCGATTGTCATTCGCTGTGGTATCAGATAGTCATTAGAATGTACGGAAAGTATTTTACACGAGAAGGGAGAACACCCCCCTTGTGACCTAATCGACTTATCAGCAGCGCGCAAGCCCACGTGATAACCCATCGTGATGCCATGCCCGTGACGTGTATGGCTTCACTTCACCTCAATCAAAGGTTAGGAGGAGGAGAAGAAGTGGCACGACAAGGTGTAATGCAAACAAGGACTGGCGACGCGAGGCGATCAAATTGTCAAAACTAGTGGTCTGGATTGTGGGCGGGGAGATTTCGGCGTTGACATAGGCAATCCAGTTGCGTGAGGTTCTCGGAATCTCGTTGGCTGGGGACACAAACAGTGACTGAGGGAGAGGGGAGTGATGGAGGTGACCGTTGACAAATGACAAGAGGCCATTTGTTCCTTTCCCGCGCGTTTGGTGCGCACCGAAACACCCGCCCGCCGCCACCCCTTGATCGCACCACCTGCCACCCCATTGGTGGCAGGGCACAAGTACATTATTTCCGCGTCACAAGTTTTCTTTAGCATTACAATCCCTTCTTAATCATATGGTCTCATATTTCCTTGTATGAGATTGAAATAACCCACCACACCAACCTCTCACAGCAATACTTCGCATTTCATGACAAAAGATACCCCCCCCACACCAACCCCCCAATACCGCAACGCAGCCATGCCTTTCTAGTAGTGATAAAAACGTACATTGTTATATTTACAACAATATGGCCGTATGAATGCTGCAAAACAAATACTGCTGTACACACATCCAGTCTTCTACTATCCCACTTTCTCACCTGAGAGCAGGCAGGCACCCCTCACACCACTGCACACTTTCACACAGGCTCCTGCGCTCGCCTGTCCTGTGTCATCCTCGTCCGCATCTGTGTGTTGGTCTTCATGACAGCAGCAGTTTTCACTCTCCGCCGGGCCCGTGGTGAGTACTGCACCTGCACCTTCCACGATGCCCGCTGCCGCCGCGCCATCACGGACACAGGCCGCCGTTGCTCAGGTGGCCGCTCAGGTGGCCGCTCAGGTGGATGCTCAGGTGGTCGCTCAGGTGGATGCTCAGGTGGCCGCTCAGGTTGTCGTTCAGGTTGAACCTCACGTGGGCGGCCAGCTGAAAGACCAGGTGGATCGCCACTAAGACATTCACCAATCAGGCCGTTTCCAACCGGGCCTTGAGTTGGCGGGATGGATGCTGGAGGCATGGGATGGTCCAAAGAGGGATAGCTGTGTGCTAGGGCGGGCATTTTTGGAGGCAGTTGCTGTGTGGGGTGACTGGGCTTGTTGTGCGGGGGTAGGATGCTGCTTGTGCTTGTTCCTGCGATTGATGGTTTCCTGGATGCTGCACCTGGTCCTGCACCAGATGCCCCATGGAATGATGCATGTGACGGTGCACGTGATAGTACGTGCGATGGTGTGCGTGATGCAGCATGGGATCGTGCATAACTTGACACATGTGATGGTGCAAATGACACCGATCGAGTTGTGCCACGAGCCATGGCCTTTCGTTGCAGTCCTAAAGGGCTTCCAGAGGCGATTGAAGATGCAGGTGAAGGAAAGCCGTGGGCAGAAGTGGCAGGTGAGGCAAGGCTGTGAGCAGAAGAGCCAGAGGGCGATCGGAACTCAAACGCTGTGCTGGTCTGCTGCGGTTGAGCGTTGTAGGCCGATAGGTGCCTCTCCCTGCTCCATTCCTTGCCCTGCCATAGAAAACCAAGGGAAGAACGGAAAAAAAACATAAGGATGGACAAAGGAAGAGCGAAATGAAACGGGGGACCACGAACAAACAGGCTGAAGTCGGCAGCTTCAGAAGCAGCCCTTCTGTCGTGGTTTGGATGCTAACAACTTGGCAAATCAATGGAGAGAACGAGATCCTTTTATGCACAAGGGTGCTTTGAGGCGCCTCAAATGAACTCACCTCGAAAGAGCTTGGGAACTCACCTTGTGAAATTTATCGACAAGGCTGTCCACTTTGGTGTGGAAAGACTCCATTCTCGATGGCAGGCTGGGGAAGGCCGGCAGAGTGGACGCGGGCGGCAGAGAGGGTAATTCAAATGACGGCTGTAAGGGGGGCGTAGAGGTGGGTAGAGAGCGGTTTGTGGGGAAAGTGTTTTCGGAAGAAGGAAGACGGGGGACGAGTGAAGTGAGCCTGGGGAGTTTTAGTATCCGAGTGGCTGGGCTTGAGTTGGTGCCGCTGCTTAGTTGGAAGGAGAGGCTTGGATGGCTGCTGCTGCTTGGGCTGATGGCAGTGTCGGTGGGAAGATCGGAGGGAGGGAGATGCTCCTTGTCCCTGTTGCCTTGCTCCTCTCCTCTATCCGCCCCCTTCCCTCCTGCTTGCTCGTTTATAGTCACCTCGTCTCTGTGGGACACTGGCTCTCTGTGGGATATTGGCTCTATGTGAGATGCTCCATTGGTGTGGGCTATCCTCTCTCTGCTGAACTTATCTGCAGGGCTCTCGCCTTCTTGTTCGTCGTGAGATCCCCGCCTTCTCTTGCTCCCCAGAGATGACTGTGACGCACGGGAGAGGATGGGCTGTGGGCTTCTTGGTGGTCTGCTGCTGGACGCTGCTGCTGATTCGGATGATGAAACAGCAGCAGGAACAGGGGCAGGAGCAGGGGCAGGAGCAGGGGCAGGATCATGGGCAGGAGCAGGGGCAGGAGCAGGGGCAGGAGCAGGAGCAGGAGAAGGAGCAGGAGCAGGAGAACGAGCAGCGGCAGGAGCAGGAGCAGGAGCAGGAGCAGGAGCAGGAGCAGGAGCAGGAGCAGGAGCAGCAGCAGGAGGAGGAGCAGGGGAAGGAGCAGCAGCAGGAGCAGGAGCGGGAGGGACAGCTGATGATGCTATGAGAAGGTCCTTCAGCAGCTGCTGCGGTTGCTTCTCCTTTTCTTTCTTCCAGCTACTAAACGAGCTTTGATCAGCAGGGGAAGAAGATTGGCTGCTGGTCAGGAGTGTGTGGTGGGCTGCTGAGTTGGAGCAAGGCAAGGAGGCCGCTCGAGCAGTGGGGGACGGCCGTGAGAGGGAGGAGGGAGAGGAGGTGATAGTGTTGCGAGGCATCCCAAGGGACGACTGCAGAGAGGAGGAGGAGGAGGATGGAGTGATGTGAAGCGGGGCAATGAAGGAGCGAGCGCGGAGCAAGGGGGATGATGAGAAGAGGAGAGGCAGTGGGGCATCTGACTTGGTTGTTTCCTCATCTCTTGCCGCTTGCTCAACTGCTGCCCACCTGCTGCTCTCTCTCGTACTCCCTCTACTGATTTCTCTCATACTTTGGCTACTGCTTTCTCTGATGCTTCCTCTACTGATCTCTCTCATACTCCCTCTACTGCTTTCTCTCATACTCCCACTACTTCTCTCTCTCCTACTCCCTCTACTGCTCTCACTCATACTTCCGCTTCTGCTCTCTCTCATGCTCCTGCTACCAACGCTCCCTTTCAACCTCCCACTCATGCTCCCACTACCAACGCTCTCTCGTAATCTTCCACTGTCCCAGCTCCCTCTGCTGCTTCCTCTCCCATTGCTCCCTCTGCTCCTTCCTATACCAGGCAAGGGGCCAAAACTATCCTTGTCTGAATCAGCTAAGTCTTCAGAGTCAGCCAGGTCAACGCCTCCCTCGGTGCTGCTGGGTGGCTCCCTACCAAAGCTCTTGACCTTGTCCACTAGCGACTGCACACCCTTCTCCCTCACGTAGCGGTAACCGCGGTAGATGAGGAGAGCAACATAGATGATGCAGCAGCCTGTAGAGACGACGAGGTAGATGATGTACAGGCCTCCGAATCGCTGTATACCGAACTGCACCACTGTGGTCTTCTGTGGGCAGACGCTCTCAGACTGAAAGGGGAAGAGGAAGAGAGGAGTGGAGGGGGAACCAAGAAGTGACGATGGGGTGAGGAAGGATGGATAATGTGTGGAAACGAAGTCCTTGTGAGAGTTTTTCTCAAAGTTCTGAAAAACACGGAAACGGGGCAGCAGAGGGCTAATGCAGAGTGCCTGGAGAAAGGGGCAGGTGACGGATGAGCACTGATTGATATGAAGCCGTGCGGCAAGTGTGGCAGATGTGGCAGCAATTGATTCATGCAGGTGGCCTTACACTGAAGTACTTGGCATGAAGCTTTATTGAAATCACTTTTGAGAAATTTCAAAAAAAGATTTCAAGGCAGCAATTGGATTATGCAGGCGGCCTTACACTGAAGTACTTGGCATGAAGCTTTATTGAAATCACTTTTGAGAAATTTCAAAAAAAGATTTCAAGGCAGCAATTGGATTATGCAGGCGACCTTACACTGAAGTACTTGGCATGAAGCTTTATTGAAATCACATTTGAGAATTTTCAAAAAAGATTTCAAGGCAGCAATTGGATTATGCAGGCGGCCTTACACTTAAGTACTTGGCATGAAGCTTCTCCACCTCCTGTGTCATGCGCAGCGCACCAATGGCATTAGAGATGTCCTGGCCCAGGGCACTGCCCTTCTGGAAAGCCTGTGTGGGCGAGGGATGAGAGAGTCACAGCGCAGAGGGGCCTCTTATTTGTCACTCACCACACAGGCACAATGCACTGCCCCAAGTCATGCGCAGCGCACCAATGGCATTTGAGATGTCCTGGCCCAGGGCACTGCCCTTCTGGAAAGCCTGTGCAGAGGGGGGGGGGGGGGGGGGGGGGGTGAGAGCCATAGCGCCAAGAAGCTTCAAATTTGTCAGGGACCAGTGTGAAGCCCATAAGGAAAGCCTTGTTTTGAGTCGACTCAAAATGAGAGCCACAGCGCCAAGATGCTTTGAGTTTATCAGGGACCAGTGCGGAGTCCTTCTGGAAAGCCTGTGGGGAGCGAGCAGAAAGTTTTGTTTTGAGACGTCTCATTGCTTGGGATGCTTGTTCCCAATTCGGTGCCTTTCCGGAGCGCCTTCCAGTAGTCTGTGAGGAAGGCGAGCACCCTTGAGAAGAAGGCGGTTGTAGAGATTTCCAAAAGAGATTTCCATTCCAAAATCGGCCTTGTAGCGGTTTCTGGAAGAAGGCGAGCAGAGAGCACGCGCAAGGGGACAACGCCAAACAGTTGCACCAAAGAAATTGCAGGCGAGTTTATGAGACGTTCTTTCACTTAAAGCGGCAGGCAGTCGCACGTACAAAGGCGAGGTTGAGGGAGGAGAATGGTTGTGCAGCCTGCATGACGTCACAGAACTGGGACGTGAAGACAGCCAGGTAAGGATTTTCATCCACTATCACTGCCACTCGCCCCGACGCCAGTGACGATGCATACTCGCTCTCCCCTGCCAGTGACACTAGCTTGTCCTGCCAGCCAGGGGAGAGGGGGAACACAAGGCAGAGGTGAAGAGGTCGAGGTGGGGGTTCTCATCCACTATCACTGCCACCCGTCGCCAATGATGATGCGTACTCGCTCTCCCCACTCAACGTCACCAGCTTGTCCTGATGGCGTTTCGTGGGTGTGTGGAGGGATGGGGAGAAGTGGGAGAAGGGAGAGGTGTGGTGGAGAAGAGGTTGAGATGGGGGTTCTCGTCCACTATCACTGCCACTCGCCCTGAGGAGAGAGACGATGCATACTCGCTCTCCCCACTCAGAGTCACCAGCTTGTCCTGCCAGCCAGGGGAGAGGGGGAACACAAGGGCAGTGCATAAGAGGTCAAGCTAGGATTCGTAGAGAGAGGGGAAGTGATGGGAGACAAGGCAGAGGTGCAGAGGTTGTGGGGAGGAGAGGGTGAGGCAGGGAAGGGTTGTTGCGGACTGCTTTTGAGTCGACTCAGAAGAAGTGACGGGAGACAAGGCAGAGGAGCAGAGGTTGTGGCGGAGGAGAGGGTGAGGCAGGGCAGGGTTGATGCGGACTTGCGCACATTTTCCACCCTGGAATGCCATCAGGAGAAGCTGGTGTCATTGGCCGGGGATGAAACGAAAGTTTCACAAAACGGAGGTTACAATTTAATTTCGTGCAGCGGCAACGCCACAAGCCACAACCAAGCAGAGCAGCACCAGAACCACAAGGTACAAGCATGCAAATACCGGAGAGACTCCCAGCTGCTGCAGGTAGGAGGAGACGAAGGAGGCCTGCTGGTAGCCAATGGGGACGTTGCTGTTGATGGCCGTCGTGATGTCCTGATGGGGCAGGACGGGGAGTGACAAGAGGAAGAGGGGGGAGAAAGGGGGGTGAGAGGTGGGGAAGGCAGGGAGGGTGAGGGCGCGAAGGGGAAATGGAGATAATGGGAAGGGAGAAGGGCGAAAAGGGGGGAGGCATCGAAAGAAGAAAGAAACAGCACAGCACAGAGAGAGGGGGTGACGAGGGGAGTGGGGGGGAGGGTGGAGGGTGGGAAGTGGAGCTTATGAGAATGGTGGGGGTTGGTTGGAGGTTGGGAAGAGTGGAAGAGAAAGGAGAGAACAAGAATAAAGATGTGAAGAAAACGCACCAGAATGGTGGGTGTGAGCCTCTGAATGGTGAGGATGGCAGTTAGGTTGGAGGTGTAGGAGGCGAGGAAGAGAAAAGAGGGAGCGAGAACAAAGATGTGAAGGCAACGCAAACGCACCAGAATGGTGGGGGTGAGCCTCTGAATGGTGAGAACGGCAGTGAGGTTGGAGGTGTAGTGTAGGAGGTGAGGAAGAGAAAAGCGGGAACAAGAACAAAGACGTGAAGACAACGTGAACGCACCAGGATGGTGGGTGTGAGCCTCTGAATGGTGAGAATGGCAGTGAGGTTGGAGGTGTAGGAGGCGAGGAAGAGAAATGCGAGAATGAGCCACATGCCCAGCACCGCTCGTGCTAGCACAGAGCGGATTGAGTAGACTGCGCAGTGCAGATGACAGGTTGTGAAAGGAATTTTGAGATGTCTCAAGAATTCGTGCTAGCACAGAGTGGATCGATAGATAGACTGCGCAGCAGTGTGCAGTGCAGGATGACGGGCGAAATGCGGAGAGGATGAAATTTTTAAAAGAAGTGCTTTTAGGCAGATTGGGTAGAGTGCACAGCTCACATGGTGATAGGATGCGAGATAGGGGGAGACGATCAGGACGTGGGTGGGAGTTAGGAAGAGAATGGGCAGAAAAGACGTGAGTGGGAGTTTGGATGGCAAGACAGAGAGAGTGAGCCCTGCCTCTCTGCATATGAACCAGCTCATTTTTCCAAAAAAACAAAACAAAACAGAAAAATAATGTAAATCTCCCTCGTTTAGTAAGCCAAGTTCTTCAAACTAGCCTGAATGGCAAAAGGGCATACCTATAATGGAGTAGAGCGTGTGAAGGCCAAGCCTGCCAGGGGACCCAAGTGGTACACGAGAAGCAGCAAGCACTTGCCATTGTGTGCAATAGCAGCAGGGAAAATGTATGTGTAGCTTGGACGGATGGTTCAAGCAAGCAGCATCCGACACAGATGGGATTGGATAATGGCACGGGAGTGTGCATGCACGTGGAGGAACAGTGGCAGCTATCAAAGAAGTTGGGCATGGCACATGCATGCAGCCCTGATGAGAAAACGGCACAAGAACACTCTGTATCTTTTAGGCGCCTTAAAACAAGGAACATTGTCAGCTTTCAAAGAAGTGTAGTTTCGAGGCACTTTCTGTTTGAGGCACCTAATAATATGGAACATTGGCAGCTAACAAAGAAGTGGAACCTGGTGCATGTATGTATGCACGCAGCCCTGATGAGACAACGGGCACAACACAAGAAGACTGTGCGCGATCCAACCAACACAGAGGAACATTGGCAGCCCTCAACCAACTGGTGCTTAGCGCGGCAGTGAAGGGACTCCTTGAGTCAACTTTCACGTCCCTTCCCCTTGCTCTCACCATACAGCAGTGATGGCGAGCTGGTGCAACTTTGCCTAAAAGTGCACGTTGAGGCGCCACTTTAGGAACACCATAAGTGCGCCCGTGAGCAGAGAGAGGCCGAGCACCATGGCACGGCACAGCCCACTGGCCAGCCATGTGATAAAAGTAGTGTTTTGAGACGTCTCAAAGCCCACCGGCTGTTGTAATAATAACATGGACGCAAGGCGCCTCACCACACCGCACCCCTGCTCTCACCATGCGGCAGTGATGGCCAGCTGGTGCAGCTTCGCTCGAAAATGCATGTTGAGGCGCCACTCGAGGAACACCATGAGTGCGCCTGTGAGGAGTGAGAGAGGGAAAGGAGCCCCACCCGCACAGCCCACACTACGAGTCCAAGGCCCTCGACTCATTGCACCCCTGCTCTCACCATGCGGCGGTGATGGCCAGCTGATGCAGCTTCGCCTGAAAGTGCACGTTGAGGCGCCACTCGAGGAACACCATGAGTGCGCCGGTGAGCAGAGAAAGGCCGAGCAGAGTGGCCCACATGGAGGGCGTGAAGGGCAGAAACGCCGTCCACATGTCACTGCTCTCCTTGGAGTACCCGATCAGACTCAGCCCCGATTGCTGCCGGGGGAAGTGAAAGGTGTTTAAGAGACGGGGGGGGGGCGTGTTTGGATTGAGTATCCTCAGAAACAAAATACGGGTCACTGCTCTGCTCTCCCTCTCAACTCTGGGGGCGTCACAAAAATCTCCCATGGTGCGGCTGGTGAGCAGAGAGAGGCCGAGCAGAGTGGCCCACATGGAGGGCGTGAAGGGCAGAAAGGCTGTCCACATGTCACTGCTCTCCTTGGAGTATCCTATCAGACTCAGCCCCGATTGCTGCCGGGGGAAGAGATGGGGAGAAGGGGGATTGAGATGCGATGAGGAAGGGCAGAAACGCTGTCCTTGAGGTCGCTGCTCAGACGGGGTTACGGGAGGAAGGGGGTGTATGCGAGAACCTTCACAAACACTTACAGGTCGCTGCTCGCTATTTTACGCAGGAACATGTACAGCGATGCCTTTGAGCCGACTTGAGAGTCATCTCTCTCTTGCATTCATTACATTATCACGCAGGCAGGAGCACATACGAGGATGGATTGCGTGAAGTAGACCATTCGCTGGCGCGAGTCAACCACTGTGATGTCACCTAAAGAAATGGAACAGTCTACCTCCCTCCCTCCATCCCTCCCTCCCCCCCTCCCTCCCTCCCTCCCTCCCTACCCCTCCCTTGCAGTCAATGTATCACGCATTCAATACATCACGCAGGCAGGCACACATACGAGGATGGATTGGGTGAAGTAGACCATTCGTTGCCGCGAGTCAACCACTGTGATGTCGACCAAAAAAATAGTCTCCCCTCTCTCCCGCCCTCCCTCCCCCTCTCTTGCATTTAACATATCATAAATTCAATACATCACACAGGCAGGAGCACGTACGAGGATGGATTGGGTGAAATAGACCATTCGCTGCCGCGAGTCAACCACTGTGATGTCGCCCACTGCGCCATCAAACTCCTGTGGGCAGAGCAGCAGGGGAGAAGGACGAGAACACAGAGGGTCGAACGAGAATGGGCGACGGGGAAAGACAGCATAGAGGGTGGCAGAATCAGTGAGTCAGCACGGTGATGTCTCCCACTGCGCCGTCAAACCCCTTCAGGCAGGGCAATGAGATGAGATGAGGGATGATAGCACAGGAGGTGCAGAGAGAGATGATGGCATGAGTGGGACAGCGACACGCAAGAGGAGCGGAGCTGCAAAGAAATGATAAGAAGTAATAAAGCTGTGATTCACTCTCCCGCTCTCTTTTCTGCCCTCCTCTCTCTGCAACACACAATAACCTCACCTTATTCTGTACAGCCTGCACCATCTGGGTGTAGCTGATGAGGGCACCGGTGTACTCTACAAACTCGTAGTCGAGCTTATAAGGGAGACGGCCCACGGCCAGGCGGAACAGGTCCACACAGTAGCCGGAGAACCGCTCATTGCCCAACGACTCATCCCCTGAGATGTTGGCAAACTGCAGGTAGATCTGGAGAGGGTGAAATCAGGGGCCACAGGCTCGTTCAAATGTGGGAGACGACTGACAGCCAGGCGGAACAGGTCCACACAGTAGCCGGAGAATCGCTCGTTGCCCATCAACTCGTCAGCTGAGATATTGGCGAATTGCAGGTAGATCTGTGGGGGAAAAGAGGGAAGGGAGGGAAGGAGGTGGGGGGGTTGGTTTGGCAACACCAGTGTATAAACGCCTAACCCAGCTTATAAGGGAGACGGCCGATGGCCAGGCGGAACAGGTCCACACAGCAGCCGGAGAACTGTGCGTTGCCCAGGGACTCGTCCGAGGAGATATTGGCGAATTGCAGGTAGATCTGGGGGAGGGGGTTTTACGAGAGGCAGGCACAGACGATATTTGAGGCACCTCATAACCCTGGCTTTGCCAAGCCAACAGGGGAGATATTGTCAAATTGTAGGCAGTTATGGGGGAGAGGGTGTTAGGGGACCTAATAAAAAAACGTCACTTGGTTATATTGAATTCCCCTACAAACTCTTGGTTTTTAACATAATTTTGAGTCCTTGGGTTGCACAATACCTACCTAAAGTGCCAGCTTCTCAGATGCTCCAACCAAGAACAGGACTTACCAGCTTCTTTGGCACAGCGATGCGAACTCGACGCTTGGGAAAGGCTCCTCTGGGAGGCTGAGAGTCGGTAAGAGAAGCAAGAGTTTGAATAGGGGACGAGCAGACAGATTGAAGACGGAACCACACAAGGCATACATAGAAAGCACGCTTCATGAGGCGTTTCAGATATCCAAGCAAGCTGCATGATTGGTTCCAATATGAGGTGTGCTGACAGAGGGATGTGTGCCACAGTGCTTTGCTGCGCACTCAACAGCTGAGCTGAGAGTGCACTTGTGTGAGGAGTCCAGTTTGGAGGTGCGTCAGAACAAGAACGCACGCACCTGTGTGAGGCCGCCAGGAAAGACAATGTTGACTGGCTGCTGCGCCCCACCAGCAGTGGCATTCTCCTGCAGCACGACCGACCGCAATAGGGAGGAACAAGGGAGACTGGATTGACTGAGCAAGCAAGCAACAAGGAACAAACAAGGCTGACGTTGCAGCCAATATCAGCAGTATGCATAGAGCACATGTTCCTTGCCTTCTCTCAATTGCAGTTCCTGCAGTCACTCGTGCTAAGCACTCACCGAAGCAGCAGTTGTTTGATAGAGGCCGCGTGTGGGAGACCAGTACCCCACAGGTACCACCTCCACGTTCCCTGCCAGGCTCACTGGCCCTGTCACTGAACCACCGAGTGAACCACTGGCTGAAACACTGGCTGAACCAGTGGCCGAACCAGTGGCCGAACCAGTGGCCGAACCAGTGGCCGAACCAGCGGCCGAACCAGTGGCCGAACCAGTGGCATCTGTAGCAGAATCTGTAGCAGCAGCAGGGGTGCTGCTCTGCGAGGCTTGGTTCTGCGAGGCCTGGCTGTGGACGTTGAGGATGCGCGTGAGGTTGCTCTGCTGGTCGCCTGTGGGGGACAGGGCGATGCTGCCTGATGCGCCCTCAAACCTGGTTCTCAGCATGGCTGCTCGCAGCATGGCGCCCACTGGAGTGGGGGGGGTCGGCATGGGTGGGGGAACCGGGAGGGGAGGGCATGATCAGTGGCTGTGAATGTTTGAGGATGCATGTGAGGTTGCTCTGCTGGTCGCCTGTGGGAGACAGCGCGATGCTGCCTGATGCGCCCTCGAACCTGGTTCTCAGCATGGCTGCTCGCAGCATGGCACCTACTGGAGTGGGGGGGGTTGGCATGGGTGGGGGAACCGTGAGGGGAGGGCATAATCAGTGGCTGTGAATGTTTGAGGATGCATGTGAGGTTGCTCTGCTGGTCGCCCCGGGGGAAGAGTGATATGCTGCCTGATGCGCCCTCAAACCTGGTTCTCAGCATGGCTGCTCGCAGCATGGCGCCCACTGGAGTGGGGGGGGTTGGCATGGGTGGGGGAACCGGGAGGGGAGGGCATGATCAGTGGCTGTGAATGTTTGAGGATGCATGTGAGGTTGCTCTGCTGGTCGCCTGTGGGAGACAGCGCGATGCTGCCTGATGCGCCCTCGAACCTGGCTCTCAGCATGGCTGCTCGCAGCATGGCGCCCACTGGTGTGAGGGGGTTGGCATGGAAGGGAGGGGGGTGGAAGGGGACGGCATGATCAGTGGCTGCGGACGTTGAGGATGCGGGGGTTGTGAGGGTGTGGATGTCTATTGGAGACGTCTCAAAAGCCGGGACGGGAGGGCATGATCAGTGGCTGTGGACGTTGAGTATGCGGGGGTTGTGAGGGTGTGGGTGTGGGGGAGGGTTGGAGGACAGGACAGGACATAACAAGGAGCAATTTGATAGCAGATAGAAGGAGTGTGATGGGAGTAGCCACAAAGGGGGAAAGGAGTGTTTTTTTTAGGCGCCTCAAAAGGACAGGACAGGATAGAACAAGGAGCAAATTGATAGCAGATAGAAGGAGTGTGATGGGAGAAGCCACAAAGGGGGAAAGGAGGGGGAGAGGGGGTGAGAGGAGGGTGGGAAAGAAGTGAGAGGAGGGGAAAGAGGGGGAGTTCTTACAGGGGCTTCTATGGAGTAATGCAAGAGGGGGGATAAGAAGCGGCTCCGCACCTTTTGAGACATCTCAAAACACGAAGTGAGAGAGGGGAAGAGGGGGAGTTCTTACAAGGGCTTCTATGGAGTAAAGCAAGAGGGGGGATAAGAGCCGGCTCTGCACCACTGCTGCTGCTGCTGGCGAGAGTCAGATGGAGTGTTGGCCAGGGGGAGTCAAGTAGAGCCGTGAGGTTGCTGTGGGGCTCTGTGGTGGTGGTAGTGGCGTCAGGGGAGGAGGAGTTGGTGGTGCTGCTAGTGGAGCTGCTGTTATAGAGGACGGAGTGTAGAGCGTGAGCGATGAGGTAGACTGCATCGTAGGAAGCCAGAGCATAGGCCATGGGCATCTGTGAAGGAGGGGGGAAGGAGGTGCAGCGGGGGGGAGACATTTCAGTCGACTTAGAAGTCACATCAGGGGGAAGAGAAGTACAGAAGGGGAGAGAGGCACGCATTGGGATAGAGAGAAGCATTGAAGATGAGGAGAACAGAGTGAGATGCAAATGGTATGAAAGGAGGGGGGCGAGCGAAGGAAGATATGGAACCTCGTGGAGGTCAAGAGAGTTGAAGGTATTACCACGACAAGAGTGACATGCAATCATCAAAACACACACACACACACAAACACACACACACACACACACACACACCCACACACACACACACACACTCACACACACCTGGCGGCTGACGTTGGGGAAGCGCACAGGGTCGAGTGTGAGCCACTTTGAGACAAAGGCAGACAGGGGAGCGGACGTGGGGATGTCAGTCGCTGTCACTATCATGCCCTGTCCAGGGATCGTGGTGGGAAAAGGTGTGGCAGGGTTCCAGGAGAAGCACAGGGGAGGAGGAGCACAGGGGAGGAGGAGCACAGGGGAGGAGGAGCACAGGGGAGGAGAAGCACAGGGGAGGAGAAGCACAGGGAAGGAGAAGCACAGGGAAGGAGAAGCAAAGGGAAGGAGAAGCACAGGGAAGGAGAAGCAAAGGGAAGGAGAAGCACAGGGAAGGAGGAGCACAGGGAAGGAGAAGCACAGGGAAGGAGAAGCAAAGGGAAGGAGAAGCAAAGGGAAGGAGAAGCACAGGGAAGGAGAAGCAAAGGGAAGGAGAAGCACAGGGAAGGAGAAGCACAGGGAAGGAGAAGCACAGGGAAGGAGAAGCACAGGGAAGGAGAAGCACAGGGAAGGAGGAGCACAGGGAAGGAGGAGCACAGGGGAGGAGGAGCACAGGGGAGGAGGAGCACAGGGGAGGAGAGCATGACGGAAGGAAGCATCAAACAGGGGAAACGCATGCGGGGGTGGAACATTGTGGGTTGGAGGGGGCTGGAGGGGAGGGGGGGAGGTTATGGGGGGCAAGGGTATTTCATCGCATCGTAAAAGGAGTATAATGCCAGAACCAAAAGAGAGAGGAGCGGGCGGACCTGAGCGTAGTGCAGGGCGGAGCCAGTGAGAAGCGCACTCCCTTCTGTTGCAATCCACACATTGTTGGCAGAAAACAGACCCAACCTGTTCGCTGCATCAAAACATACACCGCAGGCATGCACGCAAGCATGAACGCATGCCCATTGGGATGAGGTACGGAGAAAGATGGACAGAAGAAGTCGAGGGAGGTGGCAGCGGCAGGGAAGGGAGGTGGAAAAGGTATGAAAGCATAAGCATGACAGTGCGCAATCGTTGTGCACATTGACCAACAGGGGTAACGAGCCCGCTGGGAGGTTTTTGAGAATTCTCAAAAGCGACTCAGGTTTTGAGAATTCTCAAGAGCATGAGAGTGCGCAACCATTGTGCACATTGACCAACGGTGGTAACGAGCCCGCTGGGAGGTGCAACCTCCTTTCATGCCCCCCTCGTTTCATTGCACCTCCTCGACTTCGCTCTGCTTCACTCACACTGTATCTCACTGCATCTCACTCACTGACTCGATTCTCACTCTCGTTCCTCTCTAAAACACAACTCCCCCACGCGCACCTGCTAGAATGACGCTCGTGGCAACGGCAGCAGAGGCATGCAGCACGTACACAAATATCCACCTCTAGTACCACCTGCAGGCTCTGCTGCTGCGTGAAATGAGGCGAGTTTTAAGGCGCCTCATGCAAATGCACACGCACCTGCAAGGATAACGCTCGTGGCAACAGCAGCAGACGCGTGCAGCACGTACACGGCCGTATCCACCTCTAGTAGCACCTGCAGGCGCTGCTGCACCTCATCTCCTGTGCTCCCTGGAGTGATGGCCACACGATGAGCCATGCTGATGCCTTGCTGCGGATAGGGGAGCGACCAGGGAGATGGGGGCGGGGAAGAGGAATGGTTGGGGGGAGTGGACAGGAAAGGCAGAGGGACAAGATTCTCATAGTGCATCTCCAGCCACACCTGCAGGCGCTGCTGCACTTCCTTTCCTGTGCTCCCTGGAGTGATGGACACGCGATGAGCATGCTGGTGCCTTGCTGCGGAGGGGGGAGGGGTTATGTTGGCGATGGGGGAGGTGGGGGGTTGGAGGAGGGGAGGGGAGGGTGGGAGAGAGCAGAGTTTCAGAAACTGATGCTAGACGGCCAAATCAAGCAGCAGCAGCTGTGGTCAAATGAACCCCTTTCTATCCCTCCCGTTCTCCCTAGAATGATGGCCACAGACATGCTGATTCCTTGTTGGGGACTTGGGGGGAGTTGAGGAAATGGGGAGGCGAGGACAACCCTCAGCTTGTGAATCCTGACAATCAAGGACGCTGCGAGTTTCGAGAGCAACATCAGCCTGACAATAGGTGGACTATGGATGATATTCTTGCTTGTGTTCCACGCCCATTATCTGTACTGTTTTGTTGAAAAATTATACTACAACGGACCATTTGAGGGAGGGGAATATGGATTGGGATAGGAATGGACATTGGATGCTCACATTGAGTGCAAGCATGCATGGTTTTGAGGTAAACAGGGCAGGGTCGGGATATTGGATGCTCACGTTAAGTGCAAGCATGCATGCTTCCAGCGCCGTGATGCCATTGCCTCCATATCGGTCATCGCTGTGAATGGCGATAAATGACTTCCACTGATAGATCGCCAGAATGTCTGTGGTGTTGCGGACGGGGGGGGGGGGATGGATGGATGGATGGATATGTGCATCAGCAATGGATGATAACGTGCGGTGGAACAAGAACGGGAGTACGGGGAGTGGCTCAAGACTGAGAACTCGCATGCAGCATACCAGCAATGGCGCGCATCTGGTGGCCGTCGTCCTGCACGGTGCGCATGAAGAAGGGGCGTGTGCCGCCCACTGTGAGCTGCGCGTCCGTGGCGGAGGCAGAGACGAAGGGCACTTGAGTGGCCGTGGCGAATGGGCTCACCAGCGCTGCCTGCTCCGACGTGTGCGGCCCTATCACCGCCACTGGCCTCTGCCGCACCAGGCTGTAGGCTGTGGGGAGCAGGGGGGCGGAGGGCAAGGGATCGCATTTAACTGAACATTGAGTCGCCTTTGAGTGGCCGTGGCGAATGGGCTCACCAGCGCTGTCTGCTCCGATGTGTGCGGCCCTATCACTGCCACCGGCCGCTGCCTCACCACACTGTATGCTGTGGGAAGATGGGCGGGGGGTTGGTGGAGAGGTATCCTAATAAGGGAGCAGGCAGGGACGATATGGGTGGGACTGAGGCAGGAGGATTATTGCCACTGGATGCTGTAGCACCAGGCTGAAGGCTAAGGGTATGCTGTCTGTTCCATAGGGGGGGAGAGAGAGCACAGATGGGGAAAGAGAAGAAGGTGAATCTGTGTGGCCTATAATGCTCCTGCCATAGTTCCATGCCTCTCACCTGCCTTCATGCAACCATGCCTCTCACCGGCTATCATGCATCCGTCCCTCTCTCACAGGCCATCATGCATCCATCCCTCTCTCACCTGCAGTCATGCTGCCGATGGGGGCAGTCATGGAGTAATTGGCAGTGACGAGGCGCAGACGGTGATGTGGGAGGATGGAGGGGTCGCTGTTGATCGCC